TTAAAACGGGGCGTTAAATGAGGTGGCGGACACGTACCATCATCATCTAGTTCCACTAGCTTTGAACGTGAAGACATCACCGAGATCGGCCGGTCAACGCGGGAGACAGGTCGTGTAGATGAGCTTTCCGAGTCGGTCGAACTGAGACCAATTCCCGTGATGATCGCATTGGCGATCGACTTCCTCACGCCTCGAGCAACCAGCTGCTTCTGTAGGTCGGATTTCGCTCGCGGGGGTGCAGTTCTGTGGTTTGTTAGATCGGCCAAACTCCAAGAGGGTGAGATTACATACCGGAATAGTTCAATAACGACTGCCCGTGCCGTATCGCGGACAGAGCTATCTGCGTCCTCTAGACAAGCAACCAAGGAAGGCACATATGTGCGGAAAAGGAGACCATGGTTCTTTGTCATCTGCGCACATCACTCCAGTCAGACACTTGTGCACCAGTAGCGGGAAACAAAACTTACATTCGAGAGCCAGAGCATGCTCATCTCTCGAGCGCGGGGGTTTCGACCCACCAGCGCTCCGTCGAGGACATGAAACTCGACATCGGCACTTGCTGCAGGCCAGAGCTCGGTGAAGATCTGCGCCGACTGAGCTCGGACGCGCTCCTTGTGGTCGCCGAGTCGTTCCACGAGTGTGGGGTAGAAGTTGCGGGCTTGGCTGACTACCAGTTGCTGCTGGTCTTGGATGAACAGCCGCTTCAGAAAGTGACCCAGGGTTGAGAATCCCGCGGTGAGCACTGAGTAATGCTGCGAGTTCAAAGCCAGTCGCAGGGTTTCAAAAATGCTGGGGATGGCGCCTTCTGGAACATTCTTCTGTTTGATGTCGGACTTGAGACTCGTCAGGTGGGCGACCCGCGTGTCAACAGAGACGTTAGGGTTCTTGAAAGCTGCTAGGAGCTCAGCAGCCTTGGCCTCCATCTTCGCCGACGACAGATTGACTTGCACTTGGTTCAGCACCAAAAGGGCATAGATGAGAGTCAACGTGCACACGTAGAAGAAGGACTTGAAGGGGCTGAGAGCGATGATAAGGGTGACGAGAGAGAAGCGACGGGGGAAGAGTTGAGTGGAGGAGAGTTGACCTTGGAGCTTGTCACTATCCATGTTTGAAGTTTGAAAGATCAGCAGCAGATCAGGAAGCCAGAAACACAAATGGACAGGGGAGAGAGCAGAAGAACGCGAAGCACGGGGGCCGCGAACGATAAACCGACAGCATGATGGGATAGGAGGAAGGAACGTACCTGGAGGTGGGAGTGTGTCGAGTCCAGAGGAAGGAAGGTGTTGGGGGGAGTGAAGACGAGAGATGGAAGGAAGAGCGAGGGACCTGGCGCGGGGAGAAGAAAACAAAGGGGCGATAAGCGACAGCCGCCAGATAAGCGCGGGTCCGCTACGTAGACGATCAACACTATAAGAGCTAAGAGTGCTGAGGCATTTGTTTTGTGAATGGGAAATAAGAAATATGCAGAACGGCGTTGGCCATCCCTGTGGTGGTGCCGCCCAACCGGCCCAGAAAGCGGTGTTGATGTTGCGGCGGTCGCAAGGGCAACTCGGATGTGTCTGGGATGCAAGGACCTATTCTGTTTGTTTTGATTTGTTTTCTTTGTTTCATTGTTGTCTCTTGTTTTTGTTCTCGAATATGATTTGTTGTTTCCGCTAACAGTTGTTGCCATTGGCTGGTATACCTTATGTTGTCCCATGGGTAGATACCAGGGATTTCTGTTGCCACTGTTGACGGATATGAACGCACCAAGATCAAGTGTAATTAGTGAGTCTATCCGATCACCAATGATTACCCCGTCAGCCCCCACCATCGGCATTTGTTTCATCCTACTCCACCTCCAAGGGTCAACATTCTCTACACCACCATCCAAAGTACAATACACAACCAGCATTCTCCTATTTCCTACCCTCCTTTTAACACTCCCCTATCATCATCATGACCGTCTCCCCCGCCCCTACAGCACAACCGAACCTCCCACCCCCCATGAACACCGCGAACAAGCCCGTCGCAAAGCAGAATCCCTCAATCCCCAAACCCAGACTACGCCTGCACGCGCAAGCCCTTCGACACCCGGGAACGAAAGCCTTCCTAACCAACGTCCCCGACATATCTGAGCCCTTCGACACAGCACTAAGCGTAATCGTGGAGCACCTCTACACATCGCACAACCAACAAGGCGGCCCATCCTTCAATCCCTGTATCCCACCCACCCGCTCTGTGACATTCATCCTCCGCGACTTCCAAGGCCTAGCACATACCAACGGCACCGAGCTAGATGACGACCACAAGGAGATCCACATGTCGCTAGGCTGGCTGCAGAACACGGGGTCGCGGCCTAGCACCCGCCGCGAGATACTGGGGGTTCTCACGCACGAGCTGGTGCATTGCTACCAGCATAGCTCGCCGCGAGGCAGTGGGAAGCCCGGTCCGCCGGGTGGCTTGATCGAGGGGATTGCGGATTTCATTCGTCTCAAGGCGGGCTTTGTTCCGGCGCATTGGAAGCGGCCGCAGTCGTCTAAGGAGCGGGCGGAGAAGTGGGACCAAGGGTATGAGCACACGGCGTTCTTTTTGGCATGGTTGGAGGATGTGAGGTTTGGCAAGGGCGCCGTGGGTTTGGTGAATGATAGGTTGGGGACGGTGGGTTATGCGGCTATCAATGGGGTGGGTTTTTGGAAGGGCATTTTTGGGAAGACCGTTCATGAGCTGTGGGAGGAGTATGGGCAGTGGTTGGATGCCGGGCAGGGGCAAGGGCAGGGAGGGCAGGGAGGGGAGAAGAAGAACTGGATAGAGAAGATTGTCCATCGGTAAGGTAGATAAGTGATAGATTCATTTCTATATACCAGCGCTGTGGGGGGAGAAAGGGTTAAGGCCGGAAGAACATAGGAAAGGAAAGAGTAGATAAAAAAGACACCAGATGAACCAAAGGGATCAGAATTCCCATAATGTACAGTATCCAATCATGCAAAAAAGAAAAGACTCTTTAATCGGCAGCCACCGGACCAGTTTAGACAATCACCTCACCCAGGTCCACATGGACGGGCTTCCACGGCGCGGCCTCGTCCTCCTCCATCGCACTGGGGAGGCGCACATTGAGCGGGCTGTAGAGGTACCATCCCTTCAGCGCTGCCACAGCGGCTCGCTCTCGGGCTTCACCCAGACTGGCGCCCTGGCCTTCACCCAGCTTGTCCTGGCCGGAGAAGATGCCCACCACAAACACGGGATGTCTGCTCTTCCGACCGGTCTCGGCGATGACCTTGGCAACGGGGCGCTCGAAGTTCTCCCGCGCGCATAGCCGGGTCAGGTCCCGAGTCGGCTGCTCAAAGTTGAACAACTCAGCCATGTTGAGGTGTCGGGACAGAAAGTGTTGCTGGAAAAACCGCTTGGCGGCCGGACGGCCGGCATGCAGGTAGATCGCACCCATGACGGCGCGGACGAAGGTGGCGCTCGCTTGATCGGCAGAGACGCCCCCCGCGGCGGTTTTGGCGGTATCGCCGAACTCGTTGTCATAGAAAATTTTGGAGGTGACTGTCTTCCTCCAGTGAGGCTGGCTCTGATATGGACGTGGTCCGTCTTCTTTTTCTTGCAACTCGGTGCCCGGGGCAAGCCTTTGGAACTGCAGCAGGCCGGGGTCGACCTCTCCGCCGGGACTGGCCGCGTGTTCCACGCCCCATTCCCTTGTCATGGCAGTTAGGGTCTTGGGCCCAACATAGGCATACATGGAAGCGAAGATGACACTCAGTGGCAGACGAGGGTAGGTGCAGATGAGGTGCTCGGAGGTGTAGTAGGTAAGAAGGTCGTGGCCTAGTGTGGAGAGCGATTCATTGTTGAAATTGGGGTCCTGATCCGCGGAGGCATCCACCAATGTTCGTGCGAGGGTCTCGTAGGGTAATCGAGAAGGAAGGTAGAGTCGGGCGTGGAGGGCAGCAAGTTTGGCGGACTCGTGTGCGGCGTGCGTCGGAGGAGAGGGATACTTCAATTGGTTGGGTCGCGAGTGTGTTCTGCGGAGGATAGTCTGGAGTTTGATCTCTTCGAAGGTCTCGTGGTCGGCCTCCGCGGTCGAGGATTCTGGCTGGACCACAGCCGCCGCTGATGATTGACAGCGCACGGCATTGTAGAGATGGTGCTGCAGGTGACTACCAGTCCGGGCCCGCGTCGACAGGACCGAATTGCTCCATCGTTGGAGCTGCAGCCTCTTCATTGGGGGCGGGACGGACAGGGCAGCCTGGGAAAGAAGCCTGGGCGAAGGGGTGGATGCAAAAGGACGCGGTCAAACACGCATTGATTAATGGCAAGAGAAAAGAGAAAATGTTCCCCCGAGTCACGGGATCTGGTCGTGTGAGTGGCGCTAACCCGTGTTGGGTATAGTGGCTTGGCGCTGACTTGCCTTTCCTTCTGACGGTTTGACCTCTGCCCCGTCCGTCTCCGTTGTTCCTCCCACATTCACTGCAATTGCATCTCAGTCACAATGGGCGGAGGTGGAAAGATCCCGTGCGTGTGATATTCCTCATTCAGATGACATGGAAACTGACCCATTCGTGCCCACAGGTATCCCAAGGAAGTCTGGTCCCCCGCTGGTGGGTGGTATGCCCAGCCGGCCAACTGGAGGGTCAACACCGCCATCATGAGCGCTTTTGTCATTGGTATTGCCGCCGTGACCTGGGGCATCAGTGCCGACCGCGAGCGCCGAGATCGCATGCCCGAGCCAGGCAGATTCTTCCCCAGCCGATAGTGAGCCCATCACCTTCCCCCCTCCAAACCATGCCAGTGTGCTGATGATCTACCCCCTTTAGCTGGAGCAAGCAGATCATCGAGCACGAGAGGCAACAGAAGAACGACTCATAGAGAGCTACGGCCAGCTGGAGGAGGATTTACCAGCATTCCGCGACCTTTTCTTTTCTTGTGTTGTCTGTGATATCATTTTTCTGTGGGATGTACGACAATAGAATGGCGTTCCCTCAATCGACCATTTTTGATCAATTGGTCTGCCGAGACTCGTTCTATGTTCTAAATAATCGCTGCGTGTACAGACGGAGTCGTTCCGTGAATTCAGACTGGTTCCACAATTCCCTGCCATTTCCTGCCCCGGATATCTGCGGCACCCCAATCTGTTCCACCACGAACCCTGCTGCGACGGTGGCGCAGATGAGCGCCAGGAGCAAGTCCCGTTGCTGTCCCCAGGCATCCACTTCCTTCCTCCAGTTTTCCGACTGTTCCAAGACGGAGTCGATGACCTGGAACGGTGCACGACCCGCACTCACCATTCCCTGAGCCAATGCCCCTAGAAACGAATTGCCCGCACCCGTGGGGTCGAGCACAGCCGTAGTGCCCGAGGAGTTGGGCTGATGATATGCCGGTAGCCAAATCTTTTGGTTTCTCGAGTAGGCGTAGCTCCCGTCCTTTCCAGCTCTGATAACCAGACAGCCCTTCCCGTCCGGTCCAACGCCGGAATCGAGAATCTTTTGGACCAATTCGGTACTTTCTTCGGTCCAACCAGGCTGGTCAAACATCATCCCAAGCTCTAAATGATTAGGGCTAACCACATCCACTACCCGGTTGGCTTCGAAGAACTTTTCCTGCTCCTCTGGTGTGCAGAGGTCGGGCACCGGCTCCCAGACAAAGATAGGTCGGTTCGAGGCGTGTGTGGTGGATGGGGCTTGACCCGCTTGGTGTAGCGCATCTCTTCGGCGCAGAATATCTTGTACAATTGAAATGCACCGGGAGGCAGAGCAGACCATATGAAAGGTCCGCGACCACACTTGAGTGTCTGAGAGCATTGATGGCTCCAGCCTCAACTTTGGGGTGAGATACTTAAAATCTGCGAATATATATCTTTAGGTCCACACTGCTAGTTACCAACTAAAAAGCATACCTCGTTTCTCACTGGGGTGATACCCGTTCCATGCCCTGGTAGTCAGCCTGCTGTGGTCTTGTCGGAAAACACAGTCAGTGTTCCATGACTTGATCGCTTCCAGGGCTTCTGGTGGGAAATCAGAACCCATGTCCACGATCCAGCTCACGGACCGGGCATGCGCAGGGCCTGCTACTAAACGGGCACCCACTACAGCGAACGATGCGGCTCCGCCAAGGATGTTTTTCACTCCGGGCCTGGAGTCGCCGAAGTCGATATCATCTGGTACGCCATGTGTGAGCGTTCATCCGTAAAGATACATTGTCCGACATACCGAGGATGAACATTCCCAGAGTGCAGAATTCGACTGGGGTATGTTGGTCGGGAGAGGTCTTGGCTTCAGCCATGGCCATTTGACCAAGATAAGGAACAAATAATTGGGAATCTATCAAGTCTATAAGAGAGAGAGAGAGAGAGGAGGAAGTGATGGAACGTGATAAGGTAGGTTCGCTGTGGATAAGCTGTTACATACCATACGAAAGATAGAAGACTCTCTGGTGGTATTTGAGCACGTTGCTGTACCGTACTGTCACAGAGCTCAGCGACAACTTTAGCCGTCAGGAGCTCATGTTCATCCCATCCATTCTTCCTTTCTGTCTTGCTGCCTAGGGACTAGGCTGCCCATTTCCCAGCCCTTATAGCGGTTGAGATCTGTTCAATTGAGTCTCATCTCTCACCCCTTCTTCAAACCAACTGTCCCCGCCCCCTACCTGAATCTCACCTCCGAGCTACGTGTACTACATCATGGCGACCCCCGCCCCTATGCACAACTTCACCACTCTCATCAAGCGGTATGCTCCAAGGATCCTCTCCCTATTCTCGTACCGCCAACTTCACGCTATGAGGGTTTTATCCCGTGCTCCTCGCTGACAATGCATGTGTCTCGACAGGCTTGAGGCTGCCACCTCCCGCTTGGAGGATATGGCCATGGCGGTGGAAGGCCCCAGCTCACCAAAGAGCATGGGCGTCTCTACACCTCCACCGCCGGCTCCTCCTGCACCCCCCAAGGCGGTTCCCGCACCAGCCGCTCCAGTAGCGGACCCAATTCCGCTGCAGATCCAAGACTTCGACGCACTGATCAAGAACGAGGTCCAGAAATTTGTGAGCCTGGGAGAGGAGATCGGTGGATTGGTCGCGGAGCAGGTGTGTCTGATTTAATCAAATGAAGAGTTGCATACTGACTGACTTATTCAGTCGAAAGCAGTCCTGCAAGCGTTCCAAGCCGAGCGCACCTACCTCTACGTCTCGACAAAGGCCAAGAAGCCCGAGCCCCAGCCACCAGAGCTCATGACGGATCTGCACAAGGCCTCGGATGGCATTAACAACATCCGGGAGTCCAACCGAGCGTCGCCGCTGTTCAACCACTTGAGCGCTGTTGCAGAGGGAATCGTCGCCCTGGGATGGTTCTTCGAGATGAAGCCCGCGGCATTTGTGCAGGATATGATGGGTGGAATCGAATACTACGGCAACAAGGTGCTGAAAGAATACAAGGAGAAGTGAGTGCAAACTTATGCTTCCACTAAATCGCGTTATTAATGATTTGGCAGGGATCGTACGCACGTCGAGTACATTCAAGCATACTATCAGATCTTCAAGGGTCTCGCGGCTTACCTCTTGAAACACTACCCCAAGGGTCTGGTGTGGAACGACGAGTCTGGGGTTGATGCGCTGGACGCCTTGAAGCAGATCAAGAGTGGAGGAGCTCCTCCAGCTGCTCCAGCTCCACCCGCTGCTGCAGGCGGCGTGCCTCCGCCGCCCCCTCCCCCCCTGTGCCATCTCTCAACGTCTCTGGAGGTGGCGGCCCACCGCCTCCCCCTCCGCCGCCTGGAGCGGCATCTGCACCGGACATGGCGGCGGTGTTCGACCAGCTCAACCAAGGCGAGGGTATCACATCGAGCCTGCGCAAGGTCGACAAGTCGGAGATGACGCACAAGAACCCCAGCCTGCGCGCGGGCTCGACGGCACCAGAGCGCTCGAGCTCAGTCCGGGGCAAGTCCCCTGCGCCGAGTAAGAAGCCCAAGCCCGAGAGCATGCGGGCCCGCAAGCCGCCGCGCAAGGAGTTGGAGGGCAACAAGTGGCTGGTCGAGAACTTCGATAACCCGGGCGAGATCGTCGACATCACGGCGCAGCAGAACCACTCGATCCTGATCTCCCGCTGCAACAAGACCATCGTCAAGGTATCGAACAAGGCCAACGCTATCGCCATCGACAACTGCAATGGCCTTTCTATCATCGTTGACTCGCTCGTCAGCAGCCTCGACGTCATCAAGTGCCCCAAATTCGCGCTGCAGGTCGACGGCTTCGTCCCCACCATTCTTATGGACCAGGTCGATGGCGCGACTATCTATCTGGGTCAGCAGAGTCTCACCACGGAGGTGTTCACTAGCAAGTGCGCCGCTGTCAATATTATGCTCCCGCCCAAGGAGGGTACCGATGATGATACGAAGGAGTGCCCTGTTCCTGAGCAGATCAAGAGCTACGTCAAGGATGGTGTGCTGGTCAATGAGATTGTCGAGCATGCTGGGTAGAAAGGGCAAGAAAAGGAACGGTGTTGGGCTGTCCCTAGCCTTGTTTCCCCTTTCCTGCTCTTACCGTGTTTTACTATTTTCCTGTGTCTGTCAGACTTGAAAATCTTTGCTGTTTGAACTGCAGTATCTAGCGTTTTCTGTAGATATATATCGCCAGAATACATGGTCATCTTGCCAAGTTGTTTGGGGTTACTTATTCCTAGTCTTGAGTGAAGCTACTGTCCTACAGTTCTTACGATGGTATCATTCATTGTGTATGGATTGATTGACGATGTAGTTTGATTTTCTGTACAGTTATATCCGCAATTACTCACGACAAAACCCCATACGACAGGGAGGAGAACTTGAAGAGGATTCGATGATGACGCCGGTCCGTAAATGCTGACTTGAACTAAGTATAGTTTGATGACCGGTGCGCCTGGCGTGGTCTGATTCATGAGTCATGTGTGTGTGATAAAGATAGAGAGAGGGGCGATATACCCGCATCGGAATGAAGACACCCTGCGCTGCAGTGTCGTTGAGGTTGGGGGTTAGTAGGCACGGTGATATGCGATGGGCACCGATACTGTCTTTATACCGTGGAGACAGTAGGCTGTGTGGAGATGGGAGAAGTGTGGGGTCATACCCAAGACAGGGTCGGGCATGAATAGAGGAGATATGAAGGGTCTGCCGATTGCTTGTAGAGAAATCGGGCTGGGTGGAGAGTGGAGAGTGGGGAGTGGAGTGGAAGACACTACCGAGTAGATGTACTCGGCTTCGTGCCCTGGCCCTGACGCTCCAGATCGTGCTTGTGCACATCCAAGCTTCGAAGCCGTTTGGCAAGTAAACTCTCACCGAAATCAGGACCTTCGCCCGACGGTGAGAAGGGGTAGCCTCCGTACCCGACATCCCCCTTGTTGAGCTTGTTATACATGTTACTCTCGGAGGAATTGGGAATTTTCTGCGCGACGTGCGCGGGACCCAGTACATCCCACTGCGAGGGAAGGTCACTTGGCGAGGAGAGATGTGGACGAAGAAGGGGTGGGACTGTTCCCTGGCCGACACTCCGTCTGCGGGAGGCCTTTTCAATCGCCGCACGAGCACCGGCGGACCCAAGGAGCGTGGAATCCCGAGTGGGTTTGTATGGACTGTAGCGGGGTTCCGGCAGTTGGATCTCATTGCGCAGGCTCTCCTTGCCGTCGGGGACTCGGTTTGCGAAGACCACTCGGATGCTCGAATGGAGGAAGAACCGACCGCGCGCGGGGCAGCAGATGTTCAGATGGACGAGATATCGCAGGACAGGTTTATCCTTCGGGTCTTCCGAGGTATTCAATGATGCTTCTGGACGGTCAGTGCCGAAGTTCTTTCGAGCACTCAGCGGCATGTCGAGGATTGGCCCCGCCGAGTAGCTTCGCTGCCGGATGAATGTCTTGGTACCGGGCTCCATGTCGCTCAAATCGTATGGGACGAGGAACAATTTGACGGCGGTCTTGTGCGGGCTCTTGATCATGATCTGCAGTTGGCCCTGCTGCGGGATCCGGTAGCACCCTCCCGGAGGACACTTGGGCGACTCTGCGCGGCGGCTCTTCTTTTCCCGACGACGAATCGTGTCAGCATCAAGGACTCGAGTCGAGTTCGCGTCTTCAGTGGCCACGCCTTTGTGAGTTGTGGCTGGACTGGCGCGTCGTCTACGACGCCGGGTTGTATTCAACTCGTCTCTGGGTAGAGAGTTCTCCAGATCGATTTGCCCAACGTACGGACTTGGATTGTCGTCCGAGATAGAGCGCCCACTGCCCGAGGTGGGATAGCTGTAGAAGACAGCGGGGAAAGGCACGGTCACATGCGGCGGACACTTCAAGTGGGCTTTGCATTTGCCTTTGCCTAGCACGCCGATTTGGGCTGTGAAATCCAGCGGTTTGGACGGGTTCATTGACATCCGCCCTCGAAGAATCGATTCTTCATATGACCCCACCAGCGGGGCGTGGGGTTTGGCAGAGATATCCGTGGCGAGAGATGGTCTTCTCGCACGCGAGATGGGGCTCTGTCCCGATGATGCAAGTTGAAGACTGTACGCAGAAGTCAATGACCGACGAGGAGAACTAGGCTGGAGAGAGAAGAGATCTTCCCGTCTTCCGGGCGGACAGGGGCTGCGGAGATGGACGCCCCGGGAAGCCGGAGGCGACGATTCCAGATGTCGGAAGGACCCCGGGGGCAATGTTCGGCGGCGATTAGCCCTATCAGAGGGCTCAGCTACTTCCACAGGATCAATCCGTGGCGAGAAGTCCAGATCGGTGTTGTTGGCCTGATGCACCAGGGGACTGGTCGGAGTTTTGAGAACGTAGCTTGAGGAGAACGATCCCAAAGAGGGTGCTCTGGAGCGAGTTTCCACTGCTACTCTCCCTTCGCGGTAATCACCGGTATTTGGCCTGCGCAAGGGTGTCGGAAAAGCCGGCGTACCGAACCATGGCGTAGTCGGGGAAGTGCTGAGGAGGGGAAAAGGCGAGGCATTCCTTCGCTCAGCGAAGAGAGCTCGAGGGGATTGCGGAGGGTCTGCTGTGGCGCCTTCGCTGAAGTCGCCCGAATGCAACGCAGAGCGAGGTCTCTGGATGTCGGCCGGCGATCCCAGCTCCTCTGATCCCTTCGGGTGTTGCCATTCAGATGCTTGCTCTTCCACAGGCTTTAGTTCGGACAAAGTATGCGGCATCCCGTGGTCGTGTGAGACCTCGGGTGACTGTTCTGTCTGTCAGTTTTGAGTCAAATGGCGTTGAGCGCCCTACATACCCCACGCTGCAGCCTCCAGGGCGACGACTCCTTAATTCGATGAATGAGTTCCTCGCGTTCATTCGTCCACATCTTGAGTGGATTCAGCGCCGTCGGCTGGATCGGTCCTGCCGCTGTTTCCGCTACCACCAGAGTCTCTCTCTGGCCGTGGCCTTGGCTGCCTGCCTGAATCAGAGGGGACCCCGGGGCCTGTGATTCATGGTCGTGATCCTCGGACCACCGGCTCTCCTGCCGGCGATCCGGATCAGTAAAAAGCGGCATTATGGCGAGCTAGATCGGTGGATTCGCAGCTGACATTGCAGGAGGTGGACGTGGCGAGCGCCTTTTGCCTCGAGCAGCGTTATCGGGGTGGGGAGAGGGGGATGCGGTGTAGGACGAGAGTGAGGGGAGTGACGCAGAGAACGCAGGTAATGGGAGTAGCACTAGTTGACGACAGGGGACGACAGGGCCCACAAGGGAAGTATTATATATGGCAGAGAGAAAGCAGAGGGAAGTTCCGGAGTGCAACACTGCCGTTGAAGTCATCCGCATCATGTCATCGGGTGGGTCCGTTTCGATCGGTACGGTGAGAGCGGTCAGGTGTTGTAAGGTATATCTAGGACAGATTGATCGTATAGGTTAGGCGCATATACTATCATGATAGATAAATAATTATTATCACGTACACTCGCGATTTTGTGCTCAGGCTGCCGTTTTCGAAGCCTGGCTTACTGAACTCAACGCCCTCCCTAAGGCATCAATATTGCCATATTTGTACTAGACCGAATTCTTGGCCTTCCCCGCCACCCACTAGTTAGCTAGCTCAGCTACCGACCTACTCTTTCGTCGAGTCACGATCTGCAACAATGGACAGCCAGGTATGCTGCCCTCGAAACTACGTAGTGAATGTCGCTCACGGCTGGTAGAAACAAATTGTCAGGCCGGATCAGTATCAGGATGCTCGAGCCCGTCTCCTCCAGCAGGAGAAAGCGGCGACTCGCCTGCTGCAGGAGCTCGCGGTATCTCGCCGTGAGCTGCCTATGGTGCGCATCCACGACCCAGCTCGGTTCCAGTTTGATACGCCTGATGGAGTGAAGAGCCTGGGGGATCTGTTCGACGGACGCAAACAGCTAATTCTCTACCATTTCATGTTGGAACCCCACGAAACCGAGGTCTGCGTGGGGTGCTCATTCTGCATGGACCATATTCCCGACCTCCGCCACCTGTGGAGCAGGGACACTTCTTTCGCCGCCGTGGCTCCCGCGCCCTTGTCTGAAATCACTGCGTACAAGGATCGGATGGGTTGGAAGTTTCCTTTTTATAGCTCTGCGAAAACGCGCCAAACGTGGGCTGAGGCCGAGGCACAGGGAGAGACTATCACCTGGAAACCTGGAAACGGCTACTTTGGACTCTGCTCGTTCTATCGGGAAGGTGACGAGGTATTTCACACCTACGATACCTCATCTCGAGGCTTGGAGATCCTCCTGTCCACGTATCACCTGCTGGATATGACCCCGATGGGCCGGCAGGAAGTGGGAAATGGAATGAACAATTTCCGCCGTCACGATGAATACTAAACTGGTATAAATAATTATTGGATTCATTAATAATATGCAGGGAGAACATGTTTCGCGGAAATCATGACAAAAACGAGAAACAATAATTCGAGCTGGACAACCGGAGGTCAAGCAGAAGCATTTATCTGCGGAGCTAACGGTCTACACTCTGATCTAAGTCTGCCAATTAAAAGCAAAAGTTGTCAATTTAACTGCAGTTTGCTACCGGGCATGAACGAATGAGCCCAACTGTCCTCTGTAAACGTCTTATATGTACAATGCTTGAGCAGGTTAAAGAACCCGAGTCAGAAGGCGAGTATGTCATAGCAAACTTTTTTAACGTGGATGTCGCGGATTCCGGTCTAGAAAAAGGATTTCGGGCAATAAGGACACCGTACAACATGGTGCATTTTTGGTCTAGCTGTTATTTTGCTCCGATTCTGAGCGAAATTAGCTTTTTCTTTAAACATCACGTGACTATGACGTGAAGAATGCCGAGCTCTCCGTTGGAAGTGTGAGCTCAGTTAATCCCAACAGCTCTTATGAGTAGTCAAGGCTCCCAACTTGTTGCGGTTGTCGTATGCTTGCTTGTTTTTACAATAACCACAGTTGCTCTCCGATGCTATGTGCGGATCAGACTAACAGGGGGCTTTGGGGCGGATGATGCCCTATCAGTGGCCTCATTGGTATGTCTTCAACCGAAGATCACCTATTGCTCAGCCCAGGACCTAATAATGTGGGACGAAGATACTTTTTGTACTAGCCTCTGCCTGTCTCCTTGCTGGAGTTGGAACTGGTAGTTTCGGGCACAGGTGGCCGAGTATCTCTCAACCAACGCTTGTTCTGGGCTTGAAGGCAAGTGCCCCGGAGTTACCTGAACGCCCTTGAACCTCTCTCAGATATTTTCTCAGTTACTCTTTATATATGAAATGGCCTACATTATAGCAACAGGGTTGATCAAGTTATCCATCACCCTGTTTCTCCTCCGCTTCACCATCGAACGCAAACATACCTTGCCTCTATATATCGTGCTCGCTATACTTCTCACCTATAGTGTCTTTCTGCTGTTCTTCGCTCTGTTCCAGTGTGAACCAGTGTCCGCCTTTTGGCGCCTCCATGGAAACTGCAACAGAATTGGGACAGTAAAGGCTACCTACGCTCACTCGGCCATTATTAGCGCATCCGATTGGACAGTCGTCATCTTGCCCATATTCATTGTTCATCACCTTCATGTGGGATTTCGTACAAAAATTTATGTTGGGATTATTCTAACGCTCGGCTCCTGGTATGTTGCAATAAGCTCTCCTAGCTGCCCTTAGGGAGAAGATTTTCGCAAACTAACTCTCACGAAACAGTGCCAGCATTGCCACCCTGACAAGATTTGCGTATATTCATTATCTCATTGACCCTAAAAATCTCTTTTTCAATACGGCCCTCGTTATTACTTCGCATTTTGAGGTTGGGGTAGCCCTTACTGCTTCATCAGCGGCGACTCTTCGACCACTACTCGTCCGTTTGAGAAGAGGGTCATATAGTAGCCACGGCCAGAGCCAGGAATCAGATCAAAGTTATCTCAACAGGAGTGAAACTGTTGGAAGATATCCCCGCCGTGAACAAGCTGATGAAATAAATGTTGAGCTTGGCGAATCAAGCCAATCCATTGAAAGGCGAGATTCCGATATGATTGCTATCCCACCAGCCACACTTTAGCTACGGGCAATTCATTATTCGGCTTCAAGAACGGAATGAATCCTGTATGTGTTTGAAGTGAAATTAACTTTATTCTGTAAATAAAAACTTACATACAAGGTGTTTTTAACATCCTCGGCGAAACACTCAAACCAGGGCTGTTGCATGAGATCTCTGGTGAGAAACCAAGCCGGCACAACGTTTTAATCAGATGCGCTATGAAGCGTTGAGTGTCACCCGTATTGCATAACCTTCTCGACTTCATATCGATCACAATAAACTCGGCAATTTCATGCTCTGCGAACATTCGTAATAGACACAGAGAGAAATAATAATCCATAGCATGCCAGAAATGTGCTATCAGAAGACCGAAATGGCCATCTCAAATTAACGTCAATATTCGAAAAGGACAGGAAACCCCAACCCTGACCCGATTGGTATCCCGTCAGATCACCCCCATTGGATAGATCTCAGAACTTGTTAAGCCCAAAGCTTCGCATTTGGTCTATTTTGAACAGGAACCGCTGGATATCTAACGGGTGGATATCATCAACATCATCCACATTTTCCATTTACCCTCTGGTCCACACTGGACGGGCACAACATATGGATGGTTCTTTCAGTGTGTTCGAGTATCCGAATCCGCTAGCGTGGACCAGGCATTCTTAGTCTTCTGCCGGATCTCTCGAACAGTCTGAAGTCAAGAACTTCGCTCTTCAAAAATGCTATGCCTCCGCGTGCTCAATATATTCTAGTGATCTTAGCAATGGGGCTCAAGACAGTTGAAGAATGTAGGCTATAACCTACATGTAGTCCTAGTGTAGCTAGTGTAGTCTCGAGAGGTACCTTGCGTAGCTTATCTCCGCTGCCGCGCTCGGACAACTTTTTTCTCTCACCACCGCCCGCCACCAACATCACCCATCACACCCCCATCCCAACTCCAGATTGGCAACAATCAGGCATCATGCCCTCCAAACGCTCTGCCGAGTCGGCCGCAGACAGCCGGCCAGCCGAGCCCCCAGCCAAAAAACGCAAGGGCTTCAGCGTCGGCCCAGCAAATCTGCCCGACGGCACCTATCGACGGAAAAGTGAGTAGCACCCACTTACTGCCTCCGGTTTTATATGTTATGTGACGCCAGGACTAACCGTGTTCGCTTGTTTGCTCGCACAGCCCAAAAAATCAAAACGGACCTGATCCAAAAAGCCAAAGTGAAAAAAGCGTACGCCAAGATCAAAGCCGAAGAACGCGCCTCTGCGCCGACAAAATCCGTCTACGAGAGGGAGGAGGAGGGTGGAAATGAGCAGCACGACAAGGAAACCAGTCCAGAGATCCACCCTGAGCGTATGGCTATGCTGAATGAACCGGCGCCAGAGCCAGAGCCGGAGGCGCGCGCGGAGCGACGTCGGCCGCGCGAGAGACAAGATAGAAAGAAAGAGCGCAGGCCTAAGCGCTCGGCGTTTACGAAGGAGATGGAGATTGCGAAGCAGCGGAGGATGGCTGCGGAGCAGCGCGAACGGGAGCGCGAGACGAAGCAGAAGGAGCGCGAGGCTATGGCGCGTGCGAAACGGCCGGACCAGTTTGGGAAGCGGAGGCTGGGGAGGGAGAGTTCGGCGTTGTTGAGTCGGGTGCAGCGGATGGTGGGACAATGAAGACAGTTCAAAAGTTGTGATACCCTTAATTAACATTCAACGTTGCTAGTTTGCATTATCTATGAATTCGTAGATGATTTGGATCCTCCGCCACTTCCACCACCTCCACCTCCACCGCCGCCACTGCGAGACTTCTTGAAGCAGGCGAACTCGCCCTTGGTGCGGTCTCGCAGTCTCTTGAGGACGACTCGCATCTCGCCCAGCTCGGCTTGGAGTTTCGTGCGCGCTTCGTTCGTGGTGCGTCGGTCCAGTTCGACATAGATCTGGCTTTGGATGTTCGATGCCTCGTCGGACGAATACTGCGATAACGTCTGGGCGATGAACTCCGTGTCCAGTGTGGCTTGCATCAAGGCGGCCAGGGTAAATGTCTTACGTGCGCTGAACGCATTTAATAGAGACGTGGAGATTTGCGCCAAGAGATGCGTGAGGATGACGTACAGCAGCGATCCCGGGGCGTTGGACGGGGTGCGGCTGGAACTGGCGGACACGGTCGAGGGGATCGTTGTGGATATCTCGGTGTGCACCAGCACGAGGGCCAGCATGGTGGCATAGACGTAAGGGCGGACCTGGTCTGGCCGGTCGGTGGACGGCACCCAGTCGGGCGATGCGATGCCATTGGCGATGATCTCGTTCAAGGAAGCGATGACCGGTGTGGTGTAGGACTTGAACAGCTGGTCTTCGATCTGGCTGAGCACGTCTCGGACTGTGTTCCCTTCTTCGGTCAACTTAACGGAGAACGAGGTCTCGAAGTTGGTGATTAGCTGTGGAACATAGTCGGCCTGAAGGGCCTTGAGGTTGGAAAGCGTCAGGAGAATGCGAACGTTCTATGGTGCTGTTAGTGAGCTGGTCAATCACCGGGGCCGACTCAGACTTACCCTATTCCGAGAGTCGACCGAGTTCGCCGCGAGAACAGACAGAGCGGCGTCATGTCCTAGACCAGACGTTGCGAGTCTGGAAAGAGTCCATTCGTCCTCTTCTTCCACGGGGGTGACACGTTCTGCGTTCTCGACGAGACCGCTGAGCGCCTTGTACACGCTGGACACAAACTGGGAACGGACCATCTGAAGCAGTTTTGCAGGTGGCTGCGTAACGACATCCACTGAGCCTGGCTTCGTCATGGCCTCCGAAATATACAAGATTTTCTGCATGCCGCTGAGAATGGTGCTCTCAAAGGCGAAAAAGAGTCCCGGCATCTTGGTCAGATCCCGCTTCTCCGAATCACGCGTCCAGTCTTCCAGCATCTTGCAATTCTCCGCGTCTTTACTCCAGGCGGCACAAGCAACACGCGCACACCGCTCCCTCGCGGTACTCACTAGGACCTTCAGCAGGTCATGAGGTTGCCCACCGCCGTTGACTGGGGGCAAGGCAGCCATGTCACTGGCGGCAGTCCCAATGATGACCAGAAATTTGCTAAGGTAGTGGACGCCACTGAGTGAGTTGGAAAACGGCGGCCAAAATGCAAAGTCATCCCAGTGCTCCCCGCGCTTCGGGATTGGGAACGGCAGATTCCTGGGATCAAGCTTGAATCGAGACTCCGTCGGTGTAACACCCCTGGACTCTGGGCTGGTTGGAGTGTCTGGGACCGGAGAGAAAAGGCTAGAGACATCTTCTGTGGGTGGTTCGGTGAACAAGGCAAGCACATTCTCCCGGATCAGATTGACCAGCTGCACAATGCCCTTCTCGAGCTCCTGGATGTTGCTTCTCGACAGTTGATGATGCTTGCGGCTCTCCCCCTCAAAGCCAGCAGGAAGAATCCGTTGTCGATTGCCGTCAATGAAGGACTGCGCCACTTCCCAGAAATCGAGGGCTTCACCGAGCAAACCGCCCTGTGACGATAACAGCCTGGTCAAGTATGCTTGAAGGCAATCCCAGAGCTCAATGACTTGATCTGTGTCCAGGCTCTCAGGAATTTCTGACGAGCCATCCCGGGGTGCTAAGCGCAGGTACGACGCCGTCGCCTGCGGCGTTGGTTTCTCCCCGCCGGCCAGCCTCCGCCTCAAAATCTCGATCTCCACCTTACATCGATCACAGAAAGAGGTGATTTTCGACTTGAGGAATTCAGAGCGGCTCTGAAGCCATGCCCAGATAGGGTTCTTCTCGACACCCAGTTCCAACAATGCTCCGATCAGCTCCATATGCTCTTCCAGAGGGCCCGATGCGGTGCTTGTGGTCGACGTCGTTGGTGCATCGCTGAGGCGCTTCCAGAGATCCCGCTTGAAGTCATTGATCTGTTGGCCGACCTCCATCCACATGCGACCCATCGCCAGGATCGTATGTGTCTCGAAGTCGGTCAGCTGTCGGCCACTACTGGAGGCCTGTTCTGCGATGTTCTTTGCGCGATTCGCCAGTGTTCTGGCCTTGGTATACTGCTCAAAAACAGCGTCATAGTCCCTTTGTTGGATGGCCTTGGAGAGATGGCTTCCGATCTCATATACGTCCCGGTTCTTCTCCATTGAATCCACGACTGCCTTCAACATCTGTTCCCGGTCTCGCCCTCCCAAAGCTGGACCCCACACCTCTTCTGCCTTGACAGAGGCTTCCACCAGAGGACCTCGGATGCTCCTCATGCCGTACTCGTTGTCCTTCGTGAGCGCATTCTTTTTCTTGCCCAGGGGTAAGGGGGAGATGCTTCGCTGCTGGCCCGATGGGGTGCGGACATGGCCGGCCGACCTGCGCGGTGCCAGAGTCTGTTCATTCTCTTGTTCTGTCCCTGGATTTTTCATTTCCGCGTAAACACTATCGATGGTTGCTTTGGCCCGCACGAAGCGCTCAAAGTTGGCTTCGACCAAGACCTTTAGCGATGCCGACTTCTGGTCGATGGAGTGCGACAGACGGTCGAGGCCACTGGTTAGCTCTTGAATCGAGGCCGTCGAGTGTGCTTGGGACAGGAAGAGCGCGGGCGAGAAGGACGTCGAGGAGAGCAGGTACCGGGACCGGCTGCCGCCTGCATCTTCGAGGGGCACTCCACGCTGCTTGAGGATGCGAAGGACGCTGTCACTGGTTCCTAGTGGATCTGGTTCGTCCCGTTTTGTTTTCTCTCGGGCCGCCTCCTTCCCATGGCGAGATCCAAAGCTCTTGCGCAAGTCGCTGTCGGTGCGTTCCAGCGCGAAGTAGCGCGACTTGCGTGGGCGGGATTTGGTCTTGGTGCGCTGGACAGCAGGTTCCTCCTCGACATCATCATCATCGTTCAATGCTGCCGGCCATTCTTCGGGGTATTCGGAGGGCAGGTTGTAGTGGCTGGCGACGTCCAAGTCGGCGGCCATGGCGTGGCGATGGAGTCAGGGAAGGGAGGGAAGGGCAGGAGAGAGGAGGCAGACAAGAGGAACGAAAGAGTACAATGGTGAAGAATATCAATACCCCAATGGATAATTACATATCCTGTGGTATGGGATGGTATGGGGTGATAAGCAAGTAGTACGAATGGATGCCAGAGTAAACAGTCCGAAGGTCGGCCCCAAATCAAGCCAAGCCACTCAGGCCGTCAGTCCGGTCGGATCGGGCGGGTGCCGAGAATTTGCGCTCTCCGTCTTTCTTTCTTTCGACTCTCTCTCTCCTCTATTCCCTCCCACTCCCAATCCACCTTCCCTCACTCTTTCAGGGCTATCGTCACTATGCTCGCTGCTCGCTCCTTTACTGCTGCCCGATGCCTGCGGTCGCCCCGTGTGGTCTCCAGCTTCGCCCCCGTGTCGCAGGTACGTAGCCCTCCATCACCATACCCGCCCTCCCCCAATTGCGATGCAGGACGACTCAATTGACTTACTTCCGATAGCTACGCACCTACGCTAGTGCTTCGCAAGACCCCGTGGCCAAGTTCAAGGGCCAGAAGGGCGCTGATGTACGTGACACTGCCGTGACCTCAGTTTTTGCTGCTGCCGGACGCATTACCCGCGATCCGCACATGGAGTGGCAGAATCGCGCGGACAAGGCTGATTATTGTGAATAGGGCAAGTACACCGTCACTCTGATTGAGGGTGATGGCATTGGACCGGAGATCTCGCAGTCTGTCAAGGACATCTTCGAGGCTGCTAAGGTACCGACCCCTCGGGATGCCGACTCCGCTCATCCGTGATGCTAAAACTGTCTTCCTCTAGGCCCCGGTCAAGTGGGAGTCCGTCGATGTCACCCCCATCCTCAAGGATGGCAAGACCGCCATCCCCGATGAGGCTATCAAGAGCGTGCAGAAGAACTACGTCGCCCTCAAGGGTCCTCTGGCGGTATGTGATTTCTACTTGTTGGCTTGTGAAAATACTAAACTCTACCTCTTTACAGACACCCGTGGGCAAGGGCCACGTCTCCCTGAACCTGACTCTCCGCCGGACCTTCAACCTGTTCGCCAACCTGCGTCCCTGCCGCTCGATCGCCGGCTACAAGACCCCCTACGACAACGTCGACACCGTCCTGATCCGTGAGAACACCGAGGGTGAATACTCTGGCATTGAGCACGTGGTGGTGGATGGCGTGGTGCAGAGCATCAAGCTCATCACCAAGGAGGCCTCGGAGCGTGTGCTGCGCTTCGCCTTCCAGTACGCGCAGTCGATCAATAAGAAGAAGGTCCGCGTCGTGCACAAGGCCACCATCATGAAGATGTCCGACGGTCTCTTCCTTAACACCGCCCGCGAGATCGCCAAGGACTTCCCCGACATTGAGTTCGACGCCGAGCTGCTGGATAACTCCTGCCTGCGCATCGTCACCGACCCCACCCCCTACAACGACAAGGTCCTGGTCATGCCTAACCTGTACGGTGACATTCTGTCCGACATGTGCGCCGGTCTGATCGGTGGTCTGGGTCTGACTCCCTCCGGTAACATTGGTGACGAGTGCTCCATCTTCGAGGCCGTCCACGGCTCTGCCCCCGATATCGCCGGCAAGGGTCTCGCCAACCCCACTGCTCTGCTGCTGAGCAGTATCATGATGCTGCAGCACATGGGTCTGCACGACCACGCCGCTCGCATCCAGAAGGCCACTTTCGACACCCTGTCCGAGGGCAAGGTGAGTTATTATCTCCCTGCGTTTTCCGTCCGAACCCCTACTAATTCCGTGATCTAGGCTCTCACCGGTGACCTGGGCGGCAAGGCCAAGACCCACGAGTATGCCGCGGCCATCATGAAGCGCCTGTAAACCGGTGCTGCTCTCCTTGTACTATGACCTTTTTGATCTGTTTCCTTTGTTACCCCCAAATGACCTTTAGACCTCCTACAGCGATCGACTACCCTTATTTATGTAGTTACTAGGATGCCACTTTCTCCATACAAATCAAGTTCTTTTCTTGGATCTCCTTGACATTCTCAATAGTCCCCTAAGATTCTCTTCCTTGGCCCCGTCCCCATTGCACATCTGGACATTTTAAGTTAAGCTGACGTTTGCCCTATCAGTAGCGCGTCACTGAATTCGTATTAGACCTGACGCTCCAGAAGCGCCCGCAAATCTTCGCGGGTCCTCAGGGTGGGTAGACAGAAAGACCCTGTCCTTATGTGTACCTCATCGGGACATTGTCCCCGAACTTCCTGAAACATCGCCAGCTTATCTTCTGAGTCTCGATAATCATACAGATGGATAAAAACAAAACACCAACCCCAAACGACCATAGGTATCAAGTTCAATGCTGGAAAAAAGAAAAATCTCACCGACGTCGACCCGTCCGACGCGTCCCCGTACTCGTAGCCGGCTTCTTGTCCTTCGGCTTCGACCGAGACGCCTGCGCGCGAGTGCTGCGCGACCCCTTCTCATCCTCCGCCTCTTCATCACCCTCGCTCTCGCCGGAGCCCTCTTCACCCTCCTCCTCGCCCTCGTCATTGGCGCCGGTATCCTCACCCGACTCCCCATCATCATCAGATGCCTTACCCGGACTGCTGATTTCTGCCTGCAATTTTGATGAGCGCGTTCCGCGCGTAGATGGGCGAGATGGGCGATTGGACTTGCGGCCTCGCGACGGCGCGGGAGAAGAGCGCGGTTCTATGACGGCCGGTGCGGTTAGCTTCGGACCGATGAAGAACAGAAATAACCAAAAAATTACCATCAGTATCTGCCACCGTGCTTCCTCGTCGAGACTCGGCCGGGTGACTGACTGGGGACGTGGAGCTTTCCATCGCCAGCCGTCTGTCGAACATCATCTCGCCGTATTCCTCATCCGGTAGCTCGAAGGGACAATACATGTCACTGGACAGCTCGCCGTCCTCGCTTGTGTCCATGATCAATGAATCCTCCTACACCCATAGCAAGTACCCATTAGCAAACATGGAAGAGGTCGCAGGCCCATCGCGTCGCAGCTTACCCGCTCATCCAATTCCTCCAGATTGTAGAGAGTTCCTAGCTTCTTCCAAATACCCGCAATGCGCATATGCTCCGCCGAAGCTGGCGCGTATCCTTGGCTCTTCAGGTAGTCGGAGATGGCGAGCATGCGGAAGTGCTTATGGATACCTAGCGGAATAGCACATCAGCGCGAGGATCATTCTGTGGGCCACGAATCGCACTCACCGACTGGCTTCCATTTGATGATCGCCTTCAACAGCGCGGTCTCCTGTTCGTCGGTCCATGGGTCTGTGATGAGGTCGTACTCGTCTGGGTCTGGTTTGACGGCGCTCGAGGTCGAGCCGGGGGTGTTGACGCTCGACGCGGCGGTATCCTGGGGGGTGGTGGAGTGTGTGCGCTTGGCTTTCTTCCTGGGTGGCATGGTGGATCAATTGTGAGAGAAGCAGGTCGTGGAAAGGAAGGAAAGGAATTGAGTTGGACTTGGACAAGCAGTTCAGAGAGCTTATCACTCGGGCGGTCTGTGCACCAATCGTTTATCGCCCGCGGGACAAACAGTTGTGTTGCTCTTCTTATTCTCCTTGGTGTTGACGCGTTCGACTCAGTCGATGGAGTCGGACACTGATCCCTTTGCCAGCGATGGCTTCTGGCGACTGTCCAAGTTCAGTGTCGAGGCCTTGCAGCTGCCGTGGAATGAGACTCTGCCTGGTGCGTTCCGATGGGTCGCCTCCAATGACCCGGGGAAACTGACTTTCGTTCCATCTAGACATCCCAATATTGGGGTTGAACAGTTTACTTGTTGAGCCTAGTGTTAAACAGCAACACGACTCGATCTGGAAACTCGATTACTTCAGCGATGTTCCCGGGCCACCGGAGTCGTCTCCCGACTCCATCATCGAGCCCTCGATAGACGGCCATTCCGAGGCACAGTCTGATCTCCTCCAAGACGTTTCCGCTGATGACGAAGAGAATATATGGGCACTGGAACAATTGAAGGAACTCCCCGGCTACACCTCACCGCTGAAATCATGGGAGAAGTACCAGGACCGGTCATTTCGTGAACCGGTCTCTCCGTACTTTAGCGAATCGGGGGCAAAAGGGGTTTGACGCCGCGTTAGCCCGTCGGAGTGCTCAAAAGAAACCAGGCCGTCTGGTCCGAAACGACGTGTTCATTCGATCATTGCTTCGACTCGGACTTGGCTGGAGCTCGCCGTTTTTCCGCTACAACGAACGGACCAACCAGTTTGAGAGACACCTGACTCACGCGCGCGTCTCAGGTATTAGCCCGGAGGTCTTGGAGATCATCATCGGAGATGTGCTACGGTGCGGCACCAACATGCAGCGACTGCGAGCATTTGCACAGGCCACTCAGGTCAAGGGCAAGGAAATGCCTGCTTTGTTCACGCTGAGCAGCGCCACGGCAGTAGTCGTATACAACCTCGAACAGCAGCTTCTCGATTATTCTAGAAACATTGTTTCACTTTTGCAGACCAAGGCGCTGTTTCAGCGGTGCGGGGACTTGGTTGGCGCCTTGACGGACATTGTGGACGCGGCTGAGAAATGCGTTTCGGAGGCTCAGATCATCTCGACTGTCATGGAACGAGCGGCTTTCTGTGCCCAGAGGTTTGGGTGGCTAGAAAATCTCGTCCAAGAAATCGTTCTCCGCGTAACGGCGCCTTGGTTCAAATTCGTCGAGGGCTGGATTGGTCTTCGGCCGGAGGAACCAGCGTTGGATGAAGATGTGGCGAGTGGGAGAACGTTTGTCCAACTCGAATGCTTTGAGGAGCCTGGCAAGTTCAAGACGGGGCCTGTCCGGATTGATTTCAACTACCGCGCAGACCACATGCCACACACCATACCTATTGATCAAGCGCATTCAATTTTCGAGAGTGGAAGAAGTCTTCGGCTGCTCAAACGATCCCATCCCCAACATCCCATCGGTCGACTTGATGTGCTTAATCGTGCGGGTCGTTTGAATTTGCAATGTGCGACAGCGTGGGACGATATTGAGCGAATTCAACGGACCGCACAAGAATACGAATGCCAACTTCGTGCTGAGATCCTGAGGTACCATCGTGGCGAGCCTTGTACACAAGAGACCGAATCTGAGCCCGTCTTGTCCGAGGCTGATACCGGCAACGAACAAGAGGAGCTAACGGAAACATTTGAGCTTTTCGATATTGACGACGAGAAGCGTGTGTCGGAAGTCGTTGCGGATCAAGAAGCTCTCTCCAAAGACAAATTCTCCGAACTGCTGCACCAAGCCAGAGGCTTTACTCCAGCTTACGATGACAGCCGTTTTGGGCCGGACTTGACTTCAGGTCTCTATCTGTCTCTTGCGCCGATCGTATCGTCCCAGGCGCTTCTGATCGACTTTTCATGTCTCCATCATCTTTTTAAAGAGCACAATATCCGACACCATCTCAATTTACAATGGCGTTTTCAGCTTCTGGGAGATGGATCATTTGTGTCGCGTCTGTCAAACTCCCTCTTCGACCCTGAAATGGAGAGCGGAGAACGCAAAGCCGGCGTCATGCGCAGCGGCGTACATACAGGGTTGCGCTTGGGCAGCCGTGACACATGGCCACCCGCCAGCTCAGAGCTTCGCTTGGTCTTGATCGGACTCCTCGGGGACTGTTACTTTGGTGAAACCGACCCAGATGCACAAGATAAGGACAACGAACTGCCGGGCGGAATGAGCTTCTCAATTCGTGAATTGCATCCCGATGAAATCGAGCGCTGCAAAGACCCTAATGCTATTGAGGCGCTGGATTTCCTTCGCCTTCAGTATAAGCCACCTGAAGTCCTCGAAACTATCATCACTACCCGGTCTCTCAATAAATATGACCGTGTTTTCAAGCATTTGCTTCGCCTCCTTCGCATGGTATCAGTCGTCAAGGGCCTGATTCGCGACTCGACCGTCCGTGGTTCTCTCTCTGGAGACACACGAAATATTTCCCAGAAGTTCCGCATCGACGCTCAACACTTTGTCCTTGCTGTCAGCGACTACTGTTTCCACATCGGCGTCGGCTCGACCTGGCACCGCTTACAAGAAACCCTCGACAGGATCGAACGCTGTCTTGACCGCGGTGATATCGACGGCACGATCGAAGCCGCGCACTCGGTGCCCCGACTCCGTGATTACCACGAGGACATACTCGACCAAATGCTGTTCGCCTTCTTCCTCAGTAAGCGACACGCGCAGGCAGCGAAATTGCTCGACTCCATTTTCAGCACCATTCTCGCCTTTAGCCCTATTTCTAGAGCGGATGGGCTGAGTGGACTTCGTCATGAAAGTGAAGGTACCGTTCTCCATCTGTATGCTACTTTCCGGAAACAGACCTCTGCTTTCTTGGGTTATGTACGCGGGCTGGACTCTGGAAAGGCGTCTTCGAAACCTTTTCATAAATCTGGGGGGTTTTTTGCTTCAAGATCTGAATCCACGAGTGTTTTTGAACATTTGCGTGTGAGGCTGGACTGGAAGGAATACTATTGAAAGGTTGGTGTCACATACAGTTCATGTTAGATAGACTTGGCAGATTTCCTGTTCGAGTACATGCAATAATGATCTTTGATGATTGATGATACCTATTCATGCTATGTTAATCTTGTATCCGGCTCTATAAAACATTACGCTCCTGAAGACTAACTAACTCAAACAGCCTTTGTATCACGCCGGGAACCCAAATTCTTCTTGCGAAACGCCAAATTGAACCCAAAAATACAACCTAGAAGAAGTGAAGGTCGGACTCTTTCCAGCCCTGGCCGACAAGAATATTCCGCGCAGACTTTTCCATCGGACCAGGACCACAGAGAAGAACCATACTGTCTTTCTCAGGAGTAGCATACTCCATGAGCAACTCTTCAGAAATGCGGCCCCTTCGACCAGTCCAAGATTCGGAGCCCTGTGTCAAGGTATGCACAAGTATACATTTCCGTGGATCAGCCGCCACAAAAGCATCTAGCTCTGAGCGACAAAGAATGTCTTCTTCCAGTCTGTTCCCATCAAGAATAACACACTCCGTCGGATCACCAGGGTCCTCCATGATAGCTCGCAATACCTGGAAAACAGGCGTGATCCCCGTCCCACCGCAGATTATCTTGAACGAGCGCACTCTGCACTCTTTCCCACTGATGAGAACTCGGCCATTGCCTAGGTACTCGAATCTTCCAATTGGTCCCTTGAAGTCAACCGTTGTCCCCAACGAAAGCCTATCCAGAGCCAGAGTCATCTTCCCACCTGGCGCTGTAGAAGTTTCGAAGTAGATCTTGACGAGAAGCTCCATTTTCCCTGTCATTCTGGTCCCGGAAATGGGAGTGTAGGATCTGATGATGGCTTCGTTGTTGGCTGCGGAATCAGGGACTTTGATCATCAGGTGCTGTCCTATCGGGAGACCTAGGGTTTGCTTTTCGTGCTCGAGCTCGAAGACGAACACTCGCGTGTCCCAGGACACATCTCTTTTCTCTGTCAGTATGGCTTTTGTCCATGTGTGTGATTGTAGGAATTTTGGACGTGGTTCATTTGAATCTCGGCTGGTGCTGTTCTTGAGTGCTTCGAGGGATGCTTTGTCTAGGGTGCCGATGTGGTAGTCTGGCATCATGGCCTTGGCTGTTTCACTGTCTGTGCATCGAGTTAGAGAATTCTCTTGCGCTTTTATCCTGAATCTTCTTACGAATAGCGAGGAAGTCTTCAGAAACGTCCAATCCCGCAGATGAAGTGATGCTGCTCGCACCGCCGGGATGCCCTTCAAGGAACCCCGTACCATCGTATACCTCTCCATTAACCACAAACCAGGACTTCTCGTTGCTGACATTTGCTTTTAGCTCTTCCAGATCAATCTCCCTGCTCACATTATTCTTCTTCATGTTGATTTCCTTGATCGGCTCCGGCTCAACAGGAGCTTCGCCTTCGATTCGCTCCCCCCAGTTTCCGTTCATCAAATCCCCGCCGGTCTTCTTCGCTCTCTCCATCCAACCACCGGCCTTAGCAGGATGAGTTGGATGTTCAAATTTAAGACAATTCCCTTCTTTCGTGATCGTAACTCGGAACCACGGGTTGTTCATCATCCCCAGCACAGACCAATACATATCTCGTGGCTGTGCCGTCAGTGCTTCGTCCATCGCTCTGACTATAATCGCGTTGCTGGCTGATAGATCTGGAATGGGGATATCGAGGGACCAGAAGCACCAGCAGAAACAGTTCTCACGCCACCATGTGTCCACTTTTCCGCCGAAGAGCTCGCCTTCGAAGGCGCGATATTTGTCTTCTGCGTATTCGATCTCGGAGAGACGCCAGGCTTGCAGCAAAACAGGTCAGCTTGGTTGCAAAAATTGAACCAGGGAATTCACTTTTTCCTTTGTCCAGAGATATCTCAACCCTCGTTATTCTCCGTCCGCCTCCCGCATATGCATACCCCTTCGCGGTGTACATAGACTCAGCGGTGTCAAGATCCAGTGTCTCTTCATGCTGCGGATATGCCGCAACGGAATTAACGTTCAGATCGTAAATGGCATACCGCTCATCATGCCACCAATGGTGCTCCTGTGAAGACATCTCCGGAGAAACCATCGTTCTGGAGTTCATATCAGCATTCCTTTTCTGAATAAAATCCTTTTGTTTTTTAAAACCCACGGTAAAACCCTGTTATCATTGATGTGGTACCAATTATCACTCGGTTCCTCCGTTAGAATCAATCTGTTCAACCACTTAACGCTTCGCCCACCGATCTGTCCCGGCACAACGGCCCTCAAGGGACGCCCGTGGTCTGGTCTGAGGGATTCTCCATTCATCTTATGGGCGAGCATGATTCCCCTGTTTGGATCCATGGCCCAATTCAGCTTTATAGATGTACCGTAATATCCATTTGGCTGGGAAAAACCGGATTAGGATCTTGTGCTTTCCATGTAATATTAAATATTATCTTACTTACCAATTGATCTGCCCCCTCCATACACACATACCTAGCCCTGCGCAGCGGCTTCGCTGCTCGCAGGATATCGGCCATCATGGGCCCTGTGAAAAGGGCTGTCGACAGACCTGCTGGACCCCACGAGAAGCCCTTCGATTTACGCACCGTGTTCTGCTCCTTGCGTCTGTTTCCGGCACAAACTAGCGTTATTGGCGCGGTTATTTGGTCGAAATTCTGTAGAATTTGGCGGAAATTGAGAACAATGGGAGTTTCAACTAGTCTAACATAGAAAGTCAGTTACTTTTGTAGAACAATGGATGTGGTTATGGTGCAGACCCTTCAATACTAAGTTCCCAAGATGGTATATCCTTTTCGTGGACTTGTGGTACAGGACCATGGTTTCGAACGTAAAATAGCTCCGGGGATGTAAGAAAGCCTTTTTTTTTTCTTTCTTAATTTTGTGAAATATACATATCGTAGCTTATCTTACCTTCTTTAAATAATGCTGTGAGGGGGGGCTCAACATTAAAAGGGTGTACACCAGTCAATCGAATGAGCCGTGGATCTCGCGGGACATGGTTGTCCGGTGTGCCTTGGTCAACGTCCAGGATCTGAGTTGGGCTGTATGATGGAGGCGGAAGGGGAATGTCAATCTCAGGCGGTGTTGGGATGCCATCTAATTTGATCTGATTTGACTTGAAAGGGGATATTTGGAGATCCGCAGTTGTAGTCTGTGTCGTTGTGCTCGGCATTGTGCTGGCGCGAGCGAGCTGTTGACAATGTCTCTCGCGGGATGACTATTTGGATCGTTTAAGGACAGGATAATTCGTATGTGACAAAAGAACATTAAATCAATTGCCCTGATATAAATAATCTAGTTTAGTAATATGTCAAACCCTGCTCTTCATCTCGGGATGTCTCTATATGTGGATCTCCGCGGGTCTCAAAACGCCTCGCGATTCGGATCATCGTTGCCGTTTGCCATCAGGTTCACCCCGGACAATTACGGAGAAGCCCTGGATTACAAAAGGATACGATAATGTAAGTGAGTCCACCAAGTTCTTCATCATTATCGCCTTATCTATCTATGCAAAGATAAGCTAGCCCTAACACCAACCAATCATCATCTACTAGCATCTCCGCGGAGAAACAACTATTGGAGCAGTTGGATGCTATCAACATGTTCTTCATGTATTGGAGAACCCGTGTGTCTGCCAAGTAGATCGACTCCCTCCGTTTTGTCCCACAATATGTTGAAATCAAAGCATGGTGTCACAGTAATATTAGGCTCCGATAGTCTCAGCGCTTTAAATTACAGCCGATGCCATAATCTGTAGCTTTTCCGTGCAAAACATCTCACATTTCATCATGCCAATTCTAGATGGACTAAGATATGGTGACCCGATTGATGGAAGCGTTGGCGCAAACATCCCGGAGAGCTCACGACAAAGGATTGTGGTTGTGGGCTTGGGCATGGTGGCCATCTCCTTCATGTAAGTGGTGTAGCTATCAATAGGGTTGAAGTCTGCTAAGCAGTTCCAGTGAGAAAGTCATCAAACATGACACACGCCGGCAATATGACATTGTCGTCGTTGGCGAAGAACCTCATGTGGCATATAACCGCGTTGGGCTGTCGTCTTTCTTCGAGCATCGCAAAATCGAGGATCTATACCTCAATCCGAAGAAATGGGTATATCAATAGATCACTTTCCAAAGTTATTTTGCTAATATTCCCAATCCAAGTACGAATCATTCAAAGAACGCACCTTCGACCACCACCTCAACACCAGAGTGACCGAGATAAACGCTGCCGACCAGACAATCCGTACTTCTACAGGCGACACAATCGGGTATGACATCCTGGTTCTCGCAACTGGTTCTGATGCTGTCCTGCCAACAAATACTCCCGGTCACGACGCAAGGGGCATATTCGTGTACCGAACGATCTCTGATCTCGAGCGTCTCATCGGTTTTGCGGCCCAACACAAAGGCGAAACCGCAGTAACAGTCGGCGGGGGACTCTTAGGGTTGGAGGCCGCCAAGGCCATGACAGATCTGCAGGATTTTGGAAATGTCAAGTTGATCGACCGCAATAAATGGGTATTGGCACGACAGCTTGACGGCGATGCGGGCACGTTGGTGACGCGCAAAATCCGAGAGCTAGGCTTGGATGTTCTGCATCAGAAGCGCATTGCTGTGGTCAACACGAATGCGGAGAATAATGTTACCGGAATCACCTTTGAGGATGGAGAGCAGATCAGTTGCTGCTGTATTTGCTTCGCGGTATTGTCTCTCTTTTCTGTGGGATGAGCGTTTGACTTATTGTGTCCAGATTGGAGTGAAGCCAAGAGATGAATTGGGCCGTTCGGCTGGGATCCAGAGCGCTGAAAGAGGAGGCTTTGTTATTGATGAAAGGTATATCTCAATCCTAATCAAGAGCACGACCATTTTCTGACATGACCAGTTTACGGACCTCAATTCCGAATATCTACGCTATCGGTGAATGTGCCAGCTGGGAGAATCAAACCTTCGGGATTATTGCGCCAGGAATTGAAATGGCGGACGTGTTAGCCTTTAATTTGACAAGCCTCGACAAAGAACCAAAAAGATTTACCCGCCCAGACCTCAGCACAAAACTGAAGCTGCTTGGGGTTGACGTCGCCAGTTTTGGGGACTTTTTCGCTGACAGGGATGGGCCCAAATTTCTCCCCGGTCAACGGCCAACAAATGGTTCCGCAAGGAAAATGGATCATACAGAGTCTCCGGTCAAGGCTCTTACATATAAAGATCCTTTTGGTGGTGTGTACAAGAAGTACTTGTTTACCATGGACGGAAAGTACCTGCTTGGAGGTATGATGATTGGAGACACAAGAGACTATCTAAAGTTGAACCAAATGGTGAAGAGCCAGAAAGAGCTGGAAGTGCCTCCGAGTCAGTTCATTCTCGGTTCCCAGAAAGATGGCGAAGAAAATGCAGACGATCTGTGAGTTTCTGCACCAAGCACCCTCTAGCAGACATTCCTGACCACTTCCTACAGTGATGACAGTACACAGATTTGCTCCTGTCACAATGTTACCAAGGGAGACGTAGTGGAAAATGTCAAGAACGGCACCTGCAAATCAATTGGGGAGCTCAAGTCTTGCACCAAGGCTGGGACTGGTTGCGGAGGCTGTATGCCTCTGGTCCAGTCAATTTTCAACAAAACCATGCTCGAAATGGGACAGGAGGTATCCAATCACCGTCAGTAAGCCCCTACACTTTTGGTCTCAATCCTTTTATTAACTGCCTGCAGTCTGCTCCCACATTCCCTATTCACGAGCCGATCTTTACAATGTCATCGCCATCAAACAGTTAAAGACCTTCGTCGATGTAATGAAGGCAGTCAGCAAGAATCCAGACTCCTTGGGCTGCGAGCTCTGCAAGCCAGCAATTGCATCCATTCTGTCGAGTCTATTCAACCCACATATCATGGACAAGGGGTTCCACGACCTGCAAGATACGAATGACAAATTCTTGGCCAATATCCAAAGGAATGGCACATTTTCAGTTGTACCCCGGGTCCCCGGTGGAGAAATCAGTGCAGACAAACTGATCGCCATCGGCCAAGTGGCCAAAAAGTATGGTCTATATTGCAAGATTACCGGTGCCCAGCGAATTGATATGTTTGGAGCAAAGAAGCAGGATCTTCTCAATATCTGGACCGAGCTCGTTGATGCGGGGATGGAGAGTGGGCATGCTTATGCCAAAGCACTGCGGGCTATCAAGGTATATCCATCATGCACTTCAAAGTTTGATTCTGTTGCTAATTGATCAGAGCTGTGTTGGCACCACATGGTGTCGGTTTGGAGTTGGTGATAGTGTTGGGATGGCCATCCGACTCGAGGAGCGATATAAAAGTATCCGGGCACCGCACAAATTTAAAGGCGCGGTATCAGGCTGCGTACGTGAATGTGCTGAGGCTCAAAATAAGGAGTCAGTGAAATACGTGCCCTACAATTGAAGGAAATCTGCTAATGACTCTCAGCTTCGGTCTTATCGCCACCGAGAAAGGGTTCAACATCTTCGTTGGTGGCAACGGAGGAGCCAAACCGAGGCATTCTGAGCTACTAATCAAAGATGTACCCCCGGAGATGGTCATGCCAATTATTGACCGTTATCTGATTTTTTATATTCGGACAGCCGATAAGCTGCAGCGTACAGCCAGATGGATCGAAAACCTCCCAGGTGGGATCAACTACTTGAGAGAGGTGATCATCGACGACAAGCTTGGCATCTGTGCGGACATGGAAAATCAAATGGAAGAACTTGTGAATAGCTACTTTTGCGAGTGGACCGAGACCGTACGGAATCCCAAGCGGCGGAAATTTTTCCAACAATTCGCCAATACCGAGGAGGCCGTTGAAACGGTAGAACTTGTGAAGGAGCGTTCCCAACAACGCCCTACATATTGGGCCACAGACAGTGCACAAGAGGACTTTAAAGGCCACCAGTGGTCAACTCTTTCGTGGCAGCCTGTGGTCAAAGCAGATCACTTCTCTGACGAGTACCCGCAAATCTCATCTGCCAACATCAAGCGCAGCGACACTCAGCTAGCTGTGTTTAAGATCAAGGGCAAGTACTACGCAACTCAGCAGATGTGCCCGCATAAACGAGCATTTGTCCTTTCGGATGGATTGATTGGCGATGACGATGCTGGTAAATATTGGGTCTCGTGCCCTTACCACAAACGCAACTTTGAGCTCAACGGCGAGCAGGCCGGTCGGTGCTCAAATGACGAAGATTTGAACATTGCTACGTTCCCTGTGGAGGAGCGCGATGATGGATGGGTTTATGTGAAGCTTCCACCGATTGAGGAGCTAGATTCGGTTCTCGGAACTGAAAAGTGGAAGGTGAGGAAAGGGGAGGCCCCCAATCCTTTTGAGAAGGCGGACAAAAAACTCAAGGGGCTACGAGGCAAGAAAGTTGGGGAGAGTAATGGGTTAATACCGTCAGGAAAGGCAGTGAACGGGATTGACTGGTAATTCATGTGCTTTCAGCTTGGTTGGAAATGTATCTACATAAGTATATATTTGTGTTGCTTGTACGGCGACGCTTCTATGGTGCTTCCACATTCGCCGAGAGTGAATGAACGTCCAGTATAGTAGTATCAATCGCCTATTTCGTGGAACTCACGAGGCATCCCTGAGAGCACTGCCATGCGTTCGTCATTGGTGACCGCGAGGTAGAAGATTTCCCCGTTAAGCCTCTGCTCTGCGTTGTCAACCTCCTCTACCAATACTTGTGTTTAGCCTGGGTCTCGCTGCAGAGGCGCCTGAATTCGAGGAACGGAGGACCTCCTCGTTGTGATATGCATCTATCCCGCTACTATCCCCACTTCCGTCCGGTGGGATATAGGTATTCAATTAATCATAGATGACCTCGCTCTGCTTCCTCTTGTATCTGAAAAGCAGTATTTCGCAGGGAATAGGGCTTCTGTATTCACGTGATACTCGATATGTGATTGGTCCAATCGAGGCTTATCTTTGCCCTCCCACTCTTCAGCCCATTTGCAATCGGTGTGTCATGAGTCCAAGGATATTGAGAGTTCCCCAGATCTGCAAATCCATCTCATTCTATCTAGGCACTTCCGCGGAGACTGGATCTTTTTCTGGAACTAGGTTGGCCCACAATCCAATCCCTAGATCACCCGGTACCCAATAAGAGGCTTGGGAGTTATCAACGGCTTGCAGACGATCGATGTCGTTCCTACTGTGTGCTGACAACTAGCAGATTCCCTGTGGCAAGCTGGTTAGATCCGCGGAGTTACATCAAGGGAACCTATCATTCAGTCACTAGGATACTGATTCGGTTCATCGGCCATGCAGTCATGAAAGTTTCCAGGAATGGGTCAGGGCTCACTATGCCTCACTGGAATCTATGTAGAAGGTACTGTCGAATCAGCTTTGTTGGATATCGATTGCCATGATGGTGCCCAGGTCCTTGGCTGATGAACCCCTGTTGACAATACGCACCATTAACGTTTGATCGACTGACATGCGGGAGATAGATGGTCGGGTCATTTTTAGTCTAATATATGCCCCCTTTCCACGGAATCTCTTCGAAATAATATCCTTATGGTTAATTCTACCTAGCTATTTGCATCTCACAGTCAATCGGTCCAGATCATATCTAAAATCTCTGGGCAAGTACCTGGGTTTAGTCCAATATCCACCTGAGTTGGCAAGCCGTTATTTTACGCAAATTTTGAACAAGACAAGAATGGTTGTCGGTTTTGTTAAGCTTCTCTTTGTCTCACCAGAGATCAATCTGGGCAACCGCAAGGCCAAGTCAATTCCAGTCCTAAACCCATTCGATCAATATGGACGAGTATTCTTCTTTTCCTGGCTAGGCTTTATGGTTGCATTCCTATCGTGGTACGCGTTTCCGCCGCTGGTATGTCCCTCTCTCATATCTAAGATCTATGGCTTCAAGCAATTAATCATCGAAACCTTTTTTTTCTCTGCAGTTGACTGTCACCATCAAGGAAGATCTGCACATGACACAAAATGAGATTGCCAACTCGAATATTGTTGCGCTTCTAGCAACGTAAGAGATCCTGGCACAGCTCTATTCACTATAAAAGTTAATTGAAATACGTGCAGGCTCCTTGTGCGAATTATTTCTGGGCCTCTGTGTGACCGCTTTGGTCCTCGCCTGGTATTCGCTGGGCTACTGCTTAGCGGCGCCATTCCAACTGCCATGGCAGGGCTTGTCACAACTCCAAATGGACTAATTGCCTTACGATTCTTTGTCGGAATCTTAGGTGGCACTTTTGTTCCCTGCCAGGTCTGGTGCACGGGTTTCTTCGACAAGAAGATCGTGGGGACGGCCAACTCTCTAGCTGCCGGCTGGGGAAATGCAGGCGGAGGGATCACATAGTATGTTGACGGTTCCAAAAGTTGGGATTTCTCAATTTCTGACAGCGCTTCTCCAGCTTCGTGATGCCTGCTGTATACGACTCTCTCGTCCTTTCGCGCGGCTTATCCTCCCACATTGCATGGCGCGTTGCCTACATTGTTCCTTTTATTATTATCACTGCCATAGCATTGGGAATGCTCTTCTTCTGCGAGGATACACCAACGGGCAAGTGGTCAGATCGACACTTCTTGATGAAGGAATTTTCTGGTACCACAACAGATGGGAATATCATCGACATCAATTCGGGTAACCCATCCAGTGGAGCATCTACTGCGGCCTCCGTCAGCAACCTTGGAAATATTGACGTTGAAAAGAAAGGAGCCCAGTCACCGCAGGTAGTCGACAAAGACAGCTCTGCAACTGGAGAGATAGACACTATCAAGCGCGAAACCGTTGTCGCCCCTTCGCGCAAAGAATCTCTGAAAGTTGCTTTTAGCCTGTCTACTCTTGCAGTCGCAGTGCCCTATGCCTGCTCTTTTGGTTCTGAGCTGGCCATCAATTCGACTCTGGGAACCTACTACGCAGCAAACTTCCCCAGCATGGGTCAGACCGAGTCTGGCCGCTGGGCCGCAATGTTCGGTCTGCTCAACGTTGCGTTTCGGCCTGCTGGCGGTCTCTTTGCAGATTTACTCTATAGTCTCACGGGCTCGGTGTGGTCGAAGAAATTGTTGTTGTCCTTCTTGGGAATTATCATGGGCGCGTTTCTGCTTGCAATTGGGTTGTCTAACCCGACCAGTGAAGCAACCATGTTTGGACTCTTTGCTGGCCTGGCATTCTTTCTGGAAGCCTGCAACGGGGCTAATTTTGCCGTTGTGCCTCATGTGCATCCATTTGCCAATGGTAAGCTGGTTCCTTTTCCGGAGTTGAACTAACTGAAAGCTCACAATTATGTGCAGGGATCGTTTCTGGAATCGTAGGTGGGTTTGGAAATCTCGGCGGGATCATCTTCGCCATTGTCTTCCGGTACAACGGAGATCAGTATGGGCGATCTCTTTGGATCATGGGCGTCATTTCGCTGGCGGCGAACGCGGCTGTCTGTTGGATTCGACCGGTTGCTTCCAGCCAGATGGTGTGCTCGTAAAGGCTATCATATGATTTTGCATATAATATTTGTAATAGAGGGTGGAGTTTATATGAACTATTGTGGAGTTGGACTTGGGATACCGGTGGGGCTTCGGGTTAGCAACCTCCGAGGGGAGGATGTCGCAACGACGTGACGGAGGGGCAAGCAAAGTTGTTCACTCTTTCAACACTTCTATTGCACTGAGAACACTTATCAGCGAGTCAAACTTCCAGTTTCTCTTCTGTCCATCCCGTATACGAGACCGCAAGACATAAGCCTGCAAAGCACCCCCGCATCCAGAGAAACTTCGAACATTTCCGACAATCAGCAATCCACAAGGCACAATGTCTCCTGTCCGTCGCATCGCGCAAATTGTCTATCTCAAACCATCCGCTGTAGCAGCATACAAAGAATGCCACGCCAACGTCTGGCCCGAGGTCCTGCAGCAAATCAAAGACTGCAACATCCGAGACTGTACGTCATGCAAGAGAAAGATGTGGATATTCGTTCATCGCGCTGATTCCAGATACAATTCAGATTCGATCTTCTTCGACAATGACCGGACATTGTTCTCAACATTTAAGTATATCGGTTCAGACTTTGAGGGTGATATGGCGTGCATGAAGGCCAATCCCAAGGTGAGGGAGTGGTGGGCTATGACCGATGGGATGCAGGTGAGCTTTAATTTTTAATGTTCTTGTTTCTATATCCTATTATTGGAGCTGATTTGATATGTTGTACTAGGAGAGTCCGATTCCTGGTGCTGTGGGTAGCGCAGAGGGTCCAGGATGGTGGAAGGTGTTGGATGAGGTGTTTTATACGGAATGATTAGAGCAAGTTTTCAGGACTCTGGGCATATTTTAATTTCAGCCGTATGCAATTTATACCTGGAGGTTATAACGGTATATCATACAATGAAGACATATACAGTACGTTACCGTAGCCCTCAAGCATGTGCGGATGAGGGAAGTGGATATACCCGCCCCCAAATCGGTCCCTGAACTGCCCAGCCCAATTAACCCGACATCTTATTTCGCCGGCTACAAAAACAAAAGAATACATTCTAGCCCTAAATCGTTAGGGTTAGATATGATTATGCAATTGTGGGGTAGATAAAAACAGGAGGAGCAAGCCTATCTGCAGCCATAGCTTCATGAGTACGCTCCCGGCATTTATCATATTTAGACCTTACTGTGCGTAAAAGTATCTATGGGAATTGGCTATACCCCGACCTCTTTCGCAGTGCGCACAATATTTAAGGACCTCGATTATTGCATTTAAACAGACAGATATATAACTCCTGATTTGACCTTTCTTCTGTCTGTCTGCTAGACAGCGTGAGTGACTCCGCCGCTGCTGGGTAAGAATAAGCTTAAATATAGGTGATATTATTGATTTACACACGCGGTTAAATATCTGAACCAAAGCACAAGGGCAACAACAAGGCCAAAACGCTTAATATGTACTCGCTTTAGGTTGCTCGGCTCATCTTCCGCAATTAAAACTAGCGTCCACTAATAGAATAATGGCTAGGCTTCCCGGCTGTAGCGGATGATTTCCTTCGCCACTGGGGCGGTTGAATTGTGCCTGAATAATTGCTCACTCCCACTCTGGACGAACGGGCTCCGTATACCCAGTCGTGAATGAGCACGCTATGCTTTTCCGGGCACACCGGCTTTCGAATCCCCAACAAAAATTTGTGGAGATGGGTAAGGCGCCGGGAATTTCTTGTAAGCGGATTGGCCAGATTGGGACAAGCCGACTCCAGAGCCAGATCTTAAGCTGTCAGTCGGCTAATGAATAATAATAGGGCTCCGCCGGGCCGGAGCAGCGTGGTCCGGGCGGCTCCCCGGTGTGCAGAGATATTCATCCGACGGGGACAAAAGAAGAGAATGACTTGAAGGTTTTTCCGCCGGGCTGAAAATGGAGATGCCCGACCGTATTAGCGAAGGATCTTCGAGTGTTCGTGGAATGGGAGGCCAGAGTGGTTTTTGAGTCAGCATAGATGGAGTGGCAACAAGTACGTATGGTCAGTAACTATTGCAATTGTCATGTTGATATCGATCATTCGAACGGATAGTCGTAGACATAGAAAATAATAACTACAGTACCTACTACTACTGTAGAATCCATGTATACTCCCTACTACGTACTGCGAAGATATCTGCACTATGCGATTTAGTCTGCCCCACCACAGACATCATCCGCCCCCCACCACCAAACACACCCCTCCATCGCTTCTTTCTTTCTTCTTCCTCTTCTCATCTTCATCCTCCCCCTTACATATCCATTTCCCATCATTGTACGTTCGCCTTCAATTCTCCGACTGATCATTGCTGACTCTATCTCTCTGTAGTAACCGCCATCATGGGTTACACTGATCTGGACAAGTTGGCTGTCAACACCATCCGTGTTCTCGCGGTACGTCCTGCTCGCTCCATCCACTCGGGACGTGGCGGAACAGAACAAGCTGGCCATCTGCCACGTTCCTTGCTTTCAATTGACTCTTTTGCTAATTTTCCGTCAGGTTGATGCCGTCTCCAAGGCCAACTCGGGTCACCCCGGTGCCCCGATGGGCATGGCCCCTGTGGCCCACGTCCTGTTCAACAAGTTCATGAGCTTCAACCCCCAGAACCCCGACTGGATCAACCGTGATCGTTTCGTTCTCTCGTGAGTCTTTCTGTTGCGATCAATTTCCTACGTGTAACGCTCCAGTGAATCAATTAGCCGCTGACACTTACGCTCTACCTCAAGGAACGGCCACGGCTGCATGCTGCAGTATGCTCTGCTCCATCTGTTTGGCTACAAGCTCACTATGGACGACCTGAAGAGCTTCCGTGTATGTTTTTGAGAATCACTATGAAAATGGGCTCTTTTCTGACGAACGCAGCAAGTCGGAAGCATCACCCCTGGTCACCCCGAGTCCCACGACACCCCCGGTATCGAGGTCACCACGGGTCCCCTGGGTCAGGGTTTCTCCAACGCCGTCGGTCTGGCCATCGCGCAGGCCCACACCGCTGCTGTCTACAACAAGCCCGGCTACGATCTGATCAACAACTACACCTACACCTTTTTCGGTGATGGCTGCGCCATGGAGGGCATTGCCAGCGAAGCCGCTAGCATGGCTGGCCACCTGCAGCTGGGCAACCTGATCGCCATCTATGACGACAATGGCATTTCTATTGGTACGTGACGCTTCGATCAGCCCGAGTCTACCCGGTGGGAAAACCGAACTAACCCTATATGCCTAGACGGCGACACCAAGTGCGCCTTCACCGAGGATGTGATGAAGCGCTTCGAGGCCTACGGCTGGCATGTCGAGCACGTGAAGGATGGTGACCACGACCTCCAGGGCATCGAGGATGCTATCCGCAAGTGCCAGCAGGTCAAGGACAAGCCTTCCGTCATCAAGCTGACCACCACCATCGGTTTCGGTTCCAAGCTGCAGGGCACCGGCGGTGTCCACGGTGCTCCCCCTCAAGGCCGATGACGTTGAGAGCGTGAAGAAGGCCTTTGGCTTCGACCCATCCCAGAGCTTCGTCGTGCCCCAGCAGGTGTACGACCTGTACCACAAGCACGCCGCCGAGGGTGCCGCCAAGGAGCAGGAGTGGAACCAGCTCTTCGAGAAGTACCAGGCCGAGCACAAGTCTGAGGGTGCCGATCTGGCTCGCCGCCTGGCCGGCAAGCTGCCCGAGGGCTGGGAGAAGAGCCTCCCCACCTACAAGCCGACCGACCCTGCCATCGCCTCGCGCAAGCTTTCGGAGGCCGTCCTGGAGAAGATCCACTCGGTCATCCCCGAGCTGCTGTCCGGCTCGGCTGATCTGACTGGCTCCAACAACACCCGCTGGAAGAACGCCGTCGACTTCCAGCCCCCCAACCTGGGCCTTGGCGACTGGTCCGGCCGCTACATCCGCTACGGTGTGCGGGAGCACGCCATGGCCGCTGTCATGAACGGTCTCGCCGCTTACGGCACTATCATTCCCGCTGGCGGTACCTTCCTGAACTTCGTGTCGTACGCCGCCGGTGCCGTGCGCCTGTCGGCTCTCTCGCGCGTCCGCACCATCTACGTCGCCACTCACGACTCCATCGGTCTGGGTGAGGATGGCCCAACCCACCAGCCTATCGAGACTCTGGCTCACTTCCGTGCTCTGCCCAACTGCATGGTCTGGCGTCCCGCCGACGGCAACGAGACCAGCGCCGCCTATTACTCTGCTCTGACTGCCAAGCACACTCCCACTATCCTGGCTCTGACCCGTCAGAACCTGCCCCAGCTGGAGAACTCGACCATCGAGAACGCCCTGAGGGGTGGTTACGTCGCGGTCGAGACCCCCAACGCGGCCGTGACCATCATCTCGACCGGTTCGGAGGTCGGCATCTGTGTTGACGCCGCCACCTACCTGAAGGAGAAGCACGGCGTCGCTGCCCGCGTGGTTTCCGTTCCTTGCTTCGAGGTGTTCGACGCCCAGGACAAGGCCTACCGCCTGCAGGTGCTGCCGGATGGCATTCCCGTGCTGTCGGTCGAGGTGTGCTCGACCATGGGCTGGGAGCGTTATGCGCACGAGCAGTTCGGTTTGAACCGCTTCGGTGCCTCCGGTCCGTACAAGGAGGTGTACGCCAAGTTCGAGTTCACACCCGAGGGCATCAGCAAGCGTGCCATTGCCACCATCGACTTCTACAAGGGCGCTACCGTGCGCTCGCCCATCAACCGGGCCTTCCAGCAGATCCTGTAAGGGTCCGTCCTAAAAAGAGAAGGAAATAGAATGAAAACGAATAGATGAATTTTATTTAAGAGGATAATCTCGATTTGGATTTTTCGTTTACTACATATTGTTCTATTGTAAATCACTCCATCTCCGCTGCTGCATCGCCACCACCTCCCTCAGCATCTCCTCTTTACTCTTCCTCGTTTCCGCCGTATACGGGCCATATGCCTCCTCAGTCTGTTGCACAACCATATCCCTCCATTTCTCCCCGCCTTCCGCACTAATCTCCGTCTGGCCCAAATCCCGCCACACGGGCTGCATCGTCGGCATAAGCTTCTGCAAGAAAGCTCCAATCCCGCCTTCCCCGCCGCCAGCATGGTAGCTCTCAAATACACCACTGCCCGCCCACCGCGGCCCAAGACTAGCCGTCACGATGGCATCGAGGTCTCGCGCGCTGACCACTCCCTCGCCGACGAGATGGCATGCTTCGCGCAGGAGCGCGAATGCAAGTCTGTTTCCGACGAAGCCGGAGATTTCTTTGTGTAGGATTATGGGACGGTAATAGCCTTCTTTCTTTTGACTTTGACTCTGAACCTCCGACGAAGAGGAAGACGAGGAAGAGGGAAGAGGCAAGGGACCGGGCGTAGTATCAAAGTACCTCGTCACAAACTCAACCCTGTCCGGCTTAGTCTCCGGTCCCGGAACAATTTCCACGAGGGGCATCAGATGCGGCGGATTAAACGGGTGAGCCACGAGCAAACGGGACTTAACATCGTTCCCATCGACGGAACAAGTAGCACACTGCGCCGAAGCAGCAATCCCACTGGAACTACTCCACAGATGCGCCGTGGGATCCGCAAATCCCTGGACCTGTGTCCAGAGAGCCTGCTTCGAGGAAAGGACTTCGGGCGTTTGTTCTTGGATGACAGTTGCGCCGCGGCAGGCATCTTCGAGGGAGGCGGAGAGGCGGAGACGGGATGTGGAGAGGAGCGTTTGGATTATGTCTTTGTCTCCATGTCTGTGTTCTTGTTTCGGGTAGGAAGACGAGAGGAATGCGGGCAGCAATTCGTGTACCTGGGACTCCAAGTCTGGACGTGGGTCGTAGAGCGTGACGGATGTGTCGGGGCGGCGGAGGTGGAGGGCTGCCATTGAGAGGCCGATTGTGCCGGTGCCTAGGAGGGTGATGCGGTGTGGGTAGGACATGTCTTTATCTTTTGTTTATTTCTTGTTGTATGTTGTTGTGAAGCGTGTGCGAGGAAGAAGGAGAGGAAGAAGAAGACGACGTTGGGTATGTATGAGGGGTTGGTTATCCTCGGCTGCGGGGAACCGATCTATGCCCGTAACCAGGTATAGTTACTAGGTGAAAAAACTACGGTACAAAAGTACTGTATGGACGAATCCGAAACCCTTCATTGCGAATCATAAATCTACTGCCAAGTTACGCACCGAGCGCCTTGCGCGCGAAGTTGGGCAGCACAAAGCTGGCGCGGTGGATGTCCTGGTTGTAGTAGCGGCACAGACGCTCCTCCTCCTCGCGGGACCAGGTGCGGACAGGCTCGCGCACGTTGCGAGAGGCATCCTTGCAGCAGACCATGAAGCCAATCTGGCCAGACGGGTAGGTGGGGATGGTGGTGTAGGCGTACTCGGCGACGGGGAAGACCTCGTTGCAGGACTTCTTGAGTTCGGTGATCAGCGAAAGGTGCAGCCATTGGTTCTCGGCTGTTGGACAGAATGCACAGTTCCCACAAAACCGAGCCCGAAAGCGGGTTGGTTGCGGGGTGGTGCGAAAAGATTAGCCTATGTTTCGTAACAAGAACGGGGTGGAGAGGAGAGGAGAGAAAAAAAGAAAGACAGAAAAGAAAGGCGACGAACAACCTTGGGTGGTGATGACGCCGCCGTCGCGCAGCGCTTCGTTGAGCAGCTCAAAGTACGGCTTCTGGAACAGGGACTCGGCGGGGCCCTCTGGGTCAGAGGAGTCGGTGATGATGACGTCGAACTCGTTCTTGTGCTCCTTCAGGTACTCGAAGCCGTCGCCGACGTGGACCTTGGCGTTGGGGTGCTGGAAGCCGATGCTCATGCCGGGGAGGTATTTCTTCGAGAGACGGATGACGGCCTCGTCGATGTCGCACAGGGTGGCCTCCTCGACGGACTCGTGCTTGACGACCTCGCGCAGGACACCGCCGTCGCCGCCGCCGATGACCAGCACCTTCTTGGGGTTGGGGTGCGAGTTCATGGCCAGATGGGTGATCATCTCCTGGTAGGAGAACTCGTCGCGCTCGGTGCACTGGATGACGTTGTCCAGCACCAGCACCGTGCCGTAGTCGCTGCTCTCGAACACCAGCACGTCCTGGTACTTGGACTTTTCGTGGTGAAGGATCTGGTTGACCTTCAGATTCATGGCCTGGCCGGGCCACATGTCCGACTGCTCGGAGAACCAGCCATCTGAAGAGGCAAGGTTAGTTTTTTTGCTTCAGTGGAGGCGGGGTAGCAGAGAGAAAATACCCTTGATGGTGGGGTGAGTGATGTTGCTCATTGTGTGGAAGGGAGAGGAGGAAAGGAAGGGAAAGAGGAAGGAATGATAGAAGGAGGAAGAGGAAGAGGAGAAGGTGGAAGTTGTAGAAAAGAAGAGGGCGGATGGGCGAAGCAGAGATCGAAGAAGTCGGGACATGCGGGAGTTTGTCTGTTTTGGGCGAATTTTTTTGCTTCTTTTTTTCGGTCGGTGTGGGGACGGGCTGAACAGCGCCAATAACAGGGTAGGTGTGAATAATAGAGTAATACTGATCTTTAGTCAAGGAATGGGATCAATTGAATGGTAGAAGTCAATGGGTAATTATTCTGTGGATTTGTGTAGTATGGCGTAGTGTTGTATATACTGTAGGAGAGATCCCGGACCGGCGAGGTGGACTACACCCAACTACGAAGACAGACCAATGGTAAAGGCATAGATCAGACAAAGGAAATGGTGATTGCTTTCTAGTTACTGTACAATCATACAGCTCCACCACTGTGTATACCAATTCAATTCAACTCAATTCCATCGATCCATCCATCCATTTACTCAGAACCAGCCTCAAGGCGGCCGGGCTTGGAGTTCAGGTACTCGTTGCTATCACGCCCAATTAGCAACCTCATTCAACTCCTACATCAGTAACAGCAGTCTTACCGCTCAATGGCCCAGTTCATGGCGGCGTACGCAGCAACGAAAGGAGGCACGACGTAGAGCACCTGGTGGCGGAAGCGGCGGAAAACGTTGAAGACGGCGGCGTTGGCGGCACCGGCGAAGGGGCGCTGGCGGTTAGCCGAGAGTGAGTAGGTAGCGATGCGCTGGGGAGTCGGGCACCCTGCAGTCACGGCGGGTCAGTGTCTATCATCAGGCATGGTGTCCTTCCTCTTTCCATTTCTCTCTCTCTGTGTTCCCCTCTCTTCACTCCCCGGTCATGATTTCCTTCTGATCGCTGGTTTGTTTTGCCAATTTGAGAGGTGTGTTCGAGAGGGGAGTTCGGAGAGAAGGTGTCGACCGTATGCGGACACACTCGGGTCGAGGGAAGGGTCATCGTCCACGTACCAAAATCGCCCCAGCCACCCATGTAACTATATTGAGACCATCATCAGCACACGTAAATCTCACAGCAGGGTGTGTGGCAGGGCAAGCTATTGGCCTCACTGGCAGCCGGGATGCTTCAGATCACACCCTCGGCAGACGCAAGCGGGCGCGCACCAGCGCAGGACACTGGGGGGAAGAGAGTGTGAAACTTACATTCCGTTCTTAGGATCCAGAGCGCCACCCATTGTGAGAGGATTGAGTCGAGAGAATCGAACGTGGGAGGGTCGAAGTGGGCAAGCGAGATGGTTGAAGGACAAGAAACGAGTTGACGGTCGGGCGAAGTTGGAGGTTTGGCCCATCCACGCTAAACCTGATCGGGGCGACATCACTGACACTCCATCTCGGTCCTTCCTTTCTCTCTCTTCATCACCCTTCCACCTCATCCCCCGTCCACCATGCAGAACACCCTTCAACGCCTCTACCGGGTGGCCATCCCGGTGACGGGTGCGCTGCTGCTAGCCGATGCCTCCCTCTACGACGTCCGCGGTGGCACACGGGCAGTCATCTTCGACCGATTGTCCGGTGTGCAGGAGAAGGTAGTCAACGAAGGCACACACTTTTTGGTTCCCTGGCTGCAGCGAGCCATTATCTACGATGTCCGCACGAAGCCTCGCAATATCTCCACCACGACCGGTAGCAAGGATTTACAGATGGTCAGCCTGACGCTGCGCGTGCTGCACCGACCGGACGTGCCGAAGCTGCCTCAGATCTACCAGGTGAGCTTACAACACCCACAAGCACAGGATCTCTCACGAAGCTAACAATGGTTTAGTCATATGGTACGGACTACGACGAGCGTGTCCTCCCCTCCATCGGAAACGAAGTCCTCAAAGCAATCGTCGCCCAATTCGACGCCGCCGAGCTGATCACACAGCGTGAAGCCGTATCGAACCGCATCCGCACTGACCTGCTGAAACGGGCGGCGCAATTTAACATTGCTCTCGAGGACGTCTCCATCACGCACATGACCTTCGGCAAGGAGTTCACGCGGGCTGTCGAGCAGAAGCAGATCGCCCAGCAGGATGCCGAGCGGGCGCGGTTCATCGTCGAGCGCGCTGAGCAGGAGCGCCAGGCTAACGTTATCCGCGCGGAGGGTGAAGCCGAGAGTGCCGAGATCATTAGCAAGGCTGTTGCCAAGGCCGGTACTGGGTTGATTGAGATTCGGCGCATTGATGCCAGCAAGGAGATTGCGCAGACTCTGTCCGGTAACCCGAACGTTACCTATCTGCCGGGTGGGGAGGGTAAGGACGGTGGCAAGAGCACGAGTCTCCTTTTGGGTCTGCGGAGCTGAGTTGAACGAGAAACAAAATGTATCATCTAATCGCACTCTTTGGGGAGGGTCCGCTTGTGCCATGGCGGAGCCTTTCCTGTTCCTTCTTCTATATGTAGCAATATCATACCTCTACTCTGATGAAGCTCGCTTGTCTTTTAGTCATATATACACCATATTCACCCTGCGACCCTCCGATATACATGCAGCTGAAACCGCATATCCTCCAGTCCAGCACCCTCTCCAACCTCATACCGCAGCCGTGGCGCATCTCGCCTCCACCAGCGCGAGTCCTGCGAGAACACCCGCTCCCACTTCCCCTCAGCCACAGAGAGAAGCGTGTGATCGAGCAAGAACTTCATGGGGTACTTGCGCTCCTGCATATTTCCATCTTTCCCGTTCAGTTTGACGGTTGAGTAGCTTCCCGGACTGTCGACTACCAGCAACACAGTCCCTGCTGGGAGAGTTTCGGTCATCTGGAGTAGGAGTTTGGTGGCTTTAGGCATGGATGTGGAGAAGAGCTCGTTGAGGGTGAACATTAGAGTCACCAGTAAGGAAGCAGAAGTGGCATGGGTGTCGCGGAAGATGTCGTTTAGTTCGGACGCGGGGAGAGTGAGGACATCGGCCCGTTGAAACGAGACGGAGAACGTGCTTCGCTCACGCACCAGCGGTGGCTGGTGTTTTGATGTTGACGGCGTTGGTACATCCGCCGAAGTGATCGTGTCGGACAGTCTCTCGATTACGGCAGTCCAGTCCGCGATATCAACAGCCGTGACAGCGAGACGGGGGCCTGAGGCTTCCCCAAGACCAGTCCCGCTTTCTTCCTCATTCTCCGTATTCTTCTCCGTCAGAGCCAACCCAGCAACACCCTCTTCCAATCCGTCACCATCGTCACAGCCCAAATCCCTCCACGCCGCAGCAAGCGCAACTATCTCCGCACCTGCACCACCACCTAAGCAGACAACACGGGTAGATGGCGCAGTATGCAATCCCTTCCCAGAAGCATTGTCCTCCTTCTGATCCCTCATAAGCCCAAACACCCACCTAAATAGCCCCGCATACCCCAAAGCCCTGGCCGCACTCCAGCGCAGCGCGTAAGCGCGCAGCAGATCATCGTCGGCATCTGCGAAGGCCGAGTCGAAGTCCCGTTGGTAGAGATGTGATTTTATCGTTTGTATTAAGGATTTGGTGTCTAGGGGTGTGTTGGTTTGGTGGGTTGAGTCTGCTGGCTGTAGTTGTGATGGTTCGGCGGAGTCGGGGGACTCGGAGTGCACTGGGGTTGAGGGGAGAAGGGCTGCTTTGAAGACGTCGAGGAGGAGTTGTTGAAGGGAGAGGGGGACTGTGGTGTCCAAATCGAGGCCATTGGCGGAATTATTCGTCTCTTCATGGCTGGTTTCGCGGGGTGGGTGTGATTTTCGCGACTGGGGAGGTTCTCGGCGGGAGGAGGATGGTTTGGAATGAGAGGATGGTTTGGAATGAGAGGATGGTCTGGACTGGAAAGAATCGGGTATCTTGCGGTTCCCACGTTTGGTAGGAGCCATTGACAGGAATTGTGAGTGGTTTTGTCGATCTAAAGGAGGAGAAAAGAGGAAGAATTCAAGCCGGCCATTTTCTGCGTATCGTTATCTTATCGGCATCTTCTATCTACACTACTACCATCTTGGAAGTTCACAGTTCAACAGGGAATTGGTCACATTTCCACCTACCTATTTTACTCAGCACAGGAATGACCGGTGTGGCTAGATACAATAGGCAAAATACCACACTAAGCGTACCCCAGTCATAGAGAAGAATAAAAAGGGACCCAAGATGGGCCAAGGGAGAATAGTATTTCAGAAGAAATAAAAAAAGTAGTGGGCCCGCGCTGGGACAATGATCGTGGAGAAAATGAATCAAACCGTGCGTCACTCACACAGGTAGCATAAAACGATAGACAAGAAGATGACAACATATCATACTCAGAAATGCGAAAAGACCCGCAGTCTGATGCGAAAGAGATTCGTAATCGGCGCCCGCAAGAAAGAATGGAAAACCCTGGGGCCGATATTACTATGTACAGTCCAGGCGAGGGAGGGGGTATTTGCCCAGGCCGCTCGAAGCCACGAGAACGGAAGAAGCCGAGAAGATGGAAGTTGCCGCGAGAAATAAAGGATCCCATGCTGCCGGGATATCGCTATGCCGATGTTGCGCCATGATACCAAAAACCACAAAATGCGTAAAGACCAAAAAGGATCACGAGGTGGGCCGGGTGCGAGGGCGAGGTGCCGAGGCCGCCTCTGCCGAGAACTTGTCTTTGTCCTTCTGTTTCCAGAAGTGCATGAGACGACTGATTCGGCGACCCTTCCCCTTGGCCTTGTCGGGTGAGTCACCCGGAGGCTTCTCTTCTTGGCTCAACTTGCTCCGTTCTGAAGGCCCACTCATCAGCTTGGAAAGGCTAGCCAAGCTGGACCGCTTCGGTGAATTCGCGGGGTCGGTTCGTCGGTTGAGACCAACTGAAAAGGACGAGGCGCGGTTGGTTGAGGGACGAGCACGGGCTAAGAAAGTAGCAGAGAAGCGATGCAAGGTGTTTGTCATGGTCGATGCACTGCTGGTGAGGGACGGGACATCCTCAATCGATGCATGTGGAAACTCCGAAGGCAGGTGATGGTAAGAATGGCTCGAAAAGGTACGGTCAAACGGTGTCCTTGGCGCCCCAGGAGACGGAAATGATGAATCAGAAGGCGAAACTCCGGCCGAAAGAGCAAATGGAGGGATGGTGGGCATGAATTCCATTGGAGAGGAGGCCGGTCGTTTCTCAACGGCCAAAAAGCGTGGCGAGACATCCGGGCTAGAAGGCCCTGGCGTTCTGTGCCCGCTCTCCTCCGACTTTAGAATCTCCACTGAGTTATGAAGCTGACCAGGGAATAGGTTGCCGGCGTTTTGCTTGGGCGGCTCGGTGCCGGCTGGCACATTGGGAGTCGCTGACTGATCCTCCTGAAGACCCAATCCAGGATTCTGAGAAGCGTCGCTGGTAGCTGCCGGCCGAGTCAAAGTGTTGGTAGAGTTATCGCTCTTGACCGACTTGTTCTCGTCATCCGACACAGCGACGGCGTTTTGAGCAGGGGATGCGTCAGGCTTGGGAGATTGGATATTCCCGGCGAGAAAAGCATCCTCTTCCTCCTCATCAAAAACATCCGCAGACTCCAAGACGGGGGCGACGCTGAGGCGGGATGATGCAACCAAAGCGCTGCGATCAAACGGAGGCAGAGTTGGGGCACTTTCTGCTCGTCGGTGATATCGCATCTCTGGACCAATAAATTCGCCTCGTCGTCCACCGCTGTACATACGCTGTGTAGCCAATGTGAAGCTGCTAGCTGCTCCCATCGCTGGCTGCATGTTCGGGGTATTGAATGGACCGAGGGCAGCATCAAGGTCGATGATCGGGCTGCTCACCGTATCGTCCTGCCTCCCCTGTTCGTAAAAGCTGCGAGGTTTCCACGCAGTTTCAAGAGATGGCACCGGGACGGGAAGGGTGTCTTGGCTTCGTTCAGCCTCTGAAACAGGCGCATTCGGGTTGGTGGGAGTCCGGAGGACGACAATGTGATCATCATCAAAATTGACAGACCCGACGTCGGAGTTGGTTCGACTAAGCGCAGGGGGCGAAGGAGTCGGTGCTTTAAATCCGAGACTCGGTTTCGCATTCCGCTTGCCCTTGCTCTTCCCCCGTGTTAAGATGGCACCGGCCCAAGAGCGAACTCGCTTCTTCTTCTTGGATTTGGAAGACGGCTTCTTCGCAGACAAAAATCCACTATCGTGTTCACTGTCGCTGGAAGTGTCCGAACCATCATCGGAAAACGAGCGGTGAGACGTGTGGGTAGAGCGAGCATCTTCAGCCGAGTGACTCGAAGGGGTGGCATCAAGCAATCCCGTTGACATACTCTTTCGGGAGCGCGAGTGTCCTGAAGACTTGGACCGTTTGACCGAAGAGACTCCGCTGGCCTTGTTGCTCTGGATCAAATCAAATGCCAAAGACGCATCCGCAGTTTTGGGCCGTGGCTTGAGCTTGCGGTCCCGTGGCGTCGGGCCAAGGTCGACGAAAGAAAGTGTACTATCTCTAGCGGGGTTATCGGACTGTGAGGGATTGATCGTCACGGTGTTGGCAGGTGTCTCGTTGGAGATTGTACAAACGGGAAGGCTGGTGTCAGGGGTGTCATTTGGAGCAGGCTCGACGCAGATGGCAGAAGGGAGGGGCGGAACGGGTGGAATCCCTGGAGAACCAGGAGGAGACAGACGGCCCAGGCTAGAGGCTGAATGAGATAATGGCCTCGAAATGTCATCGAATCCCCGTTCGGAAGGTGTGACAGGCGCGCTCGGGGCAGCTGGATTCGTGCCGAGCGCCTTTGAAATGGCATTCAGATCAACTCCGGAGATAGCCGCCGACCGACGATGGGCATGACCGCGACGTCCAGGGCCTCTGCCGGGGCCAGGGGGGCCCGGTGGAGGCAAGGTAGACGACGCCGCCGGTTCTTCCTTTTTGTCATCCACGGACTCCGGTGTCACCAATTGCTCACCCCCAACAAATTCACTAGGCCGTCGTCGATGGGCACTCAGACGAGGATTGTATGGCTGAGCTGGCTGAGCTGGCTGTGGAGACGGGCCTGCCCCAGGATTGAACGAAAATGTCGGAAGCTGCGGGGGTGTCCGAGGCCCAGGAATTTCGGACTGGGTGTCGGACGCATCTGGCTCCCTGGCGGGAAACACAAACGGCGGATTGGGTAGCGATGCGGGCATGGTGAGACGACGACTGGGATCCGCGGCCGGCTGGTCGGGGGAATCGAAATGCTGGGCAAAACCGGTCGGCTGGGACTGGAAAGGGAGCGAAATTGAAGTCATAGATGCTGCGTCGCAGAAAACAAACAAGAAGAGGAAACGAAAGTAGAAACAAGCGAGTCGATGAAAAACTGAGAGTCGAAACGATCCAGATGAACAAAGACCTCCAGATGGTTTGACTTCCCGGCGGTGACTGGAAAGCTCAATAATCTGGAGGTCTTATAAACCTCGTTCGAGGGTCATTGGATCTTCCGCGCCAGGCAGGAACGAGTGAAAATAAACCGAGAAAGGTATAAGCGCAACCGATAGTCTTCCACCTTGTCAGACCAAGGGAGAGGCCGACGCAGGAGAAATTCGATCAAGCCGGTTGTCGAGAGAAGCGATGTGTGTAAGGAACGGACGGCCACGACGGGGACCAGGACGGATTAGGAGGAGAATGAGGAGAGTCGTGGAGGTAGGAGGAGGAAGGTGATGGGTGGTGAAGTTGGAAAAGAGAACGACGAAGAGTTGAGGGGGAGAGAGAGAGAGAGACGAAGAGAACAACAAATCCAGAGGGGCCAAGAATTGTATGGTAATCCGGTGACAATAATACGGTATCATACACTCAGATCAGTCTGTCCCACGCTTTGACAGGCGGACTTCTGTGCATCCCCTGCCGACAACTCGTGGCTTGCGCAGAACCTGGAAAGAATCCACTCGGGACAATGCTGCCATCGGACTTGACCTGGAATGGTGGACGTCATGACTCTGGTTCCACCTCATCAATGGTTCTGGATTACGCCCAGCCTCAGGCCACAGTAAGCAGAGCTAACTAACCGACTAACCGTGGATGCTATTAGAATATGGTTCGTACATTGGCATCTTACGAGCATCCTGGGGTCCAGAGACGAGCACCAATCACCAAACGGCCATGCATCCGGAGAAAAAAAAAGCAGACAGGCACCAGCCTTAGCCTGCCCGCCCATCCAAATCTCGCCTGGTGCGGTGGGTCCCCAAAGCGCCACGCTGGGGGTCTTGCACATCGCAGGGGGTCAGTGTTGTGGAACAGGACGTTGTCCGGGGCGACCAGCACAGGGAATAGATTCAGCCTTGCCGGTTCGAGTCCAATATAGGGACAATAGGTGATTCTCACGATGTTCGTTCTGGCACATCCGCCGCGGGTTTCAGATTCCCCTCTCTTGGCTGGCGGAGCCACCGCAGGTGACAAAAATAGCGGCATGACCTATCTTAGCGCCCTTTGGCCTCCTCGCAGATTCGACGCCATCTGAGCAGGGCAATTGAAACAGCCCTCCCCTGGCGTCCGAGGGGCGCCCGACTAGGGTGCCCGGCCAATCACGACCGCGGCTTCGATCGACGGCTTAATATAACGATAATCAGGAGTTTGACCACTTGGTCCGTGGGGCCGATCATCATCAGCCTAATTGGGGCGGCAACATCGTTTTACGCATGCTACTCTGCGATGTGCAGGAGAACGACGCAGTAGCGGGAGTACTAGCAGAAATCGAGCAGGGGTACGTGGGATTTGAATCGCTCTCGCCGCAGCCGAATCGACATCGGATAGGGCAAGCAGACATTCATCAAGGCTTGACTTGATCCACGCTGTCGCGACACCCGGCACGGCTCCGTATATACCATACAGTACAAGCACGCCTGATTTGTGGGATCTAATGCAATCACCACAGCCTCACAAAAAGAGGGCCGGACGGTTGCATTTGTTGCTCTGTCTGGCCTCGGAAGATCGTCGGTTCTCTATGAAAGCCACCACAGTTGATCCCCCGACTACGCCGCAATAAGTTACAGCCACAGATGAATCCCCAGTCGCTCTCTTCCGGGCTCCGGGAACCCGCCGCCAACCACGGAACGGGCCCTAGTGGAAATGAGATTCCGGACTCCACCGAGATGGCCAGTGGAGCGATCGGCCCTGTCGCGGACGACACACCGGCGGGCCCAACCGTCGTGATATCATCAGTGCAAAATTTTGTCACGGAGCATTCCTCATCCAGTAAGAGACAGCGTCCTTTCATCTCTCACAGACCGGCGATGCCGATACAGTCCGTTTTATTTTCTGCCATCGCCACTACTATAGCTTGGGACAGCATGGATCCGCCGAAGTTGAGCCGGCGGACTCACCCATCAGCACGCTCTGGTTTTCTGCCTGCGAGCTGATAGGCACGTCGAGGGCAGGATTGCGCGTGAAGAAATTGACAGGCTTCAGCGAGACCAGCAACTTCTCGGAAGGCATAACGGGCCAGTCCTCGACGCGCGGGTTGTGTGTAGTGCCAAAGGTGTGCCAAACGACGATGTCCTCATCTCGCACGCTAAGCGGGGACGGGCGAGACCGAATCCATGAGGCAATGCCTTCGCCGCCGAGCGATTGCATTGTATTCTCGCCTGCACTGTATAACTCATCATCCTGGTAGCGGGTAACCCAAATCGCGTGCTCGCCAAATTCTGATCGCTGGGCATGGTAGGACGACGGATGTGCCAGAATCATTTGCGAGGGGTGTGGCATAAGCTTATATCCGACGGGCCCTTTGCTTATTGGGTTACAAATGTTCTCATTGACGATCTTGAAGACGCGGTTGCAGGCAATATCAATATCCAGCGGAGATTCCCTCTCGACAAACTTGTGAGTCGTCGTGTAACCAATGCCAAACGGATTGTGCACGGCAGGGTCATTCAATGGCATGGCATGAGACTCCTCGACCATCAGAGAGTTCCGGTGTCCATCAATAGCCGGGTCAATCCTCAGACTGAACAGATGTTGATGATACGGCGCCATTACACCTGGTGCTACCAGTGTCCCATACGGAACGGACTCATCCAGATTGATCGGCGCTGTGGAGAGGATTCCCGTTGCGCGAACCTCGTAGTTGATCGAGGCATCCTGCGTGAACTGAAACGCAAAGATGTACTCATAGTTACCGACAGTGATGATCGTCTGCAGCACAAGGACTCGAGAGCGGGTAACCACCGCATTGTTCGTGTGGAAGTTCGTATGTTTCCACAGAATGCCGTCGTCGATTTCATGGCAGCAAACGGCATTGGGGAGCACCACTGGATCTCCGTGCATGTTGTGATGGACCCCGTCAAAGTATCTGATATGGCCCAGACAATCGCAACCTGACAATACAATATCAGCGGATGGTTCATGAAAATGCTGGACCTCCTACCAAGCTTCAGGTTATTAGCATTAACACCTGCACCGTTACTCCCTAAATCAAAAGCAGCTTTGCGCGGATACGGGGCTCGACTATCGCCATATGGCACGAACATCTCCGAGAGCGCCAGGCGATAGAACACACTGCGGCCATCATACGTCAGATCGTGAAGCGTCAGTCCCTCGCGCTGGACAACTAATCAGCACCGTTCTTTGTTAAGGACTAACAGACTCACAAAATTGAAGCCCACTCTCATCCGCCACTTCTCCCAAGTGATCAAATTCCCCTCAACATGGAACGAGGGTCCCTGCGGCTGGACAACCCTATACGGTTTTATGGTAGTCCGCCGCTCCGGAACAAGGTCCGGATGATACTCGCTTGAGCGATGGATCTTCCTCCGGTCAAATGGCTTAACCCCCACTTCACTCACGAGTCCAAGCCGGTCATTCTCGCCGAGAGGCAGAGAGAGAACGCGCTTCACGGAGTGGGTCTCGCTTAGCATCTCGACGCAGATGTCTAGCGGGTAGGCGTAGTGGTTCGAGTCGCCGTGAGGGGTGAGACTCATGTAGAGGTAGCACTAACAATTATCAAAATACCATTCTCTTGAAGAAAAGAGAGAGAGAGAGGCATACCATAATAATCCTCTCCCTCATATCATTCATCCCATCAGTCCCGTACGTCCAACACTCAACCCTTACAACTGCCCCCTCCGGCAATTGCAGCAACCGAAGCGCATCCTGTACCTTGGACGACGCAAGACAAGCCTTCTCCATAGCCTGCATCTCAGTGGTATCCTGGAAAGAATGTCTCCCACCGAGCGACTTCTCATGCACAATGGTCTGCGTGTCGAGATTAACGCGTACTTCACAGAGATTGGACACACCGCCGCCGCGATTGAAATGGATTAGTGCAATTCGTGCTGGTTTAATGGCATTGGTGTCGCTGGCTTTGCCTGCGTGTTCGGCGCTGAGGAAAGGGATCATTTGGCTCTTTGGTGGTTCAAGGAGGGTTACCATTCTGAAGGCGAGGGTTTCATTTGGGATGGCTTTTTTGACGATGCGGACGGCCTGTCGAGCTGTCAGGTGGATCAACTGGATATAATAGGAGAAAGAAGTAGATCTATAATACCTGGACGATTTCCGCTGGCGAAAGCGGGTCGAATGGGTGACCGTGAGACATGGTTGAGCCTATACTGTGAAAGATATATAATGGACTAAATCTCAATATCACTTTAGATACTCGATATATGTAAAGTGAACAAGAAAGACGAAATCTAAAATGGATCTAGCAGATTTAAATACTATTCCCCTCCCCCTCAATCCAACAAGCCACACGCTCCGATCCATGGGGAGGTCAGGAGAATACCGGATTGGCCCAAGCGATCCATCTTTCCAATTCATCGGCAGTGTATTTCTCAGCAGAGCTGGTTTCCGCGCCGTTGACCTTCCCTCCTACCGGCAAGACGATTTGTAGGTTGATACGAACAGGGTTGGTGGGCTGATGATCTCCCCTCCCTGGTCCCCGCAGAGAGATACGATAGGTGCATTTCTCCGACAGGCGATAGGTCGGTGGATAGGATAGGGTGGAAAGACCGTTATCTTTTTCTTTCATCAAAGGGATGATGAATGCGTATGTTAGGGAGCCGCTCTAGATAATAATGTAAGGGATTGGTTGTCTTGGTATGGAATAGTAATCCTGGATTTGCATACTACATAGCCGGATGCGCCGAGGTTGAGTAAGTGAGTGAGTGAATGAGAGAGAGGGATCTACTGAGCACTCAGTCCATGTTCGGTCCATACCCAATGGCCCCACCGTGCTGTTTATTTTGCGAAAGAATTTTGATGGCGTTCGTTTCTTGACCTTGATCTCTGCCCTCCTCCATTTCCTGAACACCTCGGAACACGCGGTAGAGTAAGAAAGACGACGCAGCAACCAGAGGGCTAAGATTCTCTCTAAATTGCGATGGCATAAGGTAAAAGTCGTCTTCTATATGTACTTAAAATCGCCCATGCGTAAAAGCTCAAGTATAAAGAGACTACAATTCATGTTCTGACATGTCCAACAATGCAATTCTACTTCTTATTCGCTCGTAAACAACGTTTCTTCTCTTCGATCTCATTTAAGCACTGCAGAAGTTTGCTAGGCCAGAAGTTGGAAACTATACATTGCTCGATAGACCGAACTCGCTGACGAGATGTATTGCCTGACGGAAGTATATACCTCCACTCTGACTGCGTACTTCTCCTTCAAGCGAACCCTGCCCACACTGCCTGACAACAATAACAAGTTCTGAACTCGGCTCTTCGACATGTGGCCTAGTCCGTGGATCTTTTATTGTAAGGAACTGGGTTCGGCACCAGCCCCTCTGCAGTGTCATAGACAACCGGACCCACAGACTGGTTCTTGGTGGCATTAATGCCGAGAGTAATCCATACGAAAAGGCCATCGCTTATTTTGTCGCCCACATACACATACTGCATAATCGGGTCGACACCGGCTTTGACGATCTCCGGCAGGAAAACGTCATCGGCGTTTGTGGTGTAGTTGTTGGGGTCCTGGTTGTACGGCCAGGTCTTATAGATCTCTTGCTTGAGTGACTCGGCAAAGAAAACATTCGTGACGTGCAAAGCGTGCGCCTCGTACAGACCAGAGAGTGTATTGTTCTTTTGGAGGCTGACCAGGTCGGTATTATGGCTTAAGACTAAAAAGCCAAATTAGTGACGGTGAGCTGGGAATCGAGAAAGGAAAGGGCACCATGTATGTGAGTTGCGCGGTGAGTGTAATAACCTAGGAACAGTGTCTCAAACTGGATGACTCCGTCGCTATCTGTCTGTGGAATTCCTCGCAAGAAGTGGGTGTCGAGATTGGATCGTCCTTCGAGTTGCCGTTACCGTCGTCTACAAACTCGAAGTATACACCCTATTGGTAATAAGCCTGGATAGCGGAAATCCCCTAGGTAGGTAAGTGAATGAGATTGAGAGTAGAGTGAGAGTTAGATGTAGCGTTATGCACGCTGTAGAATTTGGTATAGGTATGCAAGAAATGATTAGGACTAGAGCTGTACAAGACAGGAACAAAAGCCGCTAGAAACAAATCAAATGCCGTGAATCACACATGACGCCCAACATTGTCTTTCCAACCATGGAAGACATTCAAAACAGCCACCTAGTAATCCGTCCAGTCTAACCAATCTACTTGGAATAATCAGTCATCATTGTCCTCCGACTCGACCTCATCATTCTCGAGGTGCTTCTTGCGCTCCTCGTTCAGCTCACGATACGTGCTCCAGCTCAAGAGGAAGAACGCTGCCATGATCAGGATGCCGCCGCCGATGGAGGTGAAGGGGAGGGGATCGCCTGTCCGTAACCAGTCCATGATGGCGACAAGGAAGATGGTTAGAAGCGCGGCGACGGAGGACAAAACAGGCGAGGTGAGGGAAATGAGGACGAGGAAAGAGCCCGAGAATGCTGTTGCGCGTTAGCGTGAGTCACGTCTTAGAGAGACATTGCAATGGTGGTAGCAACTTACTGGCATTGGCACAGGTCGAGATGAGGAGCATCCACGCCACCTTGCCGGTGGGCATCACGAAGACCTCCAACCCAGTCCAATGCAAGATAGGTAGTGGAATCCACAGGACACTCAGCGTGAAAAGCCCAATCATGCTACCAAAGGTATTGGCAAAGATGGTCCCGCGGCCGGGGCTTGTGCCCTCTGGCGGACACGCGTACCGCTTATACAACACCTCGTAGAGTCCGTAGAGCACGCTGCCAATGCCAATGATAATATTTCCCAGAAGGCGATTTGACGCCCCCTTCTCCGCCCCGTGTGTCGTTCCGCCTTTCGAGACTTTCTTGTTTGGCTGATCGCCGTATGCAACGATGAGCACGCCGATAATGGCAATCGCCACGGAAAAGACCTTGTCGAGGCGGAGCTTTTCTTTGAGGAGAGGAATAGAAAAGGCGTACGCGAAGAAGGCCGAGCAGTTGTAGATGGCTGTCAAATCGCTGGCCGTGGTCAGCTCAACGGCGAGATACCATGAGCCACCCGCAATAGTGAGAGCGGTGGTCACAAAGGCAACTGTCTGTACCATGTACTTCACGGGAGATCGATTGTAATTGCGAGTGCTCAGATGGACATCTTGCGTTTCGACCATCTGCGCGGTGCTTCGCAAGAGGTAGACATGGCGCCGCCAGAAAGCGGCCCAGGACATTTTTCGTTTTTGGATTCTCAGAATGAGCAGCTGGACCAGCCAGAGTAACGTCCAAGATCCATGGGTGAGATAGCTGCATATGGGGGAAGAAGAGAGGTAAGCGCTGGGTATCCGGGTGAATAGGGCAGAGCATGGGCGAGGGCGCGACGGGTTCCATATCGTGGTATAATCGAACTTACAGCATGCAGTACGGCTTCTTCCAACCTAAATCCTGCTGGATATAAACCGCAGTCTCTGTCTGGACGACAAAACTCGCCAGACTCAACAGAAGAAAGCCTCCGGCGATCATATACTTCTTGCGAGTCGCTTGGGCCGCGTCATACTCCGGGTCTATACTCTGCATTGTTGGTCGGCGGGAATGATGCCGGTCGGGATGCAGCATGGGCCTGTCCTCTGCATCCCCATTTTCAAAACTGGAGCGAGAAAACCGACGGGCATCGTCCTTGAGCAATTGTTCCGAGGACCGGCCGGCGGTTGGGCGGTGGAAGGTTGGGCGATTGGCGGCCATGTTGTCATCTAAGTCGTGGGAATAGCGCGCCGCGTCCGGGGTTGCTGTCGCCCGCGGCTCTGTAAGTTCGAAACTGTCTGAATGCGCCACAATGTCGTTGGGATGGATTGGTGCTGGTTGCACGGGGATGGACGGGGGTATAAAGAGACGGCTATGGTTCCTTGAATGGGTTCCCGTGGGAGATAATAGGTAAAGAGCGGCGACCAGTGACTGGCAAGCAAAGCAAGTGAGATGTTGTAACTATCCGTCGACCGAAGGGAGCGAACAATATGGTCTAAATTGGAGAGGGTGTTCGAGCACCGTTTGCAGAGGACGGGCGCATGCAACTTGGACTGGGGGGCCAGCCGATAGAAGCGGTCGAGGCCACGGTGGATAGATTGAGAGAAGAAGCCTTGCCCGGGAGACGGTTAGTTTCAAAAACTCAGCACCCGAGAGGGGGGACAAACAAGTAGGGCAAGATAGCAGATTGAAGGCAGGTCAGTTAGTGACACTTGGAGGCGGAGGCGGCTGGCAGAGGGCTAAGCCGCATTTAGCGGGTGGTGATGGGTGCACGTGATCCGTGGCGTCAGGGCCGGGTTGGTAGTTAGCGTGTGACAAAAACTCCAGGGAACATCAGGAACGATGACTGCTGGTCGGGTGAGACGGGGGGCTGATCGGGTCATGTACACAATCTAGATAGCGGCCTATGAATAGATTGATTTACCCGTATATTGTGATCCAACTATACATCGATCTGACATAGATCCACCACATAGTTCTATAGTATAGACCTGTCCCACCCTAAGCCTTCGGCTTGAACAGAGCTGCCTGTGTGTCATATGTATATTTCAGATCCAAATGCCAGTAGTTCGGCGCCGTCGGCTTGGCAATCATCCATGCCTGATCAAGCGCCTCCACCACCTCCTGGGGCAGCGGGCCCTTCCTGACATTCTCCAGATTAGACTTCAGCTGCTCAAAGCTGCTAACGCCAATCACGATTCCGTCCCGACCGGCGTTGTCCATCTTCAGCTCCGAATGGTGGTGCGCCCAGCGCAGCGCAGTCTCCACCATCGTCAGCCCGTGTTTCTCAACGACGGGCTCGATGACGCTCAGAGCTTCGAAGTTGGCGTCCTTGAAGTAGCGCTTGCGGTAGTTGGAGCCGGCGGAGCTGGCATCGCTATATCGGCCCTCGGCGGGCACATCGTGCGTCTTATACTTGCCTGAGAACAGGCCGCCGGCAAGGGGGTTGTAGATGACGATGTCCAGGCCGTATCGGCGGCAGGCGGGGATCAGCTCGGTCTCGATATTGCGTGCTGGATATGTTAGAATTTTGATAGCGAATCTTATGGTACCGGAGTACATACTGATGGCGTTATACATGCCCTGGTAGATAGTCGGGCGCACCCAGCCATTCTGAGCGCAGAGCGTACAAATCTCCGCGACCTCAAAAGCCGTATAGTTACTCAACCCTAGTTGGACAAACTTACCCTCCTTGTGCAGCTGATTGACCGCCTCGAGCGCCTCTGAAAAAGGAATCGACCGATCCGGCGCATGCAGGTAGAAAATATCGACCGTATCGGTACCCAGCTCCTTGAGCGACAGCTCGAGTTTCTCACGCAAGACCTCGGCCTTGTGTCCGCCGGCCGCGCCGGGGTACCATTTTGTGGCTAGAGTGAGGCCCCGCTGTTTCCAGTTGGCCTTGGCTGTGAAGGCTTCCTGCTCGCCGCCGACGTAGGTCCGGGCGGTGTCAATCTCATTGAAGCCCTGCTGCTGGAAGTAGTCCAAGCAGCGGTTGCACTCGTCTAGCGAGGTGATACGGGCGCCCTTGTCCGTGGAGGGACCGAAGGTCATCAAGCCTAGGATGACTCGGGGCTGGGGGTTCTGTGCGATGAGAGGCATGGCGATTATTCGATTATTCTGTTCTAGGTGTTTTTGGAGGGAAGAGGCGGGGCTGCGGAATCGGCCGATTTGACGCAATTGATAAGCAGTTTCCCGTACCCGCTGCCATTGTTATTTATTCCCTGCACCACACACCATCACCATGGCCTCGTCGAGGGAAGACCTATTCCGGGTCCTGGTCATCAACCCCAATACTTCCTCGCGTATGACCGATGCCCTAAGACCCATTCTGGAGCGGATGAATTACGCCGACGTGCATTTTGACTACTTCACCGCACCCGATCATCCTGTAGAGGTGAATGGAAGGACCTACGACCCTATTCCCAGCATCAACTCCGGTGAAGACTCGGCCAAGTCGGCATGGCATTGCCATTCGACCCTGCATCTGGTGGACCAGTACGATGCCTTCCTGGTGGCATGCTATTCGGCGCACCCGCTGGTTGGAATGTTAAAGCAGAAGGTCAAGCAATCATCACAAAATAAATACGTGACCGGCATCTTCGAAGCCAGCATCACAGCATCTCTATCCCTGATCAGCGCCTTTGACTTCGACCTCCCCGGGGAATTGCACAAGTCCCAAATCAAAGAGACATTCGGCATTATCACCACTGGCAGTGCGTGGAAGGACGAGCTCAGTAATGCCGTTACCGATATGCTGGGAACCAGTTCGTCGTCACGATTCGCTGGCGTTGAAACGACGGGGTTGACAGCGATTGAGTTGCACACGACACCCGCCGACGAAGTACGGCGCCGGATCTGCGATGCCACCCGGCGACTAATTCAAAGCGCACCACACCCGGTGCGGGCTATTTGTCTGGGCTGTGCAGGTATGGCGGGGATGGAGGAAGCGGTGCGCGAGGGCTGTGTCATGGAGTATGGCGAGGAGGGCGGCCAGAAAGTGAGGATCGTGGATGGCGTCGTTGCTGGTGCTGGGACATTGGTGACGGCGTGCAAGGCAGGATTCTAGGCACACTCAATAGCAGCTTAGCCAATACTCGGTGTTCAATACAATGGCAGAGTGTAATGTGAGGTTCTCTTGTCTCCTAGCAATTGGTCGAGATGTTCCAAACAACCTTGGAAGTATACCGATGCGGGCTGCCTTGCTGCCTGAGGCCGTCCACCAACCTTCCCCCGCAGACGCGCTAACTACGCGTTGACCGTCGAATTTCCATCCACTCTGCACAATCACTGGACGATGCCGAGGTAAGCATGCTCTCCCGGATGTAGTCACGACCGATGCTGAGACAGTGGGAATTCGCAGGGAAATCATCACCATCCAAGCCGGCCAGTGCGGCAACAACGGTATGTTGCGCCCCTCCATGCCTCCTCCATCAAGGCTGCACCACCACACCACTACTCCCCCCGAAATATCCACACAGTCGGGTGCTCCCTGCTAACACCAGCCGACAGTTGGCAGCCAGTTCTGGCAGCAGCTGTGCCTCGAGCACGGTATCAGCCAGGATGGGAACCTGGAGGAGTTTGCAACGGAGGGCGGAGATCGCAAGGATGTCTTCTTCTACCAGGTGTGTTTGGTCCGCTACCATGAGGACAAGACACTAATGGGCGTGGCAGAGTGACGATACCAGATACATTCCCCGCGCGATCCTCCTGGACCTGGAACCCAGAGTACGCCGTCCGCACACTGTTCGCGAAACATGGCTAATGCCTCAATAGGTCCTGAACGGCATCCAGACTGGTCCTTATAAAAACATCTACAACCCGGAGAACTTCTTTATCGGGCAGCAGGGCGTTGGAGCGGGAAACAACTGGGGTGCTGGATATTCTGCTGGAGAGAGCGTACAAGAGGAGGTCTTTGATATGATTGATCGAGAAGCAGACGGAAGTGACTCTCTGGAGGTACAATTCCTTGTGCAGAGTTGGAGATTCATCGAACTAACGCGTTCGGATAGGGATTCATGCTGCTACATTCGATCGCAGGAGGCACGGGCTCCGGGCTGGGCAGTTTCATCTTGGAACGCATGAATGACCGGTTCCCCAAGAAGCTGATCCAGACGTATTCCGTCTTCCCCGACGTCTCTGATGTGGTCGTCAACCCATACAACAGCTTGCTTACAATGCGACGATTGACCCAGGACGCAGACTCCGTGGTAAGCTCCCTCCGCTTTCCGGCTACATGCATTCCTCATGACTTACGAATCAGGTCGTGTTGGACAATGGTGCGCTGTCGAGAATTGTCGCCGATCGAATGCACGTTCAAGAGCCCTCGTTCCAGCAAACCAACCAGCTGGTGTCGACGGTCATGTCGGCCTCGACCACCACGCTTCGATACCCCGGATACATGCACAATGACCTGGCAGGAATCATCGCTTCGCTAATCCCTACGCCGCGCAGCCATTTCCTGCTTACGTCGTACACCCCCTTCACCGGCGACAACATCGAGCAGGCCAAGACCGTCCGCAAGACCACCGTGCTCGATGTGATGCGACGTCTCCTCCAACCCAAGAACCGCATGGTGTCGATCAACCCCAGCAAGTCGAGCTGCTACATCAGCATCCTCAACATCATCCAGGGCGAGGCCGACCCCACGGACGTGCACAAGTCCCTGCTCCGGATCCGGGAGCGGCGCCTTGCGTCGTTTATCCCCTGGGGACCATCCAGCATCCAGGTGGCGCTCACGAAGAAGTCGCCGTACCTCCAACACACGCACCGGGTGAGCGGACTCATGCTCGCCAACCACACCTCCGTCGCCACGCTGTTCAAGCGGATCGTCCAGCAGTACGACCGCCTGCGCAAGCGCAATGCCTTCCTGGAGCAGTACAAGAAGGAGGCCCCCTTCTCCGACGGACTGGGCGAGTTCGACGAAGCCCGGGCGGTGGTGATGGATTTGGTCGGCGAGTACGAAGCCGCCGAGCGAGAGGACTACCTGGACCCGGACGCCGGGAAAGAGAAGGAGCTCGGGGGAGCGTGATATTTGGGTTTGGTTTAATTTACATTTAGGGTTTGGCGCATCAACCGGAGCGTGCGCGCAGGGCGATTGATGGGGTCTGGCGTTTTTTGTAAGACTTTCAACCACGTATCGCTTGATTTGACTTTCCACGTAGCTAGTCTGTATGTCTGTCGGGGTGTGATCCGCCTGCAGACGCCGGGAAGGGGAAACCATTAGGCTAAGCGAGCCATTGATAACCAGGGCTAGTTCTAGTCACTAGCTGCTGCTGATCACCCGGTGCAAGCTAGGGGGCCCTAGCGATACTGTGGACTGTCCACCAGGTCAGGCTAGTAGTTAACTATCGGGGCGCGTGGCCAGCGGACCTCCGTTGCCACTTGCTTAGTGGCGCCCGACCCAGAGATGATGATTCAAGTTTTGCCCCGGGCGGTGTGACGCCGGTGCGGAGAGATGGACGGAGAGACTGACGTGGTCACTGGACTGATCGAGAAGTGCTGGAATGGGGAGGAATTGATGTAGCAACTCTCCTAATCACTAGGGCCTAGGGGTACCGAGCCGAGGGGACCAGTACTAGTCGTAGTGACTATCTACCATGGGAGTGTACGCTACTAGTTATCACTGACCCTCTGTCGGTCGAACCTTCTGGTGACGGAATCAACCCTGACTCAGCCTACTCCCCTTTTCTCTGGATCCGTTTGACTTTCCGGCTTTCTCTTTCGCCTCCCGTCTCTTCCGCCGACTATATATTCTCTGTACCCATTATTCTGCTCCCTTTCCTCCATTTCCTTTCATCTCCCCTTGGTATCCACCAACTTGCAACTGCCGTACTCCCAACTGCGCTCGGACATTCCCCAACGGAGTCCCCGATCATTCCGCTTATCTCCTCATTGCCTGCTGCCTCCTCACTCCTCACTCCTCCTCTCCTCGACTCGCCTCTCCTGGAGACATCTCCCTCCCACTACAAGCCGCCTCGCCAAACCACAACCACAACCACCAGCGAGAACAACCGTCTCCTCCATCACAGCCTAGCTACTAGCGCCTACCTATCTCCACCCCAGCGGCTACCTCGTACCCCGACCCCAACCCCCTAAATATAGCAACAATGGCCCCCCGCAAGCCACGCTGCAGTTTCAAGGAGTGCAAGGAAGCCGCGCAGCGCATTGTCGGCGACTGCAGTTTCTGCCACGGCCACTTCTGCTCCAAGCACCGCATGCTGGAGGCCCACTCCTGCTCCGGCCTCGAGGACTGCAAGAAGGAGAGCCATGCTCGCAATGCCGATAAGCTGAATAGCGAGCGGACCGTCGTTGTCAAGGGTGTATAGTTTGGCCAAAACTACACCCTGATCATTTTTCTTGGGTTTTCTTGGGGTTCTTTTTTGTTGTTTCTGGAGGGATTGGTACTGGACCGGACCGGACGGATGGGGTTATATTTAGCGCGGTGTTTCATCTCATCCTTTTTTCTTTCATTCTGTTTGGGTCTGGGGCTTTTCGTCTTCTTCGATCTATCTACTGACTAGCCACGGCTAGCGTCCTTTGTTCTTTCTTTCTGGTGAACTCGTTCGGGCTCTGTTCTCATACGCATGGCGTCCTCCTTATCGGGTGTCCTTCCATCTCTTGCATGCTTTCTCTTCTCTTCCCTTCTCTTCTCGTTTTTCGGGGCTTGCTACACAGAGATCCTGCGGGGCTCGCATGGGCATATTCTTTTCTCTTTGTTCCTGTTAGCGTGAATATATTATTCATTATTCCGTCGACTTGGCTGGGTCTTGATTGGAGAATAGACAGTAGTAGAATTGTAAGAATCGTAGTAATAACGTGTCGAAAAGTAGTAGCACCGAACTCCTTCCAAACCTGCCTCGCCTCGACTTATCCGGGTCCAATCTTTGGCCTGTTCAACGCAAGTCAGTTTCAGCTAATTCGCCAGCAAGGAGTGAGGGGTGGTGCGACAGGACATACATGTCATGATGCTCGCTCAGCCGGCTGAGATACTTATTCAGGTCTTCGACTCGCTCCTTGTGCGTCTTGACGCCTTCGCGCTGGAGGCGCTCGCGTAGCTGCCAAATCAATCAGGAATGTACTTCACAGCGACAATGAGAGAGAAGGTAAGGAAAAGAGACATACCCGTTTCCGCCGCACCTCCTCATGCCGTCTCTCCGCCTCAGTCATCGGCCTCGGCGCCGCCTCGTCATCAACATCATCATCACCACCACCGCCCTCCAAACCGGCTGATCCGGACCGGGACTTTGATTTGGACTCTGACTCGCCTCCCTCTTCGTGCCGTTGTAGCTGTTTCTGTTTCTCTTCATCCTCTCCCCCATCCTGCCGGGCAGACTCAGGTTCGCCGCTTTCCTGCGCTTCCTTCCGCTTCTCCTTCTTCTTCTTTTTCTTCTCCACGCGGCCCGCGCTCACTTTGCTGCCTTTTAGCTTGAGGCGCCCGCCGCCTCCACCGGCCGAGGAGTACTCGTCTGCAGGAGCCATGGTGGGGAATCGAAACTCCTAGGAAGTGCTGGGTGAGCGTGCTCTCTGGGATGATGAATTGGTTGGGTGGGCCAATGGGAGGCGGTGGGGGGATCGGACACTTCGTCGTGAGCGAACTATAAGACACCCGGGTCTTTTGTTTTACATTCTATCATTGCTAGTAAAAAAACATTTAATTACTATCTATTTGTATTGATTGACATTCCTACTCAGACAGGCCAGGCTAGTCAAACGGGATCGGGCGCAACCCCGACCCTCCCATTCGCTTGCGCATCTCCGCGCCCGCCGCCACTGTGCTGGGGACCTTGATGCCGCAACAATCCCCAAAGTAGTCTGTATTCTGATGGTCGTGGGGATGATTGTGTTCATGCTCATACAGACTTGCATCCTCATCCGCCGCCATCTCCCCCATTCCCTGGGCCGGCGGAAGCAAGCTCCCAAATAGAAAATGCTGCATGATGGGCAGCTTGCCCAGCACCTCCTTGACAAACATCTTCTTCATCCCGCTCTCCACCTTGAGCCAGTTCTTGGCTCCGGAAATATCGTCCAGCATGGGACTGTGCCAGCGCAGACCCTTGACCGTCTTGACGCTGTCGACCCACCGCACCTGATCCAGGTACAAATATCGATCGCCTTCTTCGTCCAGCGTCGCCGTATTATGGATCCCCAGCGGCGTCACATAGGGATGGTCCACCAACTGGCTCGCGCCGAACAGGAACGGCAGGAAATGGTAGTCGTCCAGTCCCCACACGCCGTGCGACCCGGCCGGCTCTAGGTAGTAGGTCGACTGAATCTCGCGCATAAGATGCAAGTACTCGACGTAGACCTTGAACACGACGCCCGCAAAGTCGGTCTTGGGGAGTTGGCCGAGCTGATAGAGACATAGTAGCCACATCATGAAGTTCAGTTCATGGCCGGACCCGTAGTCGATTCGGTCTCGCGACCCTAGCGAATGGATCAGGTATGTGGATGCTTCGTCGATGGCGGCTTGGTCTTTCAGCCCGAGGATCTCGGAATGCCATGACGCGCTCTGCGCGGCGACCTCGTCGAAGAGTGTGCGAAACGCCGGGTTGCCGAATCGGGACCCACCCTGGTCGATGGCCGGGTGTTTGTCCAGTAATGATCGAATCCGAGAGACAATGCCAGAGATCTTGGTGATGGGCTCCGATTCCCGGGGGTGGTCGTTCGGCCGGCCACGGACCGAGTCGGTTAGACCGAAGATGAAAGCGAGGACGAGATTGTAGGTAGGCGAGGATAGGAAAAGCTCGTGATCTTTTGGAGACAGGATGCGGCGCACGGGTCGGACGTATTGGTGGGCGGACAGGTCGGGTGGCGGCGACAGGCGAGGGGTTGCTGGCGTGGGTTCTCGGGGCTGCGTGTGGGGTTTTTGTTTGGATGACCGGAGATCCAGCAGTTTCTTAGAGAGGTCAACCGTACCGGCTGGGCGAGGAGCAGTCTGTGAGGCCATCATATTTGGTTCTGGTCGATGCAGCGAGACAAAAGAAGATGGGCATAGCATGGCAGAACAATCGATGGCTACACCGCCTTGCCCCATGACATAAACTCTATGGCCCGAACAGGACTAGTGCATGTAATCTTCCCCGGAAAACCAATCGAGTGACTTGCGCACCTGATCAGAGCGACACAAACATCCACTACGAACGACGACACTGCCCCGATTACGACTACTACGGTTAGAACCAAGGGGAACATGCTCAAGGGCTTCCCTCTCTCATAACCAACCAAACCTCCCAGTCAATATTAATCCATCCGCCACACTTTTCTCTTCCTATCTGGCTCACCCCTCCTCGATTGGCGTCCCTGGCGCCTGTGTGCTGCATAACCCCCGCCATCTGTGTTGGCCATTGGGTCAAAACGCCTGTGTGACCGACTAGGGAATGAGCACGCCATCATGAATACTGTAGACTCATCGGCGCCGTTTCCGACAGGTCCCAGCGACGACGAGGTAGGCAAGGGGGTCGGCTCATCGTTGTCACGCTCCTCGACACATACCGACTCGGCCCTCTCATCGTCGCTCGGTAGCACCCGGTCCCACTCGAGCTCGTCATCCCGGAAGAAGCAGCGGTCCCGGAATCAACTGCAGCAGCCGCTGGGCCCGTCCAACGAGTCCACTCCGATCTTTGGTGGGGCGGAGTCACTGCGCCGAAACTACCAGTCCACCGACGGACCGACTGAATCTCGGCCTGCCGGCTCGAATGGTCTCCCCAAGACCTCGCCCTGGAGTAACCCCGGGCGCAATGCAGCTGCCGATGGCGCAGAACCGAGTCAGCCGGACGGCCGGGACTCGCGCCCGGTATCGCAACACTCATGGTACAGCAAGTTCGCAGACCGATATGGAAGCTTAGAGCTGGAGAACAAAGGGAGCGTAGCTCGCGACCATCTCGCTTTAGGTATGACATACTTGTGGAGTACTGGCGAGTAAGAGAAACTGACGATGTACAACAGAGCGGACCTTCCTAGCCTGGATGCGCACATCCCTCGCATTCGCCTCTATCGGCATCGCCGTCACGCAACTTTTCCGTCTCAACACCACAACCGCAACAACACACTCCATGGCAGATCCCAATGCACCACCAGGGATCCTCCCACCCGTCACCTCCACACCCCTCCTCGGTCTCGCTGGAGAGACCACCGTGCGATCACCCGACTCCTCTGCCCGCCTCCGCAGCGTGGGTAAACCCCTCGGCACGACCTTTATCGGCGTTGCCATTTTGATTCTTGTTGTGGGCTTTCATCGCTACTTCGAGAGCCAGTACTGGATCATCCGCGGCAAGTTCCCCGCTAGTCGCGGCAGTGTTGCCCTGACTGCGTTTGTTGCGGCCGCGCTGATCATCGCGGCTCTTGCGGTGATACTGGCTGTTTCGCCTAATGCGATTGAGCGGTAGCCCTTTTCAATCTTCATTTTGGTTTTATGTTCTCGGTTTGTTCTCAGCATGTTCATGGCGGTTTTCTCACTCTTCTCGTCTCTTATTTCTATTCGGTTTCTCTTCCTCGGACAAAAGGGGTTTCTTCTGGTATTCTGCGTATCTTCCGATATATCGATGGACGGGGTTTCCGGTCTCTGATTGGTATAGGACGTGCGGGGACTCTCAACTCAACATGTCTACATTGCAGAAGTGTATTGCTTGGGCATCCTGCCTTGGTAGGAACCTGGCTAGTGTGATCGCGTTCGAATGATGATATCCCGGTTCGGAGTCTGTGACTCAACACTACACACTTGGCCCGATTACTTGGAGATATAAATAACGTAGAGGAAGTAGACTTCGTTCGCAAGCACACAATCCGTCGATCGATAGGCATTCTTTCATTTCTGCCACTAAGGATCCACGCGCACCAGACCAGTCTAGGCAGTAGGAAGAGAAAAGAGGCAGACAGAGGGAATATATCGACAAGTGGTGTGATTGTGGGTGACACACAAGGAGAGAGACGGGAGACATGAACCAACGAAGAGGACAGGGCATGGCTTGCAGATGCTGGGAAGAGGGTGCGGGAGAGAGAGGAACAGACAAGAAAACAGAGAGCCAAGTAAATACAACACAGACGCAACGCTCAATCATCTCGGGCCTAGCTTTTCCAGGGCACGTGCGCCCTGTTCCTGCCACTCTTGCTTCGAAACCCACATGTCCTCCTTGTCGGCGATCTATAGCAATGTTAGTATCACGGAGCTAAATGTGACGAGAAAACATACCAGGTTGGCCAGCACGGCGCCACCCAGGAACACCATGTGTCGTCGCCGTGGAGGGTCTTCGATGCGAACCTTGAATTTCTGTAGTCATACAATGTCAGCATTGACAGAGATATGCTCCGAAAAGAGCAACCCACGTTCAGTCGCTCCGGGTTCCCGGCCAGTACCCGGGTCAGCCAGAGCTGCTTCAACTCCTTCTCCAACCGCGATGGCAGACCGGGATACATGCTGCTACCACCACTGAGAACGATAGCCTTGTACAGACTGGAACGAACGTCGACGTCCGCGCCTTGGATGGTGTTGAAGAGCAACTCGGCAATACCGGGCTGGTCGACATCAACCAGATGAGGCTGGAAGAGACATTCCGGAGCCTCGAAGCGCTCGCTCCCGACACGGATGACACGACCGTCCGGCAAGGTGTACGACTCAACGAGCACGGTGGTATCCTCAGAGAGCTTCTTGTCGAGCTCCAGGTCATACGAGACGTAGCACATCTTCTCCTTGATCTGGCGCACGGTCTCGAAATCCGCAGTACGGTTGAGCGCGTAACCCCGGCGCAGGAGGAGAGCAATGAGATTGCGGGTGACGTCGCGACCCGCGACATCCAGTCGACGGATGTGGTGGTTTAGCACGGTGGACTCGTACACGGGGATGACGTGGGTGACGCCGTCGCCCGAGTCCACGACCACGCCACTGCTCAGACCCTGGGCATACAGTGCCAGCACCGCCTGGATCGCCACGTAGACGCCGCCAAATCCATACCCCTCCAGCATCACCTCGGCCATCTGCTCGCGGTTCTTGAGCGGGTTCATGGGCGGCTCGGTCAGGAGGATCTTGCGGCCTGTCGGGTCGATCTTCATCTTGTCGTAAAAGGTGTAGTTCCACAGATGTTGCATGTCGTCCCATCGCTTGACGATTCCATTTTCCATCTAGGGAAGAGGACGGATTGTCAGCGACACGTCTGCCTTGGTTTTGCGGGGATGGTGGGGGAAGCAGTCGTGGAAAACCACAAGTTCTGAACACATACCGGGTAGGTGATCTGAAGCATTGATCGTGCCGCAGCAGCTTCATCACCGCACATGATATCCTTGACCACGATATCACCGCCCTGTTCCTCTGTTCGCAAAATGGGCCGCCCCACTATCGAGGGGAATTGGTGCTCTGGGAAGTTCTGTACGCCAGCAGGTTAGGGATGCGGCATATGGGAGTGAAATGATTGACGAGACATACCTGGCCTGCATATCCGACTTTGAGGAAACCGGTTCCTCCGTCGAGCACTGGTGGTGTAGGAGTGGCACGTTAGCTTGGAGGGAGCTGGGGATGGGGGAGACATGGCGGGCAGGGAGGGAGATGGGTACCAATGGGCATGTCCGCCATGGTGGAGGAATTGGAGTTGTCAGGCCGTCCGGGAGTTCGCAGGGGCGATTGACCAGGGCAGAGTGGAAGGAATGAAAGACGAGGGAGTTGGAGATGGAACAGGTGACCCGGGGCAGCCTAGATGACGCTGCTTACGTGACGGGAATTGGGTGCCTGAGGCGGAGTGTGTCAACAATCACCACTTGGGCTTCATGTTTACTCCAGAATGGGGAAGGAATGGATGGTAGTAAATGGAAAGAGCTGTTCCTGATATGAGAGAGGATTTGTGTGTTGTCTCTCTTCATCTAGGGTGCCATATTGACCGAATTGAGGTATGGAGTCACCAATCCAGGGACCTCACCAAAGCAAAGATCAGAAGTATACAGTCTAGACAACCAAATCTCAACCAGACGAGATCCACAGAATATCCATAATCCCGATAAATACAACCTCCAGCCAGTCCCAAAGCGCCGGCGTAGTCTCCTATCGGCCGACATTCGATTTCCTCGGGAAACTCACGATCCCTGAGTTGAGTCCCCCATCAACTAGAAGAACGCACTCTTCCCTCATCATCATCCTCCACCTCTGGCATTCAACCACAATAATAAATTTCCCGGGATAACCCGGTAGATCTACAACTGTCTCCGTGCCATCTATCTCATCGAAGCTCGTGATCTGGCCACTCGATAAAAAACAAAACCCCATCACCCACCATCCACCATCCACTGACACCAACTCTCCGCTCAACAGCGCAAGAACAGGAACCATGGCACAAATCGGCTGGGTAAGCACTCCCCCTAAACAACCTACCTCATCACTAATAGTTATTCGCAGTACGGCCTGGGATCCATGGGCCTCGCCATGGCCTCCAACCTGCAGCGTCACCTCGTGGCGCGCAAGGCCCTGAGCCTGGTGTACTCCAACCGCACGATGTCGCGCGGCACGCCACTGCAAGCACTCGGCGCAATTCCCGAGCCTAGTTTCGAGAAATTGGTTTCTCGGTGTGGGATTATTTTCACTATGGTGGGTAGCGACCCAACCTGACAGACATGTTCATCGGAATCACCACTAACTAGTATCAGGTTGCGAACGACGCCGTACTCCAAAATCTCGTCTCCTCAGCTGTCGGCTCAGGGCATTCGCTCAAAGACAAGATCTTTGTGGACTGCTCGACCGTGCACCCGGAGACCGTCGGCAAGGCTGTCGCCCAGCTGAAGAGCAAGGACGCGTCGTACGTAGCAGCCCCCGTCTTTGGCGGGAATCCCATTGCCGTGGATGGGAAGTTGGTGTTTGCCATTGGGGGACCGAAGAGCGCGACCGATGCTGTTAAGCCGCTCATCCAGGATGTTATGGGACGGCGGGTGATTGAGTGTGGGGAGGATGCGACTAAGTCTTCGTTGCTGAAGATTGCCGGGTACGTCAACTACTTGATAATCATATACGTGTGTGGGTGTGGCTGATGCAGTACAGAAATATCGTCACTGTGAACATGATGGAGGCTGTTGGGGAGGCGCAGGTCTTCGCTGAGAAGACTGGGCTTGGGACGGGTCCAATGGAGGAACTCATCGGCGAGGCCTTCGGTGCTGTGGCTGGAGGTTACTCGAAGAGGTATGTCTTTTCTGCTTGAACACGCACTGCAGAGTTCTTACACCTTCTGCAGGTTGACTACTGGTGCCTATGCACCACCCTTGGACTCGCGCCCTGGATTCGGTGTCTCTCTGGCGATCAAGGACGCCAAGCATGCAATGGCAATGGCATCGGATCACGGTGTCCAGCTTCCTGGTCTGGAGATCGCTCGTCTGAACATGGAGGCTGCGAGAGCCTATGGAGGGGAGTGTCTTGATAGCAGTGCGATGTACGGGACGCTGCGCCAGATGGCAGCATTGGAGTTTGGGAACGAGAAGAGCAGGAAGGTTTAGATGCGTGCGAGATCATCATGTACGAATAGTTGGAGGATCAAATAGAAGCAATAGACGCGTAGAAAGAGTCGTGTCGCCCAATTGCTCGGCTTCACTAGATGAGATCGAATTCACGTCCTATAACTCTCAGCTCTAATTTAATAGGTTGGAATATGTTTTGTGGATGATTTCATTGTCGAGGCTGTAGAAAGAATATTCTCAGACTGGGCTAGCACTTCCATCGAGGCCGAATGAATCAAGACGGACGTGGAGTGGAACCGTGAGATTTCGGCTCTGATGTAATGCGCGCGGTCTCTACCAAGCCCGGATAGTGCTCCGCAAAGAGCGGACCCAAGGACCAGTTGGCGAGGTTACGAAGATGACGCTCAAAGACCGGATTGATGAGGAGCTCGTCAGAATCGCCCGTCGACAAGAGGCAATCCGTAGCTTCATACGGCCAATTGACAGACAATCCTCTGGTGAAGGGGATAAACCAGTTCTCAAAAGGATAATCCTGGTGAGAAGCCACGAGGCGATCGCGCATGCGCGGAAAGGGTACATAGTCCATCCATGGCGGATGAGGCTGGAAGAGTTGTGACGGGCGCGGGGTGTACCATTCAGGAAGTCTTTCGTAGTTCTCTTGCGTGGGATAGATCTGCCAGCGCATAAGAAGGAACATGATGTAGAGCACGGCAACTTGTTCCGGCAGCCCAGAAATGTCCGGGAATGTGCGCAGGATATCCGTGAATACTTTAGAAACCGGATGCGAATTCATGCTCTTCTCTGGATTCAGCAGCGATGAAACGCTTGGGTAAGGTGGTCCGACCAGTTTCTGGCGCGGGACGCCTTGCGCCGCTTCGCTTTGTCGGTGGTGAAGAAAGTCCAGTAATATAGTGTCCAAGGGACAGGTCGCGGAGACATTTCGGATTGGAGCCGCGAATGCAGGCGTATTTGGCTCAATAGGTGGATTCGAGGATTGGGCGTATAGCGGCGAGGAAGGATTCGGACTGGGGTTCGGTTGGGATGGACGGAGGGCTTCTGAGCTGTTAGGCCCGAGTCGGTCTACCTTGGGCACATTCTGGGACCGATCAAGAAGGAAACTGAATCCCAGCCGCTCCTCAACACCCAGATCTAAGCCATGGGCGAGGTTATGACGCTGGGAGTCGAATGCATTGCGGAAAGAGGATGTGGGAGCCCCGCCGTAGCTATTGCTGCGAATTCCTCCGTGGCTGCTGCTGCGGCGACTTCCGAGAGCGGGTGCGGAGTGGGTGGGAGACGGTGTATCGAGGCTGCCGAGAGACTCGGGATAGGATCGCTCGCCCTGCGTTGGGGCCTGGCTGCTCGGTGTGAAGGTGTCGGGATCCCGGAAGGGACATGTATGGGGGGGGAGCGGGACGGACATGGGTGGAGGATGTGAAGAGGGTGTGTCTAGCAGCGCTTATTAGTTTGGGGTCACAAAACAGGGAGACGCAGGGCTTACCTGCTGCCTCTGTTTTCCCAAGCAATGGTTGGATTATATCCATCACAGCCTGGAGCCCCTGTCGGAGCTCACGGTTCTCGGAGCGAATACTCTCATTCTGCCGATATGCTGCCTGGAGATCGAGAAACGGTTTCTGCGACGACAGATCGCGGACCTGCTGTTCCAGCGCATCAATATGAGTCTTGGTGCGTTCTCTGATTGCGCGCTGCGCCTGGCGGTCGTTGGCACGCTTCTTAGCCAACTGATCGGGGGTGAGGTGGGCGACGCCTCGTGATGAGGTGCTGTTCAGCTTGCGCTTCCGGCCAGCGGTGGCCGGGCTGCCATTGTCCGCTGAGAATGTCTCGGGGCCCAGAGAGTTTGACCGCGAAAGAACCGGGGAGATCTCAGGACCGTTAGAGGTCGAAGCCAGGTGTGGATGCGGACGGGCGTCGGCCAGCTCGATCGCCGAGGGCGCATCGGTTGGGTCCACAGCGCGGCTGGCCATGGCCTCACGCGCACGCTAAAAATTGACAACAGCCATGCAATAAAGGGACAAGACAGCGGGAAAGCCCAAGAGCTCTGCTCATGGGAGGAGTCGAGTCGCAATGTGGGAGGAAGTGGAGGTTGATTGGTTGGTTAGGCTGCGGACGGGAAGTATGTCTGCCAAGACTGGCTCGACTACTAGCTACGCCGAGTACAGTATCATGATGGAAAAAGAGCTTCTAATTGCACACAGCGATCGTAAATAGAAACCGGTTATACAACATGTACAATGTCAGGCCAAGAATAGGTATGCAAGAAAAGTCTGTCGTGTCAGATCGTATACAAGATGATGATGATAGGAACATCACTGGATCATGTGGCCCATTTTCGAGATCTGTTGGGTGCCAGTCAGTATGAAAACAATCACTGGGGACAAAAACGAACCTTGGTCCTCAAGTAGCCTTCGATCTCAGAGCTCTTAATCCCCTTCTGTCCACCCGTCCGCCATGCCAGCGGAATCATCGGCACCCGCTCCTTCACCATTACTTCCCGGTTGGGGCCCTCAATGGCGCGGACCTTGTCGGGGTTATTCGTGAGCAAGCGAATGCCCTCGGGAATGGCATCGGCACCACAGCCAAGATCGGTGAGCATGGCCGTGGCTAACCCGTAGCTCCGCGCATCGGCTGGATGCCGCAACAAGAGATTGGCTTCCACCGTGTCAGACCCCAGGTCCTGAAGATTGTATGCCTTCAATTTCTCTCCTAGCCCGATTCCCCGTCCTTCCTGTCGGAGATATATAATCACGCCGCCCGCCGATTGTGACCGTAGCGATTGAGTCTCAGGCGGCGCATCGCACGAGAGGTCCTGCACGGGAAAGGACATCAACCGGGCCGCCTCATCAAGCTGCTCGCCGCAATCGCAGCGGGCAGACCACGCGGTCTCGCCCGTGTAGCACTCCGAGTGAATCCGCACGAGCGGCGGCTCAATTCGCGGTCGTGGTTGCGAGGTATGTGAGCCTCCCGTCTTATTCTCATCGTCCACCCAGCTGCTCGTTCTCCCCGGGTGCAATTTCCCCACATATGCGCCGCGGATCATGCGGTCCATCTCGGTTTCGCCCGGTCGGACACGGTCAAGACTCCGACTGCGGATGTTGCATCCAAAGACAATGGCCAAATGCTCCTTGTTGTCTAGGTCGTTGTGGTATAGGTGCAGGAACATCTCTGCTCCGTTGGTGGTCGGAATCCGGGCTCGGACAATACATTCCACTTGTGGGAGCTGTGGGAGCAACTTGGGAGGTTTCGTGTGTTCGCTCTTGTGTTGGAGGTTGGCTGCTTGGTTCTGATGCAGGACTCGTGTGGGGTTTAAGTCGAGGTTCAACGTGCCGCCCGGGGTGGCGGGAGGAGTGAATGCGGGCGACAAGAGAGATTCTGGGAGAGCCGGAGTTTGCTCGCCTGTTACTGTCCCGCTTCCCTGGCTAGCATCGTCGCGCAGGCCCTCGCCGGTCGTGGATGGCGGGGGCGAGTGCGGCGGGAGAACGGGTGAAGCGTGGGCCGGGAGGTCGGCCATTGCGACGAAGAGATTTGGGAAAGGGAGCGTGGGAATCAAGTCGCAATGGGTATTCTTCAATTAACGACAAGGCAATAAGAACATGACAAAGGAATTATTTAGAAGAGCGGAAGGCAGAAACTGGGGAAGATTTGCCATCCTTCAACACCTCGGCATGAGACCCGGCAACATGAGTCAGCAGGCCGTCAGTGCTTACTCTAGCAGCTTCCATCGCTTATTGATTTGGATTGGGGTTTTTTTGTATAGTAAAGTATCATGGATTTTATCACCATATTTGACTGTATGTATCATCATGCGAGTACAATACAAGATTCATTGCGGTCCCAAACGCCAAGCGCCTCGCTGAAATAGCACCATCGTCAGATCGTAGCCCTCGTTCCTCATCTGCTCGGGATATCTAACACGAAGCGGCGATCAACTTCCATCTCCTTGTCATCTTCCTCGCCTTCAAACTTCAGCCGGTAGACATCCTTCTTGGATCCCATGACTTCGGCACGGTAGAAAGTGGTGGTATCCGGGTATCGGGCCAAAACCTGCTTGCCAACCGGAAAAGAAGGCAAAGTGGCACCCATCTGAGGGATAGGAATGAGGGACGAAGCAGTAGTTTTGTAGACTGACCCCTGCTCGCCATTCTCATTCGGCTCGGGGTCCTGCACATCGTATCTGTAACAAGCGGTCAGACGGAGACCAACAGCTGGCTGGAAGTCCTTACCGTTTCTTGGATCCCTCTCCGGAAATACTCTTGATAATGCACTGGATGCCGTCGCCCTCGATGTTTTTGTTATGTTTGAAAACAACCTGAGCACCTACCACCAGCTGACCGGAGCGCTCGGCAATCGTGCCCTTGGAACCCTCCGTGCCTTCTTCGATCTTTACCGCGACGCCATCACCGCGCGCTTCCCGAGCCTGCGTGCTGGAAACGCTCGTGCTGCGCGGAACACCGCCCTTGCCACGACCGACCTTCTCAACTCCTGACGCACTGGGTGAGTCAGTGGCCGAGCCTTCCATGTCGGTTCTCTTCTTGCGAGACTTGGAGAGCGATGTCGATCGGTTCATCGGGGCTTCCGCCTCGGAGGCTTTGCGCAGCGCAGTGAGCAGCTCTAGATTCTTGATCACATCACATGGCTCGTCTTGCATGATCGAGCGCTCCTCCTCACTGAGTTTCTGGCTCTGGCGCAGCCAGGTGTCGAGCTGGTCATGCTCAGTCATGGAGGGTTCTATGCGGGCAGTGTTAGCGCATTCGGTGGTTATATTCATAGCAACAGCCAAGGGATTGCCTGACTAGACGTACTGTTCCCATCACGAGAGATCCTCTCCGCTAGGGTCTTGATTTGCACGGACAGAGATGCTTGCTGGTCGAACTTCTCTTTGGATTTGCGGATATCCTGGCAGATCTTGGTCCAAAGCTCCATCTCCTCATTGTTGCCGAACCCATTGTCACGGGGCCGAGGGCGATTCCGCGACATCTTGTGCGGCTGACTGTATGGAATATTTCGGGCTATAGATGTAGATAGACCGCGAAGACACTGGAGGAGGGGTTGCACGCAGCCAACGGCTGGGGTTGAGTCGAAAGGTGCGACAGCGGTGGTCCACTCGGAGAGGGCGGTGGCACTGAAGTCGGCGAGTGGACGGGCTCAGATGCTCATCGCGTAATCGAAGGCCCTTGGATACTTTTGCCGGGGCTCTGTGTTCTTGTTGTCTGGATTGCCTGGCCATCATGACAGGGTTGTTGCTGCTTATGTAATGGCGGTGATGCTTTCTGCAGGACAAAATGCTGTCCGCCATATGTAGCCCTAAGTACGGCATCTATTGTAGTTGATGCATATATATGTACAGGACGATGTCTGGCAACCCTTGGTGTTAGTTTTTCGTTCCGATGCTCACCCGTTACCGCTTTTTTCTCACTGAGTAAAATTGAGCACGCCACTGAGCAGCCTGAGTTAGTCAGTGATCATGCCGTACTCAAACTAATCCAACTGTTCGAAAGCCGCGACCTCCCCCTCGATAACTCCACGACTCCGGGTCACTCTATCGCTCTATCACGTTGTAGACGCTTGGCCCTTCGACATAGTGCTAGCCAGGCCCAAAATTCCTAGAGAAAAATGATCTAGTATACTTCCGGTGCGGCATCTAATGACATTTCTGGCCCTACAGATGCGATTTCTGCCTCTTTGCCCAACCTAGGTAGCCGCAATGCATAGCGCTAGTAGGCAAGCAATCCACGTTACGCTATTAACTTACGCTAACATATTTTTTCAATGAAAGATCACCTATCGAAACGAACGCTATATTCATTGCGCCCCGGCTTAGTACATTGTGAAAGTCTCATCTATACTTCTTATAAGAAAGAAAGAATACTTTTGCCATATGTCGACTAAACAGCCCTAAGATTAATGAACTATCTAACGGCATCAATATTAGCGATAGAACAATATACCTGACTTAACGCGCGGGGATGATAGAACTTTGTGTTTTAAAGGGCATCGTAGTTGAGAATTTTTAGCCAATTAAGGATTCGCAAAGGCGATGGTTCCTAATATTTTCGATGGCTAGGACTTAGTCACCTTTGAAGGTCATCGGTGATAGAAGATAATCATGACAGAGAAGAGAGTTAAACTTCGTCGATTTAGATTTCATAATTTTATTATGAAATAACTTTAACGAATGAGAATGGACTACTACCCCGTGTTCTTATAGCGTGGGCTTTCTGGTGGTCATCTTATGGCTTTGCAGATGGTCTCTCTAGCAAGACAGCCCCAGTAGCTGAACTCCCCTCTCCTCTCGTTCTTCCCCTATGCGTCATAGCCTTCGTCTGTGGCTCCGCAAATGGCATAATTCGGGAATTCTAGATCTTGCAGCAAACGTGAAAGGAAACATCCACTGCTCTGGCCAGATAAATGAATAGAATTACACAGACGTCCTCTGCCCGAAACCAATATAGAGAACGCTCTAGGCAAAAGGGACAGAATTATTAATCTTAAGATTAATCATGACTAGTTAACTAACTGGTTAGCCTGCTTATTGGAAGTGGGCGCTGCATCCCACCATACTTATAGACACCGATGTTTGCGCTAGATACCACTTATCGTAGTCTAGATCCTGACCAAGACCACTAGTCATCAAATAGCCTCTTCCCGTCTGTTTATTTACACAGAAATACCGCACTTGCCATCATAATACCCATTTATATTTTAATTTCAATTGGGGACTTGGTTGGGGACTTGGCATATTCAAGTAGTGACCAAGGAGGAAGGAAATTTAAGACATGACATTCAGCATGAGCTAACCAATTTAAAGTCAATCTATGACTAGAAGTTCCGAAGTGTAACCCCCATTCTTGAATCTTTCAAACCCAGGAGGGGGATTGCCGCTGTAGTCGATATACCGTCTTGGTAATTGAGCGATTTCCTCAAAGGACTTCCCGTGAACTAGCATATCAAAAAGGGTATTCGCTCTGTGAGGAGCTTTCAGATCTGGATAGCGGTAGTACCTTTGCACTTCTCTTCCAGATGATGTATGCCACCTGAGCTTCAAGGCCAATCTTCTCGCCGGATCTGATGCCAATGCCCCTGTAGCGTAATATTGTGGATGCTCCTGCTTATCCATCTCTATCTCAATCTTGACATTGACGATTCCATCCCCGAGATCTTCAAGTTTTGAAAAGAAAACGTTGCAGAAGTGCACCTTGAACTTGATGTAATCCAGCCGTGGATTGAGATTAAGGTGATAGGGGTATTCTTTGTCGCGGAATCGATCTTTCTCTTGTCTCCAACTGTAAATGTGCTTGTTGCTCTTCCTGAGAGGGGCGGTCGAGAAAGACAGAATTGCCTCCTTGCAGATTTGGTTGACACTCGTAATGTCAAGGTCCAGGTCGGTTTCTATATCCCGGGCTTTATGCTCCATAAGAGGGGCCTCAATAAGGATTGATTTGACTTCAGCAATAACCTCTGGCTTGAGCGGCGTTTGCTCAGTCGCAGCATTCTCTTGCTTCAGTAACCCACTTAATTCTCTGATAGAGTCCGCTTGATCTTCATCGGGTGGACCGAACTTTGTGAAACCACGTTCATCAAGTTCTCTCGCCACCTGTTCTGTTCTCTGTTTGGAAATCTCTCCTATCATCTTCTGTACCGAACGAAGTTCTGGGCCAAAAGGAATTGAGCTGGTGTCTGGGTGCGTTTTTGAGGGAGAGGCGCTCTGCTTTGGTCTTGGCCCTAGTCGTCTATCTGATCTTGTTGATAAAGAGATAAGAATGGCGACTAAAGCTCGAGGAACTGAGCCTGCTAGGGTATGGATCTTCGAAAAAGCCTCTTTAGATATGCCCTTGCGAGCTAGCCAAAGCTTTGTATCTTCATCGAGGGGTTGGTTAAAAATGATTCCATTCTTCTCCAACCGCCTCCACTGGAAGATCCTGCGAAGGATACACGTTGTTTCCAAGGCGTAGCAATATACGCCTGACAAGGATACTGCAAATGTAGCCCAGCGAAATATCTCAGAGAGTTGAGATTTAGTAGCATCCCTTGGCTGCCAGGCCTCGTTGGGAAGACGTGGGCAGCAAATAATGAGTCGGTGAGAGATCGTACCATTGGAACGTGCAATGTAGATGTCATGTTGAGATCCGTGAACCGTCAAGGCAAAACCCATCATTGAAGGTAAATCCATGGCCTTCTCTGCGCGGCGTCCATGTAAGAGAATCACTCTTGCATTACTGCAGTTCAGCAACTTCTGTTGGTGAGTACTCTGATCCCTTGTGGTCACAAAATCGTTCGACTTGAGGGCCTGACTCTGATCGGATTCGACCATCCATAATAGAGCGTTGTCGGTGTTAAAACCGCACTGTCCTAACGCCCATGGAAATCTGTCCTCGGTCTGCGGCGTATCCATAGAAGAGGCTTTTTCGAAAGGATTACGATCCACAACAAATCCGATCTTTGCGGAAAATGATCCCAAGAATGACGGATAGTCTGCTAGATCGGGGTATGGACCGACATCCTTAGCGTCTGCTGATATGGATTCCTTCACAGAGAGAAACAACGACTCGTTCCTGAGCGCTGCTTGTAGAGTAGACCAGATGTCTACTACTGCTTGCTCATTTCGGAGTCTGACTTGCTGCTCAGATTGAATAGCCTCCATTTTGGCTTGATTTCCTCTGAATATCAAAGACCAGTAGCTGATTTGCTCATCAGGGCTGATTTGAGGTAAGCTTGTAAAAGCTATCCTGATTGTGCGATGACAAGACTGGTTCTGCTTTAATGGTGTCATGACATTCAACCCAAAGCTCTTGAATTGACCGAAAAGAGATTCATCTCCATGTGGTCTATTCAGAAAGCCATGATGGGTCCGGAAAGCTTTAAAAAAAAGCGCCTCAAGGAGGTTCATCTTGGTGTCAGCCCATTGTTTGTTCTCCTTCTCACTCCCTGATTGGGGTAAAGTCCATAGGCGAATGAAGTTTGCAGTCCTATGACCGTTTCCGATCCAGAGAATGAAGTGATGAAGACTTGTATGGTGGCCTTCCTGAATGTCTCGCCGATGATCACCTCGAATACGCACACTTGCCTGGAAGCTTTGTCCAACATATTGTCGGAAGTATTCGTCATTCCGATCATCTGTGACATAATTAGTGTAGCCTGAACCGCCAGCCCAAGGTGAATTTTGCCTTCCTCGAACTTGGTCAAGCAGTTTTCTTGTGATCTTGTTTTGTTGAAGAGGGAGAATTTCACGGTCGACATGGGAAACCAGCTCAGATGTAACTTTTCTTGTGCCTCCATGTAAATCAACTTGTCGGATGTAATATTCTGGGTCGAATCCGGCGAGACGTTTCTCGAGAATGTCCGCGAGTAGCTCCTCGCAAAGCGACTCAAGTCGAGGCAGTTCGAAGCTATCTTGAAGAATGACGTTCTCAATTCTATCATCAGCTTCTCACATCCTCTGATGTTTGAATTCAGCTACCCACATTCTTGATATTGTCTGGAATCGCCATCCAGTCTGCATCGCAGTGCTCCGGGGAGTGAATGGAAATGTTGAGAGAGTGAGATTGAAACAGAACTGAGACACCCCTGGAGGCCTTGGTATCTTTCCTTTTCGTAGATGTGGTGTAGGCGACTTCGGGGGCTTGTTTCCTGGAGACTGACGTGTTCTTGCATCGGTCTGTCTTATGTCCCTTCTGGCCACAATTCTTGCATCGCGGACATTTCGGGCAGTCAGTCACGACGTGGGCATCATCATGGCAGTATGTACATGGACACTGAGGACAATTCTGTCTAGTGAACCCCATAAGGCCACAGCTGGTACATACTCTTCGGTCTTCCCAGATAGCCATGGTTTCTGTCGATTAGTGGATCATACCACTATGCGAGGGGCAGGTAATAGAGCGTAGGGCAGGTATGGCAAAGGCTGGTGCTTCTTGTCAACGTTGTTGATGATAGGAAAATCGAGGAGGACGACGCATATGCGAAGGAGAAGTAAGAAATGGTGGTGATGTCTAAATATGTACTGGGTGTGATGAACCACTTTAAGGGTCCTTCCCTCAATTTGTTTCTCTTTCTTTCTTCCTCTTCCTCAATTTGTCTCTCTCTCTTTCTTTCTTCCTCTCCCTTAGTTTGTCTCTCTTTCTTTCTTGCTCTTCTTCAATTTGTCTCTCATTCTTTCTTCCTTTTCCTCCCCTAGCTAGGCTATTCTCATTAAAATGCCACCAATGGGTTTACATAGCCTGACCAGTTACACCAAGGCAAACATCAATTGGCGCCTCCAACAGGATAGAGGCAGGATTATTTAATGTTAACTCGTTTCATTCACGGGAGAAAGAAATTGGTCTACGAAGCTTTTCAATAAAGATTGATAGGGACCGAGACATCATCCAATCTCATTGAATATTAACCATTCTTGGACAAGGAAGGTGCTCGAATACTGGTCGGGTGTGCGCAAAGCAATTCGTCAGTTATGCTTCAGCCCCGAACAGGGAAGACCTCGTTGACAGTTTACCTTAGTAAGATCAACAAGAGGATTCAGCACGCCGTACCTGCAATCTGAGTAACCAGAAATTGGGCATGTATTGTTGCAATGCCCCCTCCTGGTTGAACAGTGCGAGATACTCCGCCGAGAGCTGGCCGAAGTAGACGCGTCAATGGCAGTTGGACACGATTAATTGCCCCGACAAAAGGCCGCAGCTCCGGCTGTCTCTGAGCTTTTGGAGCAGTTTCAAGCAGTGGATTCTGTGGCCATAGGCGTGGAAGAAGCTAGTAAGGAAGCTGGCGAAGGGGAGAAACAAGATTGTTCCCAGGGAGCAGTGAGATGATGGGAGCATGATGGGGACCTGAACAGGGGCGTGTATTCCTGGTCAATCTCGCCTCACTGTCATCCAAAAGACATCGCAGAAAGCGGATGCTGCGCCTATAATTCCTCGTGCAGGTGGACTATGGGCGCGTCGGGGCACCAATCCAGCAAGCTCGGTGATGCGAGGCCTCAGTTGTTCGAGGAACCAGGTGGAAGCAGGAGGCAGAGAGAGACCGCTGGTGCAACGAGGGCGAAAATTGGTGCAAAGAAGACTTGTAGGCAGTTGAATGTGGGCAGCTGGACCGTGTGGATCGGGGGAAGACGGTCACATCTCTCCTTTTGTTTTTCCTTTGTCATTATTTTTCGATATCTCGTCTGTTAGGCAGGCTGACACACTCCCGCATAGCCGCTGTATCTAAAGCAACCGACATCGGCAAATGAACTATTGATTGATTGACTGATTAACCATTCTTGGCTCAAAGAGACAAGCGCAACATCATCGCCAGTCAAGATTAAATTTTTTTTGCGGAGTAGATCCACACTTGATGCTTAAATATCCAACTATATTTAGTATTTTAGAACAAAAGAACATTCAATCTTTGCCTGGCTTGATATGTTTATTTAAGCATGCCGCTACTCCTTGCTGAAGAACCAATAAAAGGGCGGCTGGCCTAATGGCAAGGCGTCTGATTGTAAGCTTAGGGAATTGCTAGGGACACCCCCGTTTTCACTACGGGCACCCCTAATTATGTAATTACCCTTATTACATAAGTAGAATAATCATGTGATCTGTATCTGAATTTCATTCTCTATTATTTACATGATCTTCGTGTATGTCCAACTTCCCCACATATACTACACTTTGGCGCTGCCTTCTTCCGCTTCTGTATAGGCTCTCTATCAACATTTTGCTCTACCTCATCCCGCTTCCGTTTCCTAGGCTTTGGCAAAGGAATCAGTGGCTCTAATAGTGGAAGATATTCTGATTCACCGTCGTCTAGGCCTATTCGCCAGAATTGGTGGATATCTGTTAATGGAATAGCTTGATTGCTCTTCAATAAGCTAGAAACCCGATGTGCGCAAGGTAGACCCATAGTTCTTGTGAACGTATTTGTACAGGGAGGCAAAGGAGCTAGATCTGTAGCTCTTTTAGCTTTTGAAACTTGCTCACTAATTCGTCGAATCGAATATCGAGAGGTCCTAGTCAAAATATTAGTGAAAAGCTTTTGTGATGGTACTACTACCCTTTCAATTTGATCTCTTGCAAAATCATATTCGAGTGTAGCATGTTGGGCTTGTAAAGCTTGTGAAATCCTTTCAAATACAAGTAACATGTCCCCTGTTGAAGCTCCTATATGCTTTTTTAAGAAGGCATGTGAGCCTTCAACTCGGGAGGTCGCTGAATTACCTAGGTGTAGGTATTGCTGTGTCCACGCAACTATAAATTTCTCTTTATGGATTAGCCAAGTTTCCTCTATATAGCGAATAGGAGGGAAGGGAAATTGCTTCTTAAAATCTAGAAGCCTAGAATTATAGTCACTCTCTGTAGTCGAATAGATAAGCTGATTCCACGATTGTAGAAATTTTTGATGTCCGTCATTTGTAGAAAAGTGCTGCTTTGTTTTTTGGGTCACATTTTTATTAATATGCCATATACAAAGTAAATGTGGGTATGTAGGGTAGATAGCCTTAATTGCACCTAATAAAGCGAGATCTCGATCAGTACAAAGAACTGGTTCAAAGGGTAAGGGGTTTAGAAAAGAGAAAAAGGCCTTTAAAGCCCAAATATAGCTCTCTTCTTCTTCATTTCGCATAAAGCAGAATGCGATACTGAATGTTGAATTTGAAGGTGATATGCCAATAATATGTAATAGAGGCATTTGATATCGATTCGTTTTATAAGTACAATCTAGTACAAAAACCCTATTATATTTATTAGCGTATTTAATTGATTCAGGGTGTGCAAACATAAAAAAGAGGATACGTCCTTCTATATCTTGCTTTAAAGCATATTTCCAAGTATTTTCTTGTAAAGCTTTTAGTAAAAATTCAAGGGGGGTACTATTACCAAGCTTCTGTCTTCGTAAAGCATCTCGTGCATTATAAATATCCTTAGACGTAATAAGAGCATTCGGATCCTCTCGTTTGATTAGAGCAAGGATATCACGGGGTCTTGAACCAATCTCAGACATATAAAGAATGATCTATAGCTGCTCATCTGTAAATTTGCGAGCAGAAGGATGACCTATCATACTATTATTAGCTTCATGATTATGACTTGGGTTTCGTACCTTTAATTCCCACTTCTCACTATTAGGAATCTTCTTCCCATATAGCTTAAATGGACAACCAATCCGTCGTGTAGTTGTTAGTCGTCGTTTTGACCCTTCTGGCGCATTGATTCGATCATGATAAATACCACTGCGATCGCAGCCAAGAAAGACATTTTTATTCGCATTTGATCGTATAGTAGTGATAGCGTAGCCTTGGGAGAGAGCATGCTGACGCACAGAGTCTATTAATAGCTCTTTAGAATCAAAGATCTGCTCTGTAGGGGGCTCCATTTTGATGTAGATAACTACAGAGCTTCGAAATGAGGGGGGAGAGAGGTAGGATTTATAGTAGAACAGACTATAGAATGATGTTGCTGTGGTAATTCAGATACAGATCACATGATTATTCTACTTATGTAATAAGGGTAATTACATAATTAGGGGTGCCCGTAGTGAAAACGGGGGTGTCCCTAGCAATTCCCGTAAGCTTAATCTAACTTAGCTAATTATCGATGGTCACTAATAGTATCCAAGTTCAACGAAGATTTTCAGAAGATTTTCGATTCCTGCGTCGCTCTTTATTTTTTATTGATTATTAAATAGTAAGTTATTAATTAGTCTTTAAGAAGAGGAAGAAGAGGAAGAAGAGGAAGAAGAGGAAGAAAATAAAGATAGAATCTAAAATAATAAAAAAATGTAAACGAGCGACGCAGGGATCGAACCTGCAATCTTCTGAAATCTTCGTTCGCCGACTAGGGTACTTGTTAGTGACCATGGGTAATTAGCTGAGTTAGATTAAGCTTACAATCAGACGCCTTGCCATTAGGCCAGCCGCCCCAATGGGTAAGAGACAGCTTACAAAAGAGATATAAATTTAAGTTGTACAATTATAAAACTTTTCTTTTCCCTCTTTCAATTTCGTGACTATCTTTTGCATATTTACGATCTATAATCACCGTAAGCTTTTCCCAATCTGTCAGATCTCGGCAATCATATTTCGCGACTTTTTCGGTGGCTGCATTTCGATGGCATTTCGATCAGTATTCTCGACTGATCCTCGGAGACACACGGGCTTCGTCATGGGGGCTCGTATTTAGGGTTTTTTGCGTAGATCCGTTCGTGACTCTTTAGACCATCCGCGCGAGAGCACGTCTTCCCATAGTGTTAGCACACATGGACATAGTCTTCAGGGTTATAGCCGTCCCAAATTCAGGGTGGTGGTGTACCACATGCGCTGTCCTGTCGGATTTGGTTTGGAACCCTCTTAGAGCAGTCTGGATGCAGGCATGGGTACGGGAGCGTTACAACCCAGCCTCGGTAGAGTTGCGGCAATATAAAGCTGCTAGGATTTCGAAGAATGCCTTAGACAGCTGGATCTTAGATTATGCAAACAGGGATGAATCGTCCTGCCGAAGCACAACACTCACATCGTAGAAACGAGTGGATCATCCACGTAGACACGGGTTCGAACATTGTATCCTAGGTTGGCACATTGAGCGAACAGATCCACGAAATTGACGGAGTTTGTAGTGAGTCTATCCCAACCCGCCAGAACGAATATGATGTTGCGTTCTTCGTTGTGTCCTTCTTTGAGGATATTGAGACCACAGCATCGTATCGCCATCTTTGCGGTAGAAGGCGACTTGAACTGTGTATGAATGCGTAAACCAATAATGAGTCAACTCTAAATTCCTTATTCAGGTCTCGGAGAACCTGCAAGCTAAATGGCTAGATCTAGAATTGTCGTCATAGTTGATTAGTATTTGGACAAAGCCCTAAGCTAATACAAATCTATTGAGGTACGCCAAACTTATGTTTCCTGTCCAAATCTTCTAATCCTGCAAGATTCTAACTTCATGGTAGAGCGTGGAGCAATTTAGATTGGAAGTATATATATCATGACCCGCTATTATCCGCGCAAGAAAACGCCGAGGAGATCTGCCCATCTCTATACGCCTGGTTGATCTGGACTATGACCCCATACGTGCCACCGACAGCCATAAACACACCCAGCAAGACCAAAAGCACATGCAGCCCATAGATGACACGGGAGATTGCATTGCCTTTGAGATAATGGTCATGAGTATAAAGCCACAACCAACCAGGTAAAGACAAGGCCAAAGGCGCAAAGCACAAAGCACCAACCAGCGCTAGGACATAGTTAAAAATCGGAATCGCGCATGCGAGTATGAAGGAGATGGAAGCCATTCCAACCGTGCATCCTAGCCACGTCCCCCAGTGGACGAAGGTGTTGGCCTGCAGATGGCGTGAGTTGCGCAAGATTCGCACGAATAGATACTTGGCGGCAACGTGCACATAAAGACAGCCACTGACAATCAATCCCGGCAATGCGATCCCGTACGCCACCCGCTTGACTGTCGTGCCGGCGCTGCCCAGCGATGGCGAGGCAATCCACTTCCCACACCAGGCATAGATGACCAGGCTGAAAGTCAAGTACGATGCTGTCACGAGGCTCATGCTGAGATACACCGCTTTAGGGTAATCCTTTGGCTTGCGCATCTCCGAAATGACGGGCAGAAAGGCAGAGGTTGCGGCACTAGAGACAAAGATCGTGGCAGCAGCTGTGATTCCTGTTGTAAAGCTAGGATTGCCAATTGCTTGATACCCTAGGTCAAAGTCACCAGTCTGAGGCGCTGCTGCTGGCCGATCTCTCGTGGTAACGCCGATGCTAGAGGAATATATATTAGCATTGGGAGAGGATAGACAGCAGGCGATGAACCTACACAATGATAAAAACCGCGATATAGACACTCGCGAAGCCAATCCATGTAAGCCAGCCAATATGGGAGAATTTGCGCACGCTTGCACATATAACGATAATCACAGTTGCGATGAATGTGAACCAGACAGTACAGACAGCATGAAGAGATAATGCATTCAAAGCTGTCGATACACCAATGATGCCAGACGCGGCCACGATCACGTAGCTAAGTGTAAACAATAGTCCGACGATTTCTTTCGTAACAGCTCCGCCAACAACCTGGGCCATGTCGGCGACGGAATGGCAGCCTGGGTGTTTATTGCGGAAATTGCCTTGGATGATTGCACAGTAGGCATTGAGGACTGTCCAGCCTACGACGTTGATCGCTCCAGGGAAGGCTCCCAGCTCATACATTAGAGAAGGGATTGAGAGTACGCCAGTAGCGAAAATAACTGTGCGCTTATGGTTAAATTAAAGTGCAGCGCAGTCACAAGGACGTCTTTACTTACTTTTCAAGAAGATGATGGCTGCCCGAATCCAGCTCACCGTCCTGAAATTCACCTGTCCCTCACCTCTCTGAAACACCTCAAAGCTTTCATCCTCACCCTCCTTCGTGTATGTGGATGCTGGGATATCTTCAGCGTAGTTCACCTCCTTAATATCCTCGGTTTCGGTCGCCATGTCGAATACGAGCTCAGGTCAGATAGCAATTCCCAAACAAGTCGCATGCTCTCGGAACTGGAGAGGGTCGCAAGCGTAATATATAGACCAACCCCAAATCAAGATAGCGAATAAAGGTTTCCCTCAACTTATGACGGGGAACCCTGTCGCTCGGCTAACGACTCTGGGAAAAGCGATATCAGCATCAAGCAATGAAGGACATCGGGGCTGGGATGCTCCACTATTGCCCCCTATCCAAGAGTCTGATAAGGCTCCATGGCGGCCCATCGACCTATGATGAACGTCGTAGATGGTCCAAATTGGAGTCATTGCCACTTGCGGATAGTTGGGGTAGGATGAAAGGCCCGGGGAAGTTTGGAGTCTCCGAGAACGACCCCAACCCCCCGCCTTGTTATCTCGGGTAGTGGATTAGGAGACAACTCCAGAATATTTGCCGATAATTAGGCAAAGTAGTCACAGAAAAGCTTTGTCCAGTACCCATTCGTTTCCGATGACTCTGTTTCGTGGTGTCGCAGTTGTTACCGGCGCCGGTGGAACCGGTAAGAGACTGTGAATACAAGATGGCAATGTCAAGAGCTTATCTTGTCTCTTCATAGGCATTGGAGCAGCAGTTGCGAAAGCATTTGCTGCTGCAGGATGTGAACGCATCGCTATTACAGATATCAACGGGATATCAATCGAAGAGACCAGGGCAGCGATCTCTTCAGCCCACCCCAAGACACAACTGCTGGCTGTGACTGGCAATGTTGCAGATGACAAATTTGCAGAGACGTTTATCAACAAGGTAGTCAGCAAATTTGGTCGAGTAGACTATGCGGTCAATTGCGCTGGCGTGCTCGGCCGGTCTCTGCGCTCAGCAGAGACACCGGTCGAAGAGTTCGACCGCATCAACAACATCAATTACCGGGGCTGTTGGCTCTCTTCGCGTGCGGAGCTGAAGCAGATGGTAAAGCAGGAACCCCTTCCAAGCCATGATCCTGAGAGACCTCCGCAGCGTGGTGCAGTTGTGAATATTGCAAGTCAGTTAGGCATTGTCAGCCGCCCAACTGCCCGTAAGTTTTCATGATCTTCCATCAGCGCAAATTTGACGTTGATATATGATATGTTTAGCGTCTTATTGCGCCTCAAAATCCGCCGTTATTGGAATGACGCGCGCAGACGCTATTGATTACTCACAAGATGGAATTCGTGTGAATTGTGTTTGTCCGGGTGTTATTGAAACCCCGATGATCATGAAGGACACTGAGGTCAGGGAACGCATCACCCCCGCTATGGAGATAGCTCCCATGAAGAGAATGGGAAAACCAGCAGAAGTTGCGGATGCGGTGCTGTTTTTGTGCTCAACACAGGCATCTTTTATTCAGGGACATGCTATGGTGGTGGATGGAGGTTACGTTACTGTTTAGGCAGAACATTGAACCGTGTAAATTGACCTTCAGTGCGGATTTTCAGTCAAAATGCAACTCGATGGCAAGATAAATCGATAATATTTATTTCTTGTAAACGTCCCTGGCTAAAAGGGGACAAGAGGAGAATATTATTGCATCTTCTTCCAGTCAAAGTGAGTCTCCCAAGCATGTCCAGCCCTCAGAATTTTTTCCTCTTGCCACAAGCCGCCAACTAACTGCATCCCTACCGGTAACAGTACATCTTCATCCTCTTTGGCCGGTGCAGATCCAACCGGAATCGACATTGCTGGATGACCAGTCACGTCGAAGATGGCCGTGTTGATTGTGAGGCCCATACTTGGCTTCATTGACTCGAGAGGCAGACCTCGCTTGCCATGTTTTGGTGCCACAACTGGAGTTGTCGGCATCACTAGGACATCAAACCTTTCAAACAACGCTTCGTACTTGTCTCGCAGTTGTCGTCCAATATTGACTGTCTTGCCGTACAAACCCGGGAAGTGTGATGATAAATAAAGGCCGTTGATGATGACGTTCTTCGTCGAGGGAAATGCTCGCTGGAACCCCTCATCAGTCCATGGAAGGCTTGCTTGTTGCTGTTCAGTCATGTAGAGCTCCCGTCGTCCAGCACTCTGACCGAGTAAAGTTTGCGTCCCTGAAATACGTTGCTGGATGGTCCAGATTGCTGGCCCGTGCAGGTGCTCTGGCAGCGATACTTCCTCGATGTTTGCTCCGAGGTCTTGAAACTTCTTCGCCGCTACCATTACCGTGGCTCTCACCGCAGGGTCAATTGCGCTGTGGTTGAATCCTTCAGTCAAAATCCCGATCTTAACTCCGTCCAACCGTGCCGGGTTCTGCTGTAGTGTAGCTGCAAATCGAGTGGACCCTGGCCTGGGACTACAGAGCGACTTGTCGTCTATACCATCGTAGCCACTCATCACATCTAGACATGTTGCGGCATCCAATGTTGTCCGTGTCAGGGGCCCGACGTGGTCATTCAGGGCATCGCCGCTGGTGATTCCAGTAAATGGAACCCGTCCATGAGTTGCCTTAAGGCCGACGCCTGCAAGAGTGTTAGTGAGTGCTTCATGGAAGTATCAGAAAGGAAGACTTACATCCACACAACGCTGCAGGAACTCGGATACTCCCGCCTTGATCTCCTCCAATGGTGATGTCTACCAGCCCGCCAGCCACCAAGGCCGCACCACCGGACGTACTCCCACCAGCAGAGTAGCCCTCGGCATGGGGATTTTCAACTACTCCCTGAGCACTGGTATACGAGGAAGTAGAATGACAGTAGTTCTCGCACGTCGACGTCCCGTGAATATCCGCGCCAGCTTCTAGCAGTCTCGTCACGATTGTCGCATCTGTGACTGGCGTCCAAGAAGGAGTGATGTCGCTTCCTAGTAGCTGTGGGACTCCGGCAACAGCAATTACATCCTTGAGGCTGACCGATTTCCGAGCTAATGGCCCCTCTGCATTACCCCTGATTAGAAACCGGTGTGCCCACGCCTGCCCTAGAACCTGTTCCTCTTTACTCGGCCGGCGCACATTTTCGCGTGGATACCGGGTCTGGTCTGGGATGGGCTGGTAGTCCGGCAGAGCAGCGACTGTCTCGGCGCAGTCATGGACCGCCGCCAGGAGCGTGTGGAAGTCCTTCGCCTCGGCGGGGTCGATGGTCAAACCGAGGGGCTTGAGGAGAGACTCCGCGTCACCAGGTTTGACTGGGTTGCCTCTGTAAATAAATGGATTAGCCGAAGTACTCTCCAATTCATTTTAGCTGTTTGGTTCTCACTCCGAAATACTCGTGAATAGAACCGACATGGTTATGCGACTTGAAATGCAGCACGTCAGGTACCAGGGGGTCTATGGAGACACAACATGTCTAAGTAATAAAAATTTTCTAATTTAATCGGGCTCGCCCGACATGCTAGATTCGGAGAGACCGACAAGTTTACCCAAACGGGGAGACTTTCCCAATCAGCCGGCGCCAAAATGACTCCAACATCGCGGGTTCCGCTGTTGGGGTCGTTGATAAACCTACTCCACCGGCAATTGTGTAGCTGTGTATGCTTCCGATGCTTATCTTCCCCGCATCGTCTCAATTGCACACATTATTCTTCATCCTGAATCCTTTTTTCTACCGTTTAATAACAATATGGCCCCAAAGCGCGTTCTTATCTCGTATGGCGTCGACGTCGATGCTGTGGCCGGCTGGCTCGGCTCGTATGGCGGCGAGGATTCCACCAACGACATCAGCCGTGGTAAGTGACTAAGTTTCGCCGGTCGCTGTCCAGAGGCATATTCTAATGTACCATGGAATCTAGGGGTCTGGGCAGGGACAGTAGGAACCAGGCGTCTGCTGAAATTGTTCGACAAGTACAAAATCAAAACCACCTGGTTCATCCCGGGCCACTCGCTGGAGACTTTCCCCGAGGACATGGCTGCCGTCCGAGACGCGGGTCATGAAATTGGGCTGCACGGATACTCGCATGAGAATCCGACCGATATGAGCATCGAGCAGCAGCGGGACGTACTCGACAAGACCTACCGCATGCTGACCGAATTTTCGGGCAAACCCCCGCGTGGGAGCGTAGCACCTTGGTACTTTTCATTTCTTATGCGAAAAATGTCCACCGATCTAACAATGAAGGGAATAGGTGGGAAACGAGCCGTGAAGGTGCCCAGCTCCTCCTCGACTATGGCATCGAGTACGACCACAGCATGAGCCACGAAGACTGCCAGGCCTATTATCTACGAACTGGCGACAGCTGGACTAAAGTCGACTACAGTAAAAAGGCGCACGAGTGGATGAAGCCTCTCGAGCACGGCCCACAGACAGGACTTGTTGAAATTCCTTCGAACTGGTACATCGACGATCTGCCGCCGATGATGTTCATTAAGAAGGCACCCAATAGCCACGGCTTCGCTAACCCGCGTGACATCGAGGATATCTGGCGCGACCATTTCGACTACTTCTATCGCGAGTACGACGAGTTTATCTTTCCTATTACGATCCATCCGGATGTATCAGGACGGCCGCATGTCCTTCTTATGCATGAACGGTGAGTGTGGGATTTATGACACGGGATATATACCTATGCTGATATATTTACAGCCTTATTGAGCACTTTATGAAGCATGAAGGCGTTGAGTTTGTCACTATGGAGCAGGTTTGCGATGAGTTCAAGAAGAAGAACGCGCCGCCTGCCGGGGCATTGATGCCTGCGAAGGCGGGTGCGATGTTGAAATAATGTGACTCCTAGTGAATTGCAATTTTATTTCTTGTAATAAGTAGTATCCCTCTTTTTGTTACGCTTCTACATCATCACTAGCGAATAGGCAGCTGATGTTATAAATATTCTCGGTTCGATATAGTAGGTCCAAAATCAAAGTATGGCCATGTACTGCTCCAAACTCTGACCAAGGACGTTGATGAAAGGCCATTGCGTATTTCTCCGAAATAGCCTCGCCCAAAGCTTCAGGACAGCCATTCCCAGTGCGGCTGGTTCGAGATCTGTTGGAGCGTCTGCGTCGGTGTCTAGGTCAATGGACGAGTAGGCTTCTTCGACGATGCACCGTGTCCAGCGGAGAATGCGGCTTTCATTTTCTTCATAATTGTTAGTCGCCTATAACACGGAAATGTTGCTGTTAGGGAATAGCGGAGGGGGAAGTCATACCGCTCAGAGCTTGATCAGGCCCCGCCTCGGAAAGGGTAAAAAGCCACTTGCTGAGCAGAACAGCGCATTCCAAGCTCGCGATAGAATGCCTCACACTCCAGAAAAAGGCTTGGCTGCGTGCGACATGGTCAATTCCCAACCGGACAGGAATACTGAGCGCATGGGCAGCGTAGATGAGAGCCGGGATTAAACGGTAGCTTCTTTCGGGACGGGGAGAGCGACGCAGGGCGTTTGCAATGCATGCAGGATCTCGAGTCTCCAGGCGGCGATGTGGACCCAAGTTCAGGGATAACCGTACATAGGCAAGACCGAGCAGCGCGCTGGAGGTGAATGGTATGGGCCCGTTGGCGTTGTGTGGATCGAGGCTAGACTCTGGGGCTTGTTGCCAGACAGATGTCCAGGAGCGAAGTGCTCGTCTGTGAATTACAAGGTGAGTGATTACACAATCTAAAAGTGGATGAGTTATTGCACTTACTCGAGTTTATTGAGCTCTTCAGTTGGCAGTGTGGCGGATCCATGGTTCCCATTTGGCAGGGAGAGTTCGCTCACAAGATGAATTCGCTGTAACAGTCCATGCAGAAGAATATAATTCCCTAGCGGCGCTGGGATAGGATCTAAGACGGCCTTTGAGGGCGATTTCTGGAGGAGCAAGGTCAATGCGTCCTGGAAGAACAGTTGCTGGGCGCCTCTGTTTCGCTGAGCAGCCTCCCATTCGCCGGCGGTGGTTGCAGTCCATTCGCTAGTGCAACAAGGCAGTCGCAAGTGGATCTCACTGCTACGGAGTGAAGGGTATGCATTGTAGGAAACGCTGTGCATGTGAATGAAGCAAAACGAGATCAGCTTCGTACGACGGATGGATTCCTGATCTGCCCAATCATGCCACTCGAGTGATGGACGTGGATCGGACCAGGACGCATTCTCCGTTAACCCAGCCTCGCGCAGATGTCGAACCAGGAGACTCTGAAGAGTGAATGCTTCCTGGACTAGTTCTGCATTCTCCCACGTTGCATAGCCCATCAGGACAAGCAAGCACCGGATGATTTCAATTTGTCTCCAAGAACCATATCCTTCTGTAGGCTCCTGTGAGACATCCCCATGACCGGAATACCGTGGGGCTCCAAACGGCACAGGAATTCCATTATTCAAGTCATGGCGTGGTTTTGGTGAATGACTTCGATGGCTTGCTAGTCGATCAAAGAGAATCGCCTTTGATACGCGGTAGATTCTGTCCGCATTGCGATGTTCAAATCTGTACTGGGCTCCGATAGTCATGAGCGCCAGCACCAGCTCTGGAGAATGCTCGTTGATGCGAAAAGTAGGTATATGAATGAACGGAAGATGAGGATGGAATCCCTCAAAGTACGAGGTGAGATACCGCGTCAATGTATGTCGGGAAGGCAATACAAAGTCTGGTATCACATGGCGGAATTCCTCGAGAGAGGCCGCCAACCGGAACCGCTGGTCCTCGGTGACATTAAATCTTGAAGTTCTCTTGGCAATTTGAGGTGGCTCTGTACGACAGTTAGCTAGAAAAAAGAACCAAAGAATTGAATAAATCTTACCCGAGTCCGACAGCGTCCCCAGACTTTGGTCACCTCGTGGGACAGAGGGCAGCCAGGACCTAAATGGCGAATCACCTCGTGATTCTCCAGGATTCTTATGCTGTCTCGTAGATTGCTCATGAGCAACTCCGTTCGGTTCCCGTACATCATCCGGGCCAGCTTCTTCCGCGGCTCTCTGGGGGGTTCCTCCATCACTGGGAAGCCATTCTGCCGTCAAACCAATAGAGTCCAGGAAGTGAGTGAAGTCCTGAAAATGATTCAAGCCATCTGGTAAATATGGAAGCGGTTGCGCTGAATAAGGTCAGTACCGTAATAGACAAAAAAAGTGCCTCCCTCGTCCGTACAAGTAGGATTATAATCACCCGGCAAAAGGAGCTGGGCCGCCTGCAGCATGTCGGGGTCATGCACCAGGCCCGGATTCGGCGGCAATGGTGGATTGTGATCAGAACCAGCCGGCAACAGAGCGCTATGGTCCTGTTCTAAATAGGGCCCCGGAGCCGGCGGTGGTGCATGCTGCGCGCCAGCCCACGGACCTGCAGCAGTGGGACGGGCCGTCGATGCATTATAGGGCTGCAGGATCGATGCAGGTTCGCTTGGAGGCGGAATAACACCTCGCCGCCGGTCCGGTGTAGTCCCCGTGGGGACGCCCGATTGGGCATTTGGTGAGGTGAGTCCATCCTGGTGCGCAAGGCGATCATGGCGCTTGAGCAGGTCTCTCCGAGTAAATGCCGCCCCACAGAAACAAATGAAGGGTTTCTCTTTGGTGTCTATCCATCCGTCAGTTAGCCGCTGGAATCCTTCTCAGGACCCAGATGCCCTAGCCCGACGACCTCGGATCTGGAGCAACTCACGAGTGCGGATATGGCGCTCCAGATGCTCCGTTCGCCGGAAGTTCCGACCGCAATGGAGACAGACTCGCGCCTTAGCCTCACGACGAACCCCTCTAGGGCCCTGGGGCGATGGGGACGGCATCAAGGCATTTGGGGTCTTCTAGTTATTGATGGAGAAGTTGCTTGGAGAAAAGAAACTGTGGATTTCCGGGGAGGCGGAGGTCGCACCCCAAATTCTTATCTTCTCCAACGGCCCGAGTTGGGGTCATGGGGGCAAACTTACGGGCAAACTCCGAAAAGATCCGCTTGATTAACGAGATAAGGTACACGAACACTATGACATCACCCCGATCAACTCTATGCAGAGAAAAAAGTGCATACATAGCCTGCTCCTCAATCGAGTAAATGCCCTGCAACCGCATCCACTGGAGTTGCGACAGCAGTTGACAGGACTGTCTCAATGTCGACAAGCTTCATTTTCTCCCTCAGCGCCTTGGGAATAAATCGCGCCTCAACACGCTTCATAGCCTGCTGCACCTCCTCTGAATAAGGATTGTCGGCGTGGGCGAGCGTGGCCAGATCCATGTCCTGAACCCGAGCCCCACCATTCGCGAATTCCTTCCATTTGTTCCTGGCAACAGCCATGGGATCTTCTTTGGGTTCAGCATCATCACTCACATCGACTGAAGCTTCCGGTGTGAGCACATTGGCCGCATTATCGTCGCTTGTTGTATCTGATTCGCAGCCACAAGGATGATCATGGTCAACGCCGCACTTTCGTGAGCAGGCGACACCACAGCATTGTCGAACATGGTTGCAAACCAGATTGCAAGACACCCATTCGTGGCTGAAACTAATCCATCATGCTTATTAGAAATATCCGAATCACCTCCATCTTGAAACTTACGCATGGCATTGAATCGGGCATTTATGGCCACATGCCAGGGTATCCCCGCATGGATCGCTGCAGCCTCCGTTGATGGTAGTCCAGTCACTGAGCTCTGAACAAGAAACAACAAGTCAGCCAATTTTCTAGTTTGAATATTGGGATAGCTCACCCGTAATGAGCGTTTCCTTGCCGTGACTCTGGCACTTCAAGGGCAACTGGGAGCCCAGACGTGGTCTAACGGCTTCCTCGCACATCAGGTGCACAACTTTGTTCCATAGCGGGCTCTCATTGAGAACTTTGTTTGCATTTCCGAAGATGTAGAATCCACACTTTGCGCGAGACAGGGCCACGCAGACTCTGCTATCTACCGAAAGAAACCCGATACCTCGATGCTGGCTGCTGCGAACCAAAGACAACAGGACAATCTCATTTTCTTCTCCCTGGTAGGAATCGACTGTGACCACTTTCACGAGGTGCTTGGACAGATATGGATGTGTCCTCATAATCTTCAGAATCAGTTTCCTCTGACCATTGTAAAATGTCAAGACAGTGATGTTTTGGACCGGTACGCCGTTCAGCGCAAGGTAGGCGAAAAATTCAACCACCATCGATGCCTCCCTCTCATTGAGCTTCGAGGCGAGGCTGTCATTGCTCTCAGGCCAATCGTGGTTAAAGAAGAAAGAGCGGAGGTCGCCCATTCCTGGTACGGAGGCGAGGCTCTGGACAGAGGCATGATCGATAAGCTCCCCATAGATGGGAGTCAACAACTTACGGAACTCTGTTGCCATTCGCCGTTGTTCTCGGAGCATGATGTAAGGGATGCCGTTGTTGACTAGGCGCTCGAACATTGAAATCTCGAGGAAGAAGGGCTCGGATGCCAAATCTTGCAAAGCACAGTGACCCTTCAGTTGTTGATGGTCACCAACCAGGATCAACTGCTGCAAAGAGTCAAAGCAAGCAGCAGCAATTGGTGCTTCAATGCACTCGGCTGCTTCTTCAATCAGAACAATGCGAGGGTTCAAGCTTGAGAGCAGACCACGATACTTGCTCAAGCCGGTTGTCGTCATCCCAATCACTTTGGCGCTCTGCAGAATATAATAGTCCTTCTCCCATCTTCCGATCCGGGATTTTTCGCAGGTTGCTGCATAGGATACTGCCAGCTTCCGAAGTTTGCTGGTAAGCATCTGCAGCAGTTTATTTCGCAGGATATTGTAGATGGACCCGCGAAACTTGCTCGGAATACTCCACAAGTCCTTAGACCTCAGATACTGAGCTACTGCAACCTCGGAGACCGAACCCTGTCCTTGAATGCGGAACGCTTCCCGCAGATGGACGAATCGGCCTTTCAGAACTTCCAGATCATCTTCTTCCAAGCCATGTTCCGCCTCAATCTCTTTGAGCTCCTCGTACTCTAGATCAGTCTCATTCTCGACAAACCCGAATGACTCGCGTGAGTAGTCGACGTCAAAAGCCACCAGCTGATCACCAAGCCACGCTGCGAACAGATCGCACTTCTCGGTATCCGGACGAATCCACGCACTCGCACCTCGCTCAAGAGAGAGTAATTGGGCTTCATTGATCAAACCGTGCTTGGAAAAAGCGTCGGCTGGGATTGGGTTTTTGCCATTTTCGTGATTGAAAGGCTTGAGAAGCTCAACCAATTGATTGACGAGTATCCGATGCTCTCGTCTGGTAGGTCCAGACAGTCCGCCATCTACCTCTTTCGGTGGTGCCGAAATCCTGACCTCATACAGTGTCCTTTTCCGAATCTCGACATCATTACTTCTTCCACCCAATCGAATGTAGTTGCTCTCAAATCTGGAGACATGGGTAAGGACCTGGTCAAGGGCATGGTTTGTCTCCGCAGCAATGATGATTGGCGGATCACCCGACGTCATGTTTGAAAGAAGAACCTTGAGTGCAACGACAGAGACGTAGGTTTTGCCAGTTCCAGGCGGACCTTGTACAATTGCGAGATTTTTAGTCAACATCACCTTCAAAGCCTGCCATTGACTAGGGTCTAGTCCAGCCATTGGCGAGGTCGGCCACTGCCCAAGAACATTGACCTTTTTGCTTTGTTCGCTGGGTACCTGCGACAGAGCCCGAATATCGACCATCGGCTCTGCCTCCACGTATTCCGGGGCGCAGATGCGAGGCTCGAGTGCGCATATATGCTCATTCAGGGGAAATCTAAGAAGGTGAAAATTGTCAGACAATAACGGATTGAAGACCGCTCTGTCATTTACTCACCTTTCAGAAGACAGCTTCTGCAACGCTTTCATGGTGTGTCTGTAGGCCTCGTAGTAACCCGAGCCGGCTTCAACCATGATCCATTCCTGCTGAGGATCGAATTCAGTTTGCTCAGGTCGTGCAAAGAAGATGTCAATCTCAGGCGGCTCCTTGGTGATATTCTCCAGAGGTCTGGCAGCGACCACGCCCACGATGCACTTCGTATCGAAACAGTCCTGGACGGGAGACAGAGCAACAACGGAGCCAGCAACGAGTCTCTTTGAGTACTTCCACATGATTTTCTTCCCCGCACGCCGTGTCGAAAAGCGCATGCGAAGTGCCAGGCCGCGATGGGCGAAAGTCGCGCCGATGATGTAGACCTGGTTCATTAACAACGATGGCAACGAGTCAACTTCGCTGCGCACTCACCTTTTCGTAGGTAAACACATCCTTGGTATCCATGATAGAAGGGTCCTCTCGAACAAAAGTGACCGCATCTCTCAGAGGCGCTACTGCATCTTCGCGGACCAGATTGTAGTGCGTTGTGAGGTATTCTTCCGTTGAGGACCAACGACCAGAGATCTTGTTCGGTGCGAGCAAGACATCTTCCGTTTCCGTAGCAGTTCCCAGAATCTCTTCTGACGCGGGAAACTCAGGCTTGTTTCGCCAGTCATGGTCGGCAGGGTCCGCCTTCTCGAAATATTGCCGTATGGCAGGTTTGACGGGAGGCAGGGTGTGGCTGATGTGGAGTTTCTTAAGCTGATCCAGATCAAGCGGGTCATGGTACCGGGGAAAGAATGCATGGCCTCTGATGAGACGGGGAGACATGATGGAACAAGGGCGCTGACAGATGAGCGAGAAGACTAACTTAGGTGTAGGTGTGGAGGGAAATGGGTAGGAGAGAGAGACAGAGACAGAGACAGAGGAGAGAATGGAGGAAGAGAGAAGTAAGCCACACATCAAAGGAAGGAGCCATGTTTGGTATAGAAGGACATATCCCAGCCCATAATCATAGATTAAAAGAAAGTAATATATAGACAGCGAGAGAATATTTCATCATGACAACCAACTCCAGAGCAATAATCATCAGCCCTCAAGTCGGCAACGTATCCAACCTCAAACATCCTCACGAGCACCCTTCACCCCCTGCAGTTCCATCCACCCGTCCTCCACCCTGTTATCCGCAGACACAGGAGATGGAATGCGATGGTCATGCTCCCGCTCGCTCAACAGATCTCCCTCATCACTACAGTTGGTATGAGAATGAGATATCCTCGAAATCGACCGTGACGGAACGGAGGTGGTCTGTTCCTTGGCCATGGACGAAACAGAGATCGTCGTCGTGACCATGGGCGGGGCGAGACCCGGCGAAGTGGGAGATCTGGGCGAAGTGGGAAATCTAGGCGAAGGGGGAAATCCAGGCGAAGCTGGGGAGCACGGGTCCGTGGTGGAGGCGTACTGCTTGTAGTTGCTGTAGTAGAGTTGCGGGTGGCTTCGTGAGGAGGTGGTTTTGATGAAGCGTTGCGTTAAGGGTCGGAAGAGAGGCCAGACAGGTGGGATGGACATGGAGATGAGGACGACCCATTCTTCGACTTCGCCCCAGCGGAAGAGGACACCGACGCCGTCTGTGTCTCTGTTAGATATGATCCATTGAAGATGAATGACTGGGGAGGCAAGAACGTACAGGACGAGTCCTCGCTCAAGATGAACTTGGCAGCCCACGTCCGGACGATGGCAGCCACGCCAGCGAAGACACCACATCCCATGAGGAAACTCAGGCCCCATTTCAGCTTGCGGTCGATCCGCAGCGGCAGTAACATGTGGATTGGGATGATGGCCAGGTAGAAGTCCGAGAAGGCGGCCACGGCGCCGACGAAGTATGTGTAGTAGACGCTCTTGCGGTGGTCGCACTCGGTCTGGCGGAGCGGATCCCAGAGTGCGTCGACGGGACTGCATTGGAACCAGATGAGGAGGATCTGGGGGATATTGACGACGATGTTCACCGCAGCGAGTATGATCAGACTCTTGCGGATTTTGGGATCTACATTCAACACATGTCAGCAGGGTCTTTGGGCTTGATGTGCAAGGGGATAGACGAACTGGTCTGTTGATTCATCTCCATCAAAAACGCCGCAACAGCCACCTTGCCCGTTGGGATAGCGAGGTTGAAGAAAAAGACCGTGATCCAAGTAAAAAGAAGGAAGTTATGCAGTTCCCCCGTCTCCGCCACGACGGTCATATGGTTGCCCAGACCGTGCAACACAGACAGAATGCCAAAGATCTGGGTCATGGCAGTAAATCCCCAGGCGAGGAGGGCCCACATGAGGGCCGTCGTACCGAACTTGTTGATTCGAAGCCGGACATAAACACGGAGGAAGATAAAGAGTGTCGCGACGGCGCCGAGGGCAATTCCAAGACGGACATCGCCAGGGCCACGCCCCCCGTATGCGGGGAAGGAATCATGAAGGCTCATGATGGACTAAGGAAGGAGAGGAAGGGCGAAGACATCAAAATACAGTATAAAGAGTGGACGCGATGCTTGACCACCGGAAACAAACCACGGGGAAGGCGGGCTCCACCGCATGCTTTATATCATCTCACACCACAGCATCGTACGTACACCCTAGTAGGTTTCTCCGAATGACAAAAAGCCGAGATCCACCCAGTGGAGGTCCCCTAGGAACCCCAGAGGGATCCACCAAGTAGTTGACACTCTAGCCCAGTAGAGTTTTTCATTCGACAGGGAAGTGGTTATGGGGCAGAAGCCCTAATTGGGTGTCGGTGGTAGATCTAGTGTCGACTAGAGCGCGATCAAGTGGAGCAAACTATCAGAGGCGGCAGGCAGCGCGCGCCATTGGCGTGTCCCTGGCACCCCCGGAATAGACAGGTCGCGAGTGACACGTGCTCTTTGTTCCTTCGTGCGGTGTCGAGTCCAGACGCCGGAATTCGGCTCCAGCACATAAAGAATATCCATGCTCATGCCATCTCACGATCACCATTTGATTTCCAGAGGCTCGGCTCAGTTAGGTACCGACTTCACTACCCGATAGGAGCAAAATTCAATAATGCAGCGGGGACGCCAGACGATCTTCCCTCATAGTGGCCACTAGCTTCCCCTTCGGCCCATGGATGTGCGATTCTAGCGTGTCGGTTAATACTCCTCCTCCTGAATCTGGCAGGTACTTATTATGTTTGTCGGGTCTACGGAGTATCCTTATTTGGTTGATACATCCTGGTAGCAACCTGGCCGTGGTTTATGTTCTTATTGGTGTTGGTCTCCCCAGCCACAAATGTCTTACGCGGTCGTCGAGAACAGAAGAACTGGAGGCGCACGACCCTTGACAGGTTCTCTCTCCATCGCTATCCAGCGCACCGGGCTCCACCGCGCGGCTAAAGGAGGCTCCAGAAGGATGGCCGAGTCATGCTAGTGGCATCGCCGTCTCTGTCATGAGTCGATCGCGGAGATACTAGTTAAAACAACTACTCCACTCTACACAGGGAAGTGGCCGTCGATCACAACACTCCATAGTCTGAACCTATTGAACACTTTCTAGATCGGTTCTCAATGTTTAGTGGTAGAGACATGTATACTACGGTAACGATAAACAGAATAGGAAAAGCGAGACAGTCTGAGTGAAAGGAGAACGGGTATGCCGAGAGACCCGCAGACTCGGTGTGTTGGACAGCGAACCCCAAAAATAACAAAGATGGAAGCCAAATGAAATATAATCTGCGCCGGTTGGTGAACCCTTCAAAATGCCAATAGTGGTCGGTCCCGTCCCAGACAGGACCAAGTGCCTGGCCGGCTCTACGCGGCAACAGCGTCCTTGATCTCGCTGTAGATCGCGCCGAGCTGCTTCTCGGCCTGGTCGACCAGGTTGTTGATGCGGTCCTCAATGGGGCTGGCGGCCTTGTAGCCACCGTCGGCCAGGATCTGGGTGTAGTTGGCAGAACCGCCACCGTTCCAGGCAAGGAGCTAAGATCATTGTTAGCAAGATCCATCAGAAACAGCAATGGACAAACTTACGTTGGGAGTGTCGGACGGGATGTCGGTGAGCGCATCCACGGTGGCAACAGTGATGAGTGCCTCCTTGAGCTTCTTCGGGGTGATCTCCTCGACCGCGTAGGCCGAGTCCTGAGAGGGCTGCAGGGAAACGTAGTAGGCCAGCAGGCCGGCGATGTGAGGCGAGGCCATGGAGGTGCCCGAGATGGTGTTGACGGCATACTTGCTGCCGATCCAGGTGGAGAGGATGTTCAGGCCGGGAGCGAAGATGTCAGTGCACTTGCCGTAGTTGGAGAAGTAAGCGCGCTCGTCGCCCAGGGTGGAGGCACCGACGGTGACGGCGTTCTCCGCCGCAGCGGGAGAGTAGTTGCAGGCGTCGGCGTTGTCGTTGCCAGCCGCGACGGCAAAGTGCATGCCAGCTGCGACCGCGGCGTTCACGGCCAGGTCCAGGGTGCGCGAGCTGCCACCGCCCAAGCTCATGTTGGCAACGCTGCCCTTGAAGCCCTTGACCTTGCCTTCCTTGGCCGCCTTGGCCTTCTTGACGTGCGCCTCAGCGGCCCACTCCACACCCTTGACCACATCGGACATGGAACCGGAGCCGTTGGACCGCAGAACCTTGACAGCGTAGACGTTGGCCTTTTTGGCAACACCGTACTTCTTGCCAGCGATGGTGCCAGAGCAGTGAGTGCCGTGGCCATTGCCATCAGCATCCTCATCGTTCTCCGGGACAGTCTTGCCCCAGTGAGCACGGCCGTTGAAGTCAACATGCTCGGTGTTGGTACCGGTGTCGATGACGTACGCATCAACACCCTCTCCGCCATCCTCAGCATACAGATACTTGTTGAAGGTTCCGAAGGAGAGGCTGTCCCGGTGAGAGATCCGAGCCAGACCCCAGGGGGCGTTCTTCTCTAGAGCCGGGTCTTCATTAATCCAGACTTCAGAATCTTTCTCGATATAGTCAACCTATATGACGGGGTTATCTGGTTAGCGAAAGAGCTCTCGTTGGGGAAGGACTGTCTACCAGGGAGAGCACTCACATCCGGATGACGGCGAACCTGCTCGATCACATCCTCATGAAAATGGCCAGCATATCCCATCAGCGAATCCGCAACATGGAAGGTGTGCTTCAGGCCCAGGAAGGCCTCGGAATCAAAGCCGAACAGGCCTCGCTTCTTGAGCTCCTGGCGGCCGCCACCGATCTGGGCCGAGTGGATGTCCTGCACCCACATGTGGTGAGCAGCGGCCGATGATGAGTCCACATGCTTCTTGAAAACGACAATGTAGGAGTCCGGGATCTCCTGGGAGGTCACGGATGACAGGATGGGGGCTGCCTCATTGTGGATGGAGTCCACGACGATGGGTGACGCAACCGTCAGCAACGGGAGCAGGGTCAGGCTGAGGAGGCCTTTCATGATGGCGAGTCTACGGACGACAGCACGACCGAGGAAAATGGAGATGGAGGGTTAAACAATAGACGTAGGACGGAGATGCAGGAGGAGGAGGGAGTGATGGAAGGGAAGAGGAGCGAGAGCAGGAGGCGAGCGTGAGGAGTCACGGATGACATAAGCGGACTGGGGTGGTGACCTTATCGCCGATGATGCAACCGGATGATAGATAGGGACTAAATCCAGGGCGAGAATGGGCGCATACGGTAGTGGGAGGACTTCCTGGCGGCGGGGATCGTCCCCTCTGTCGGGTCGCGTGCTCTGGCTCGCCTGACCTGGCTGACTTGGGCACCGCCAGGTCAGCCATCTCACTCTCCGCAAGACGTAATCAGTGGATCCCCCCAATGCCAACCCAGCCTGCTCTTATCGCCCCCGGTTATCAGGCCAATCGCGCCCAGGTCACCTGATGACGCGGATCCCCGCCCCCGATAGCTGAGGCTCCAAACAACACGGTTTGTGTGCTATCAATCACCGGGTGGCCATGTCGATCTGATCTTCCCGCTCTGGAATGCCAATGCAGAGTCATCCGGACCCGCTTGCCTCCCGCCCACCAATGCAGACCATTTCCCCCGGCCCAAAGCCACAGTGCATATTTGCAGTCTCCGGGGATCGTCCGGCAACCACGCGAGAGTGGTCCAGATCCCGGTGGCATAATGGTTCCGCCGTCCCCGTCCTCCTCTCCCTCCGGGTCGACGGAGCGTCTGGCTGAGGAGCTGAGCCCGGTACTCGAGCACCTCAAGAACCTCTGTGCGGAGGACGCCCTGGCCCTGACGCCAGCTCTCACGGCCACCGAATCTCTCCTACGGCTCCGCCACACATTTATCGACAATGCCCGGCCCCGAGCTGCCAAGGATGCTTTTCGGCACCTTCGTGGCTTCGAGACCTTGCTGGACCTGGCCGACCAGCTAGCGGAGCTGTATGACCAGGACTCCTTCGCTCAGGAACAGCGAAAAGACCTGCTAGGCGTGTACAAAGACCTTCTGGCGGTCCTGGCTGAGGGTCTGAAGGACCACTCGGGCAATAGACGATATTTTGCCCGCCGGATACCTGGAGGAGGGACCGCTGCGCTGCAGCGAACTCTGGCCGTGTTTGTCCAGAAGATAGACAAGGCCGAGAACGACGCACAGCAACTCTACGGGGCCATTCTTGCTGCTGGTTTGTGTCAGGAGACTGTCTCTGGTATTTTCGTAACTTTGAACACCAAGCTTCTCCAGAGTAACCATTCCCCATCTCCGGAAGAGGTCCAGGATGCCGTGCGACAATGCCTGGGGCCTGCAGAGACCGTGGATGTCCCTGAGATCCTGGGACCATTCCTCCGCGTGTGGCTGATGCACCCGTCCGCCTCATCCGACCACAACATTCAACGCCTGACGGTCCCTGCGTGTCTGTGCCACTTGGCCTCCCAATCCCAACGGAATATCGTAGCCCTACATGCCACCGGAATGCTAACGTCAATCCTTCCGCTCCTGTTTGACGACAACCGGTCTGACACCGAGAAGACCCTCTATCAAGAGCTTGCTCGGCTTCTCAGTGTCCAGGGCATGTACAGCTTGGACGATGCTGTGACCTTATACCGCCGCTCACACGAAAGCCCCCAAGCTCTGAAGTTCCTTCTGGCTGTTCTCAAAGGTTCGAAAGAGCCTCCCTCAATCCAGTTCGACCTCTCTCTGCATGGATACTGCTCAGTGGAATTCGCGACTCTCGGCCGTTCCTTTCCTCCATCTTCCTCATCCGGCTACACATTGACTGCCTGGGCTCGTTTTGACGAATTCGATCCTAATACGCATACCACCCTTTTTGGGGCCTTTGATCCGACCCAAACCTGTTTCCTCCTAGCATATCTGGAGAAGGATACCCGCAACTTCATTCTCCAATCGTCAATCCGCAGCTCGCGGCCCAGTGTCCGGTTCAAGTCGGCCTCGTTCGAGCCAAACCGTTGGTATCATATCTGTGTGGTGCACCGAAGACCAAAGCCGACGGGATCTTCCCGCGCATCCCTTTTCATAGACGGCGAATTCGTTGAGCAGTTGAAGATCGAATACCCCACAGCTCCGGCCGTTCAAAGCCAGCACAGAGTGCCGCGGATCCAAGCATTTTTCGGCACGCCTCAGGATCTGGCCATGCGTCTTGGGAAGGGCGTGTCGACATCTCGATGGTCTCTGGCAAATGGGATTTTGTTCGACGAAGCATACAGCGACGATATGGTTGCCGTGTTCTACAATTTGGGACCCCGCTATTACGGCAATTTTCAAGATTGTCTGGGCTCTTTCCAGACATACAAGGCATCGGCGACCCTCAATCTTCGCAACGAACATCTCCATCCGGGCAAAGAGGAAGTGTCAGATATTGTTACAGCGGTTCGGCGACGAGCCAGTACTCTCGTTCGCGAGACCTCGATATTGGTTAATGTCTCCCCCGTGGCGGTTCTTGATGACGATGATACCAACAACGTCGATGAGTCGCAGCTCCTCAAATGCCTATCTCGACAGGCGGCACGGAGTCTACATCAGCTGACCAAGGCTGGTGGGAATGCAGTGGCAGTGAACGGTGCCACTCCAGCCATTAACGACGGCTTGACACAACCTCAGGGCGTTGGAATTTTGACGGGGAACCCCGTCGTCGCCGTACCCAGAGCATTGGATGATGCCAGTTGGTGTATAGGCGGCTGCGCCGCCGTGCATCTGAGTCTGGTTCAAGTAGCCGACACTGTGGAAGGAACTCGATTAGCGGTGGCTGCTCTCTACGAAGCCGTGCAAGACAACTGGAGAAATAGCGAGGCCATGGAGAGAGAAAACGGATACGGCGTTCTTGCAGCGCTGTTGCGTGACAAGCTTGGGTTCCAGTTTGGCAACTATACTCCAGCGGGGAAGACTGCTCTTCTCAACCCCAACATCGAAGAACAGGGTATGCTGTCGCTTGAGCTGCTGCGTCTGACGCTTGGATTTGTGGGATACAATTTCGAGCACCCAAATCGTTCAATCATCACAAATCCCCTGGCGTACCGGGTTCTGCTCATTGATATGGATGTTTGGCGATTTGGAGAGCCCCCCGTTGTTGATCTGTATTACGCGCAGTTTCGCACGTTTGCGTCCGAGAGTAACCATCGCAGATTCAACTCCAGACGGCTGAGTCGCATGCGTAAGTCATTCCTCCATGTTGCTACGTCTATTTGTTTTCAATTATAGCTGACCAAATCAGGCGTCAACAAGAAACTGCTCGAAACCTTGAAAGGAGGAGATTTGACTCAAGAATCGCTCAAACCATGCTTGGCCACTCTACGTGTCTTGATGGACAGCAGCCTGTCTCCTGATTCCCTTCGCTCGCTTGCCCTCTCAATCACATACTGCCTGCACAAGCCGACACCAGCTGCCAGCCTTCAGAGGAAAAAGAGCCTTCGATTTGCACCAGCGTCCTCACGGCCGGCCTCGTCAAAATCCGAGAAGTACACGCCTGGTCCCACATTGGGACTGGAGATGCTGCGCGTCTATGCCTCCGTGCTGTGCAACCCTCATGACCTGGTGCCGTTGAGGAAATTTGCCAAAGCTGTTACGAATAAGGTCGGTTCAACCATGAAATCCCTAGAAACATGTCTAACTCTGTGCAGTGGCTCTTGTATCTGCTGTCCGAGGATGACCCCGAAGTTGTAGTGTTGGCTGCTCGAATCCTTGCTCGATTACTGGTTATCCATGGTGCCAGCTACAGCAAGAAGTTCACAGATAGAAACGGCGGCTACATCACCATAGAACACTCCTTGAAGAAGTGGTGGAATATACCAGCTTTGTGGCCCATCTGCTTTTCCATATTCTTTGGTCAGGACATTGGTCTGATGAACCTTGAAAGGCCATTTGATCAGTCGGGCCTACTCAACCTATTCTTCCCGAATGGGGAGATAAAGGTTCAATTTCCGGATATGTTGTCCACCATCGTGGAAATGGTTAAGAGTGGTCTCAGAAGCATTACTCAAGAAAATGATCCTATCGAGGATGGCCAAGAGTCTTTGCAATCGCGCGCCGATCGCCAGGAGAACCCCAAAATGGGTTCCACCAATTTAATCGGTGAGCATTAACTCAGACTGTGATTGTTTTCAAGTTACTGATAAATCTGGCTCGTTAGGAATCCACCCGTCCGAACGTGTCATTCACGGCTTCAATCTTTTAACCTCTGTGGTTCAATTTCTTGCCGAAGCACGCAAAAGGTCACAAAATTTCCGGGATTTCACCGTGCAATCCAATTATGTTCAAGAACTGCTCTCGGTTCTGTATCCAGTCGTTGTGGGCGTGGACGCTGTCAGCGCCGATGCAGAACTCAAATCTCGGTATGGAGGACTGAGCTTCGACGATAACAACCTTGTCATGCGGCCACGTTCCAGCGCCGCCAATGCATCTAGCCTGCAGAGTTCGACAGTCGAGCGAGCCGAAAGCCCAGGTGAAAGTACTGGCTCTTTGCAAGGTCGTTCGTCATTCATTCTCGTCTCCTCGAACAAACCCAAACCGCAGCCTTCTACCGCGCGCATTCGCCGCGTTGTGAGCCCTCGCTTTGTTGCCAATGAGCCGGCTGCGAACCATTCTCTTGTCAAATCCATCGCCGACCTCTTGCTCACTGTCTTCGAAGACCAGATTCTCGAACGCAAAGACTTTTCGGGACTTGGACTGTATTGGAAGACCCCCCTGGCTTCCTCGACCACCAGGCATTCTTCAATTCTTGGGTCTTCAACAACTTGTTGTCGACAATCCAGGATATCCCTTCCTCTCTGCCTCGCCTGCTTCATGAACCCCGTACCCTCATTAACCTCTCGCGCTTTGCAACACACCTGGCTGAGGCGGTCTATGAAGGGTGGTTCATCAACGGCGCTGCATCGACCCTTGAATGTCTGGGCACAATTCTCGAGTATCTTCAGCGGCCCGATGTTTCGCCTCTGAAAAGCATTCGGCTGTGCAGCCAGGCCGTTGGAACCATACACTCGACACTCTACAAAGTAGTTTTGTTTCAGTTGTCGGAAGCAGACGATGATGACGTGCTACCTCTGCTGAACCGGTTGAATTACTGGCAGGTAGTGCTGCTCTATGCTGCCGAAACACAGTCGAAGCATTTGCAATTGTTCTGCTATCTCCTGTACAACAGTTTGATCAGCGACAAGGAAGATATCCGTCTGTCTGCTGCGAGGCTTTGGCGTATAATTCTCGTACAGAGGCCGGATGAGATCACGAATCTGCTGAGCCGCGGACCTCCCAGTCTGCAAAATCGACTGTCTTATGGTTTCAATGCGCTCTCAGGGATGGATGACGAGGCTTTCCTACAGTGGATCGATGACCAGCGGGACGATCTCGATGCCTTGTTCTTTGGCATTCTATCTCGGTCGTGGGAGACATTCGTGCAGGAGGAAAAAGCAGCCAGCGAGGACTCTGCAAAACATCGTTTCTCAAAGCGCAAAGAGAAACTCAAGCAGTGGGCCCATATCGAGAAGTTCCATGAAGACATGACTCGGAAGCATGATGCCACCCTGCCCCATTGGATCTCAAACATATCCGCATCCGAGTTCATGAAGTCTCAGCGAGCGCTACAGGATCTTCAAGATAACACCGTGTTCATGTGGTCAGCGCTCTCCAATCTCTTGCTGAATCTGCGACGGCCCGGTGGTCTCCTTGCTGAAGATAAGGAACGAAAATGGAGGCTTGATCAAACCGAGGGCCGCAGTCGCATGCGGTTGCGGCTTGTCCCGGATGAGTCGGGCGAGCGACAAGATTACCAGCCGAAGCGCAAGGCATCCGAACCATCTTCGCTCAAAATCGATACCCGGTTGCGCGCACAGTCCGACGGGGGCCAGACTATCTCCACCCCGACTGTGCTGGCCGCTGAACCTGCCGAGAATGAGCCCCAGGATGGTGGTACCGAGAGTCCCAGCATGCTTGAGGATAACTTCGAGATGGTCGAGGATCCCAAGCTTGAAATCGAGGAGTACGAAGATAAAAATAGGAAGGTGATGCGGTCTCTCCATCGCGGTGACCAGGTTCAGAACGTCTGTAACATGTCTCGAATTATCGGTCTGGAAGCCGTAGAGGGTCTCTTGATCCTCGGCAAGGACTGCGTCTATATCCTAGACAATTTCTTCCAAAGAGCCGACGGCGAGATCGTCGACGTGTGGCAGGCTCCTGGCGAAGAGCGCGACCCGTATGTACGGATGATTGCTGGACGTGAATCCAATGATCGTCGCTCCCAAGAGCACGAAACAAGGAGCTGGAAGTGGTCGGACTTGGTCAGTGCATCGAAACGCCGGTTCTTGTTTCGCGATGTGGGCTTGGAAATTTTCTTCACCGACGGCACCAGCTACCTGTTGACCCTCTTCTCACCAAAGGCGCGAGATGACCTATGCAATCAGCTCGGGCACAAAGCTCCGCAGGTCACGGGAAGCACGGGACATTCCAGACCAGAAGATATCTCGCGCTTTGAAACGCTGCGCAGCCAGGAAGACGCGCCACAGTCATTGGGATCCAAATTCGCCAGCGTCTTTGGCCATCTTCCGGCTAATCCGGCAACTCGAAAATGGGTTCGGGGAGAGATTTCCAATTTCCATTATCTCATGTTGCTCAATACGCTTGCGGGCCGGACGTTCAACGACTTGACCCAATACCCTGTTTTCCCGTGGGTTCTGGCAGACTACACGAGTGAAGAACTCGATCTCTCCAACCCCAGGACCTTCCGAGATCTCTCGAAACCAATGGGCTGTCAGACTTTAGAGCGCGAAGCTGGCTTCCGAGAGCGATACAACGCCTTCGCCGAGATGGGTGATAGCAATTCCCCACCATTTCATTATGGGACCCATTACTCGTCGGCCATGATCGTCAGCTCATACCTCATCCGTCTCCAACCTTTCGTCAAGTCGTACCTCCTCCTGCAAGGCGGGACGTTTGACCACGCGGATCGTCTTTTCTATTCTATCCGCAAGGCGTGGGAGTCTGCATCGCGTGGAAACATGTCCGATGTGCGAGAGCTGACCCCGGAGTTCTTCTATCTCCCCGAGTTCCTGGTAAACTCCAACAAATACGACTTCGGCCTGCTCCAAAACATGACCACGGCCATCGACTCGGTCGAGCTTCCCCCATGGGCCAAGGGTGATCCGAAGATCTTCATCGCCAAGCACCGCGAGGCGCTCGAAAGCCCGTACGTATCGGAGAACCTGCACCACTGGATCGACCTGGTCTTTGGCAGCAAGCAGAAAGGTGACGCTGCCGTCGAGGCTGTCAATGTCTTCCACCATCTTTCTTACAAGGGGGCCAAGGATCTGGATGCCATTGATGATCCCATGGAGAGACTAGCTACCATTGGCATTATCCATAATTTCGGACAGACTCCACACCAGATCTTCCAGCGGCCTCATCCGCAGCGCGAGGATCAGCGGTACCGCGTGCCACGGTTGGATGCTCTGGCGGAATCGTTGACACAGATGCCGTTGTCTCTGGTTGGTAAGTGGTATATCTCGCTCGGGGCATCGAAATTTTGATCTGACATCAGCTATCCAGATATCGAAGAGCGTGTCGCCACCATGTCAATGAAGCAAGACCGTCTGTTATGTACTACCGCTCTCCGGCTGAATGTCCCACCCACCTACGACCAGTATATGGAGTGGGGCTTCTTTGACGGCAGTGTTCGGTTCTATGCTACAGATAACCACAAGGTATGTTTGTCGATGTGAAACAGAGAGGAGAGATACTAATCAAGACCGACAGCTTCTGGGCCACTTTGAACATCTTCATGTCGGTCAGCTTTCCTATGCCCTCTTCGCCGATTCTCGAACCCTCGTCACCTGTGGCACGGACTGTACGATTTCCCTGTGGACGGTCACTACCACCTCCAAGTCAGTCGACCTCCAGCCTATTGGGTCGCTGTTTGGCCATCGGGCCCCGGTTACCATGCTGGCCGTTTCCCGCTCGTTCAGCGCATTACTCTCCGCATCCGCGGACGGGCAGACCATGCTCTGGGATCTCAATCGCCGATCATTCGTCCGAGCTCTTCCAGCCCATGGGCCAGTGGATGTACGTATTTCTTCTTAGTCCACCAATTCTATTTCGCATGTACTAACTCTTGTGTAGTGTGCCCGGATCAACGACGTGACCGGGGACATCATGGTCTGCCGCGGCGGCCGAATCACGCTGTATACACTAAACGGCACGATCCTCGTCGACCAGCCTGTTTGCGAATCCAACGACGATCGCGTCCTCTCCTGTGTCTTCTACGAGGGCGCGCACAACGAATGGCTAGAGCGTGAGCTCGTCCTGACTGGGCACTCGCGCGGCGTGGTCAACATCTGGACCAAGGCCATCCGCGGCAGCCGGTGCGAACTCGAGCTGATCCGCCAGTTGCATCATACCGACAGCAGCCGCGACAATGGGGCCAATATCTCCGCGGGGATCACCTGCATTCTGGCGCAGGCGCAGGTGGTGTATACGGGGGATGAGGCTGGTCGGGTGGTAAGTTCTTACCCTGCATTCTAATTGATCCTCGTATTACTTGGGCTCTGGGCTGACGATGGGCACAACAGTATGAGTGGAACTGCATCCAGCGACACTAACCCGCATTTATTTCCTTGGCGTCGTTCAAAACAAAAGCAACTGGCGATGGCGTGGCACTATTATTGCCTATTCTTCCGGAACAAGAATATAGTTCCATCAACACGATATTTATCCGGGTGCCGGTGAGTAGTAGTGGGCCGTTGGTGGCCGGTCGACATTGTTCCGCCGACTCTGCCGCCGGAGCACACTGCGCCGGCAATGGACAACAATGAAGAATATCATTGTAGAACATTGAAAATGAGAGGCATTGAGAGTGCAGAGTAGAGTAGCCGAAAAGGAAGAACCCCCGAAAAAAAGCAATGATAGACACCATAATAATATATGGGCTGTAGGTGCCTAATAATAATAACGAGGGGCAAGTCCAGCGTGAAAACGGACGATGATTTCATAGCCCCACCTGACCTGACCTCCCTCAATTACCGCCACCTCAAATACCGCCACCTTAGCTACTTCTCTCTTCTCTTCTCTTCTCTTTCCCATCACCATCCTATCTTTTTTTCTATCAATCTATTTCCACTCGATCAATTATCCCCGCATCATGACTTCCTCTCTCGAGCAGCTCAAGGCCACTGGCACCGTCGTCGTTTGCGACTCTGGTGAGTTTCATCCCTAGGTGGCGGGGTATCGCGATAGAGACCGATTAACTGACCGCGACCGTGTCTAGGTGACTTTGCCAGTATGTGCACCAGCAATTAAATCCTCCTGCAATCCCCCCATCACTAACACGTTTGCTCGCAGCCATCGGCAAGTACAAGCCCCAGGATGCCACCACCAACCCCTCCCTCATCCTGGCCGCCTCCAAGAAGCCCGAGTACGCCGCTCTGATCGATGCGGCCGTGGCCTACGGCAAGAAGCAAGGCAAGAGCGTCGACGAGCAGGTCGAGGCCACCCTCGACCGTCTGTTGGTTGAGTTCGGTAGCGAGATCCTGAAGATCATCCCCGGCAAGGTCTCGACTGAGGTCGATGCCAGCCTGTCCTTCGACACCAAGGGCTCCGTCGACAAGGCTCTGCACATCATCCAGGTATGTTCGGTGTTCACTCGTATGTTTTACAAGCAGGATAATAACGATTTCATCAGCTCTACAAGGAGGTCGGCATCTCCAAGGACCGCATCCTGATCAAGGTCGCCTCCACCTGGGAGGGTATCCAGGCCGCGCACATCCTGCAGTCGCAGCATGGCGTCAACTGCAACCTGACGCTCATGTTCTCGACCGTGCAGGCCATCGCCGCCGCCGAAGCTGGCGCCTTCCTGATCTCGCCCTTCGTCGGCCGCATCCTGGACTGGTACAAGGCCGCCCACAAGCGCGACTACACCGCCTCCGAGGACCCGGGCGTCAAGTCCGTCCAGGACATCTTCAACTACTACAAGAAGTACGGCTACAAGACTATTGTCATGGGTGCCTCGTTCCGGAACACCGGCGAGATCACCGAGCTGGCTGGCTGTGACTACCTGACCATTTCGCCCAACCTTCTCGAGGACCTGTACAACTCCACCGCCGCCGTGCCCAAGAAGCTCGACGCCAGCGCCGCCACTACCCTGAACATCCCCAAGCGCGAGTACCTCAACCACGAGGCCAAGTTCCGCTTCGACTTCAACGAGGAGACCATGGCCGTGGAGAAGCTGCGCGAGGGTATCTCCAAGTTCGCGGCTGATGCCGTCACCCTGAAGCAGCTTCTCAAGCAGAAGATCGAGGCATAGGTTTTCTGGGTCGATTAATTTGTTTTTGCTCTGTGTGTAAATTGGCGATGCCCCTCAAAAATTGTCTTGGATCGGTAGTAGTAGATATGAATTCATGATACACAATTTTCTGTCCGTGTCTTCTCTTAACTCCGGAATCGGCGTCCGATAATGCCCGTGCACTGAATCCAGGCCAGTCGGCTTATTCAGAAAAGTGCCTGCCCCGCAGTGGGTGGACTCGAGCACGGAATCTATTGTACGAAGTTCGTGACACGACTGTAATGAACTGACTTAAGGGTTTGGTGTCCTGCGCAATCTATACCCGAGGTTAGCAGACCAGCTATCATAGCATCGGGACAGGCAGCAGGAGGAGCATATAAGCTATAATGTAGATTGATGGGAAATATAGCACCTTGAGTCTCGCGCATGATCTACACATAAAACCAAAACAGTGGAAAAACATCAAGGGGCCATTATGTCATTGCCCGCCGGCCGGCTTAGGAAAGTGGGGGATGTTTTGCCGCGTGTAATCGTGTACCAGTACCTCTGCTAGATGCGTATTTAGTATGGTAGAGCGCGTACCGGTACACTTCGTGCTGGTGGTAACATTGGTTTGGTCACCACAGCATCATCCGCTTATTACATAGCCAGCTCGTTCCCCTCTCCCACTTCTCTCCTCTCTTTTCTTCTTGAACTTCAGTCATCCACTCCCATCCATCTGTCAATCCAACTCCAATTCAACCTCATTATCTACTACCGTCACAATGGTCAAAGCTGGTATGTATCCGATCTCCATTTTCGATTTGGGGGTATAGTTATTGTCCCCACGGGTCCCCTGTGGCGAGGGGTGAGCACATTTGAGCACCTTGTTAGAGGAACCTGAAGATGCCTACTTCCGAGCCTATCAGCTTCGTCTCTCCTCCCTTTCCACCTAGCTCAGAGCTCCACTGCGGTCTGTCTGTCAAAGAACATGTGGAGAGACCTAGCTCATGGGTTGCTTGTGTTGTGGCTTGCCATCTAACCCTAGCTGCTGCGGCTGCTCCCGGATCCTCTCACCTCGCATCTCTACCTTCCACGCCCCTTCTAGAACACCCACTAATGACCCTACGAAACAGTTGCTGTCCTCCGCGGTGACGCCAAGGTCGCCGGCACCGTCACCTTCGAGCAGGCCGACGAGAACGCCCCGACCACCATCTCGTGGAACATCACCGGCAACGACGCCAACGCCGAGCGCGCCTTCCACGTCCACCAGTTCGGTGACAACACCAACGGCTGCACCTCCGCTGGCCCTCACTGTATGCTCCCTCCCTCATTGATCTCCTGTATACCTCGAGGGCACTAACACTCTGTCTAGTCAACCCTTTCGCCAAGACCCACGGTGCTCCCAGCGATGCTGAGCGCCACGTCGGTGACCTGGGCAACTTCAAGACTAATGCCGAGGGCAATTCCACAGGTACCATGCAGGACAAGCTGGTGAAGCTGATCGGTGCTGAGAGCGTTCTGGGCGTAAGTTGATCTTGACGCGTTGTTTTGTGGGAGAATCAATGCACTGACTGCGGGATTTATATGTATAGCGTACTCTCGTCGTCCACGCTGGCACTGATGACCTCGGCAGAGGTGGTACCGAGGAGTCCAAGAAGACTGGTAACGCCGGTGCTCGCCCCGCTTGCGGTAAGTCCTTATTCTCAGGTGGGATGGAATGATACTGATGCAATCGATAGGTGTTATTGGAATTGCCAACTAAATTGACTCCTGAGCCTGAACGGACTGGATTCGATATGAGCCAGTCATTCTGTCTTTCTTGAAAAGTGCAGCATAGGACCTGATTAGGATCAGACCATGAATGGATGCCAGTTTCTTTTGTCTGTCTGATCAGACTTCTCGTATGCCCATCACATTTTACATTCATACAGTAGACCCGTGTGCCCAGACGGCTTTCTCTTGTTTTCTGTGCTCTCCTTGCTCTTGAACGAAAGTAGTTAACTCGCCAGTCATTATTTGTCGACCAAAATGCGGTGCAAGAGGTACCGCTAGGCCAAAAGTGCCAGTGACATAAGTTCAGCTCTGAACGCTAACTAATTTTCGCAGTAGACATTTTTATTTTTAGATTAGGCATCATATTATATAAAGCCACACTCGTATCCACAACCCCTCTTCTGCTTACCTCGCAGTTTCGACTGACAATATACATTCAAGCTCTACATATCTGCATTACCATCCTACATTCAACATGACCGCCAACCCCGACCCCGAAATTGTGTTGTACGACTTGGCCTGCAACCAGAATGTCTGCTTCTCGCCCGTGGTCTGGCGCATCCGCCTCATGCTCAACTATAAGCATGTCCCGTACAAGACCATCTTCCTAGAACTTCCAGACATCGAGCCAACACTCAAAGGACTGTGAGCAACGTCCCGAACCCACAGCCTCAAGCGTTCTCTCTGACCCTAACCTCTCACTCCCAGCGGTCTGGAACCTAGCAAGCCGGCCCAAACATCTAGCATCAAATACACCGTCCCCGCCATCCTCCACGTGCCAAGCAACACATACATAATGGACTCAGTGCCCATCTCACAGTTCATCGAGTCAACCTACCCCGACCCACCGGTACCACTAACCTCCGAACTGGGCCACGAGATCGAAACCAAAGCCCGCGCCGTCCTCGGCCCGACATTCCGCAACTCGGTGCTGCCGCGCGAGATCAATATCCTCTCGCCGCGCGCACAGGAGTACTTCCGACGCACGCGCGAGGCCCAGCTGGGGCATCCGTTGGAAGATCTGCTCGACACCGACAAGGAGGAGCAGGCTTGGGGTGCTGTTAAGGAGGACATGCGCGCACTTGGAGAGCTGATGATGACGCATAAGGCTGATGGGCCTTTTATCCTCGGTGCGAGGCCGAGTTATGCTGATTTCTTCATTGCGGGGTCTCTGCAGCTTTGCAGGGCTGTTGATGAGGGTATTTTCCAGAGATTGATAACATCCCCTGGGTTCAAGACTGTTTATGAGGCTTGTGTGCCTTACATGGAGAGGAAGGATTAAGTGGGTATGGTCAGTGGTAGCATTTCATAACCCGGAAAGTAGTATGGATAGAATACTAATACCAACCTCAAGTCAGAATTGAGCATCGATTTCTCTAGGTAGCTGTCTTGATGGATGTAGACTACGAGTTCTGGGCTAACTTAGGGTTATCCAGAAAGCAACAACTAGATCACTCACCGCTTTCCCCCACACAAGGACAAACACCGG